TTTTTTTTTTTTTTTTCCCTTCCTCTTTTTCTCTTTTTTTCTAACTCTTCGATTTCCTTGCTTGGTTTGTCCTTGCGTCTTGTTTTATTGTTCTTCCTCATAGTTAGTCCCCTTTTTTTTTGTTTGTCATCCCCCATCTACGGGCTGTCACCTTGGGCTATAAATTACATTTTCCGTCTTTACAACTCCGTACCGGCACTCACTAAGCTCCAGAGAGAGAGTATTGAGTTACCCACTAACAGTACGTTAGTGACTGCCACTAACTGACCTTAGCTTCCCTTTCCCCTCTCCCTTGACTGCTACAGCGACCTTTAACTTAGTACTCGACGACTCCAGAGTAAGAGTACTACTACCTACGTCTCTTCGCAAAGCACTGGAGCTTTGCACTATTACTCATTCCTCTATCCCCACAAGCCCTATAGATCTCTCTGTATCTTTTTCTTCTTTTCTTCCTTCTCAACCTCAATTCGTTCTACCACCTTGATCACTTTCCTCCCCCGAGTCTCCAGAACCCCTCTACCCCTCCATAGATTGCATGCGATTTTTTTTAAACCATCGCGGATCATTTTGATTTCCTTTGATGGCGCATGTGCTTGTCGATTGGGCTCTGCTGCTTGAATTGAACCTTCTCATTTGATCGATTTATGGGATTATCTCCCTTCCATACATTAGCACCTGAGTTGTTCGCCTCCCCCCCGTCCACTCACCCCGCCGCCAAAGACGGATTCATGCAGACCATGCCGCCTCGAGCGTCTTTGACTAGTTCTTTCTCTGTCACCGACGCCAATAATGAAGTCGTCTGCCCCTTGAAGAATAATGACGGCTCCAATTGTCGGAAAAGATGCCTCGGAGTGAGTATTTCCCCCAACTTTTCTTTGTGTGTCGGCCGATCGATCGGAGCCCCACTTCTAGAAACGCCCACTATCGCAGCTGTGCGACGCTTTTATCGTGCGAAAAGACCAGCATTCCATGTTTATCTGAGCTTATTAACACTGTCCGCCCGTTTTGAAACTTTTATGAGTTCATATCTAACGTTGCTATGTGCCCCTACAGGAGAAACGCTATCGTTCCATGCAGGAGCATATCCGTCGGGCGCATCCGAACAACTACATTCCGAAGCTCCCGGCCACCGAAGAGAGCTTTATCTTGATGGTCACCACCCCTCCGGAACAGCGAGCTCAGATATCTCCGCCAAATCAAACTCAATCTCGCCGTCGCAATGGTGAGTGTAGCTCATAGGTCATGACTTGTAATGGGAGGTTGGAGAAGCTGACACGTCCCGATCCAGCCGATCGAGATATATACGTCGCTGACGCCAGCTCACCCGCAACCCCACGGGGAATCGACGAAGCTCATCCTGCTGCCGCAACTGCTGCTGTCGCATTAGCCCAATTGCACCATAATCGATTAGCCTCGGACTGGGACACGGATATGGTATGTAGGCCAGACTGTTTTGTTTCTCGATTTAATTTTTTTTTGTTCTTTTCTTCCCCTGAAGATAAGCTAATCTTTATCAAGGAAACCCACTCTGATAACGATATTGGACGGGAACGCATGCGGTCTTCCATTGAACTACCCTCCCTTCGCGACCATTTCAAACAGGAATCATTGCCACCTTTTTCTCCACGCCCGCGAGAGCTTCTGCCATCGATTCTCAACCACTCGCCTCCTGGTCGCTCATCAACCCTTCCTCCCATCCAGAGAAGGGACAAATTGCCCCGCCCTCGCAAGTCCTCCATATCAGCGGCACGGAAACCTAAACATGAGCGGGTCAAGTCAAAGGAGTATGGCCGGCGCCCTAGCCTGGGCGATCGTAAAGCGCTGTCCGCTGAACCGCAGACGGCAGCGTGGGCCCAAGGCAAGCGCTGGGAGGATCTGATTGAAGCGGCTACGTCGGCCACGGAGGCAGATGATGACCGACAGTCGGAGGTGAGTTCGCTATCAGATACCGAGGAACGACGGGTTCACCCGTTGTCTCTTCGCGAACAGCTTTTAACTGTTCCGTCCCAGGTCGGTCGGTCACCGACCCTCGCACCTCTGATTTCGAACATCACCTCTGCCCCTTCTGTTCCGGGGAATCGGTCATCACTCCCTCCTGCTTTCCAGTCGGCGGGCGGATTACCCCCACCCAATTCTCACCGCCCATTTCCACCGCATTCTTTTGGTGCGTCCCCTTTGCATAAGTCCTTGACTCCTCCACCGTATGAAACAGCCCGCAGCCGCGACAGTGATCTGGAGCCTTTCCCGTCCATTGAGTCTTCCTTGGACTCGGCATCGACTGCATCAGGGAAGAATTTTGCATTCTCGGGCCATCTTGGGCCGTTGGCAAAACCCGATTCCAGTCCTGGTTTGAATCTCTTCCCTCGCCAGCATCATCGCTTCTCCAACCCAACTCCAGCATCATTTCGGCAAAAGGAGGTCCAAGTCTACTGCGCTAGCTGTCATCGGCCCTGGGCGTTGAGCGATTGCTATGCCTGCACAGAATGCATTTGTGGGGTATGCCGTGAGTGTGTAGGGATGTATATCAGCAGTCCCACTGCGTCCTTTAGGAATGTGACCTCAAGCCCAGGTAGCGCCATGTCACACGGTCCGACGAGCTATCCTCCCCGGGGTTGTCCGCGGTGTCGTTCCATGGGAAGCAAGTGGAAGGCGTTCCAACTTGAATTTAAGTGAGCCATCGGGCTGACGTTTGCGACGTTTTGAACTTTACGCTGCAGGATCATGTTTTACGGATGTTACGATTAATGTTGAGGGTCTTGGTTACTCAAAAGGATTACGCTTCAATGATGATATCTAAGCTGGCGACAATGCATTCATCCACGAGCCCCCGTCCATCTCGGGGCGAACTTTCCAAGGGCTGGACTAACCTGTACATGCCACGCACGATAGGATGATTGAAAAGCTGGGCTTTTTCTTTTTTCTTTTTCTCGTTTTTATTTGATTTGCAACTTGGTGTGGATGTGTTTATAATATCGCTGGGCGGTCTATATACACTATACGGTGGCATTTTGGTGTTCTGTTACACTCTGTACTTGAATGACTCGCAAGATCCACGTTTGGAATGATATTCAAAGACATACATGAGACATATGAAGCCGACAGGCGCCTTTTCTATTCTGAATCACGGACGGCCAAGAATTTATGTATACAATACACGTATCCAACTACAGGCATCTACTCGTACCAGACGATGCTGCTCAAGCCACCCCAAGTTCCCTCCGCAGGCGCCTCACCGACCAGCAGAGAAGCGACTTCACTGAGCAATTTCCCAGTCTGCGGATCTCGCTTAATGATGACTACCGTGGATGAATCTTGATTGCCGACCGCGACCAGATCCCCCTTCTTGTTGATCACGAAGCTGCGCGGGGTCTTCCCACCAGACGAAACCAGGTCGGCGTCGGTCACGGCTGTCTGTCCTGGTTCCAAGGTCACCAGGGAATCATTTCCATCAAATTTACCATCCTTGCGGACGGAGATATGCACGGTTGGCCCCGCTGCCCGGATTTCACCTAATGTCGTTTTATTCGAGGGAAACTTTGAGCCAGGGTAAGGGCGGAAGCAGGCCGTCAACTGCTTGAACTCGGGGCACCCGTCCTTCCCATACGACACGTCGAACGGACACATATAGCCGCGGAGTTCTTCTACGGTATACAATACCGATTTTTCTGCATTGCGCCTTGCCAGCCGCCCCCCATGCGGCTTGCTGCCCACCCAGGCGTGGTGAGCTGCATTCGAGGTCACAAACACTCCATGACGCGGCCCGCTTCCTGGAGGAAAGTGGATCGTCGAGTTGAATCCGCACTTGTTCAGTTTACCGGACTTCTGGTCAATCGCAAACACGTGCATCTTATCGGCTCCCAGATCCGGCGATAGGAGGAACGATCCGGTGGGGTCGAGCAGGACTTGATGTGGTTGCGACTTGGGCTGTTTTTCGGTAACATTTTTCGGCTGGGGCAACCTCACCACATCAAAGGGGTTTACTTCCTGCTTGTCTGCGAAGGGAATGTTGAAGAGTGAGATGGAGGAGTTTCCACTATATCACGTTGTTAGTACCAAGTGCAGCATCATTGGTACCGTAGGATGGAACATACTAATGCGCTATCGCGAGGAACTGCTTGTCCTTTCCGTACATGACACTATCGACACCGCCAGGGGGTGTCTCTACCGTTGCAGCCTCGTTAAACTTGCCGTCCTTCTCGACCTGCAACGCGGTCAATGCACCGGGAGTGCCTTCACCAACGCACCATAGCAGCCCGCGGTCAGGGTCGACGGTCAGCGCACTCGTCGAGCCGGCACCGCCGCAGGTGGTCAGGTTGTGAGTCTTGGTGAGCGAGAATTTATCGCCTTCTCCCTCCAAGTTGAGAGAGTAGACGTTGCCATCGTAGTGGGTCGCAAAGAGTCTTGCAGCGGTTGACAGAGAGGGTAGCGCCAGGGAAAGCCCGAAGACAGACTGCAAGAACATTTTCCAAATGAAGGTTAATCGACCAGTCCAGACCGGTCTCAGCTGGGTAGAATCGAAGAAAGTAAGAGAGTGTGTTGCGTCGCTTGCGACTTTAGATTTCGAAGGGTAGGTGGGAACACATCGGCTGATCTGCGCGGGTGTGCAGCGAAATAAATACTACTTGCTCAGCCTTGCAGAAGCGCAGCAAGCCTCAGCCCTCACCGTGAATTCCCCATGTCTCGTTGATTTGTCCAGCGTTGCACTGGAGGTGGAGCGACTGGCGCTTTGTCTGGCATGGATCTGCATTATCTGCGAGTGGAGTTGAGTTGTAGTGACTGGGCATTGCCCTGATTCCTTTAATCTTATTCTTTACGCTTTGACGTTTATTGTTCAATCCTTAATGGAAGGGACGGTGGGAATTGAAAGACAGGGTCGTGAAAGATTTACCTACTATTTCAGGATCTGCTGTTAGCCGCCGAAGGTGACCAGGGTCTTATCCGCCCATTTACAGAATGCGCCGTATTGGAGTCTTCAATCACCATGCATACAGTCGGATATCTCCAATGGGAAACAATGACTTCGCCCCCAAGATGCTAAAATAAGGAGATGGCTTGGCCCATCTTAGTCAGCAACAAAGGGACCCAGCCTTGCAAAGTGATTGATTGATAGCTAGCATCCATCAACTAGGTTGGCCATCCTCCTGTTTCACGCCATGGTGGGAGTTCCCCACAGCACCGGCTGCGAAAGCTGTCGGAAGCGCAAGAAAAAGGTAAGGGTTCCTCGAGAAAAAAACGAGAAAACACCGTGATTAACCTTCGCCGACTCCGTAGTGCGACAACAGGGCACCAGCATGCACGGCCTGTGTCGTCTCGGGGCGCATTTGCCCAGGGTATCAAAGAAAGTATAAGTTTGTCAATGAGAATGCTTCGCTCCTGGCGCATTATCGGAAGAAGAAGTACCTCCTTGAAGAAATTGGTGCCGACCGAGATGAGACTGTGGCTTTATCGAGGTCCGCGGGCAACCACCCTTACCACACCATTCGCTCCTACGAATGGATTTGCTGGCCCTTGACTTCAGGTCAGGAACATGATGCGGCCAATCTGGTCTATATCATGCAGGATTCCATGAGTCAGATGATTTTCCCTCTGAACTCACATGGAAGCTTTTATCAGTATATTCCAGGTCGATTGGGGCGAAATGCTGCTCTGGACTCTGCCATCGCTTGCCTTTGTACTGTGTATGCAGACATTTTGGCTGCTAACGGGGCTATTTCGAAAGATGCTTGGCGGAAATATGCCCAGAGTACTGGGGCGCTACGCTTGTGTCTAGATGATCCCGGGCGTTGCCTTCAGTCGGAGACTGTTTGTGCTTCGATTGTGTTGCAGTTGTGCGAGGTATGATACTTGCGCTCTTGGTCTGAGCTAGACTGATAAGTGACAGCTGTTGACAAATGCCGATAATGGGCGGTGGAACCAGTTGTCGCACGGGACCAAGGCTCTCATTGCGAATTGTGACATACGTCGGTTTCAGCAACCGTTTGAGCGGGCCATGCTGGAATCGCAGAGGGCGTTTTTCGTATGTCTATCGATGTGTTTCTGGAGCTTCAATGTTGACGAGTGGCAGATTGTTCAGGACATGAACCTGCGACAGCCGTGCTTTCTCGCACAGTCCCCTTGGCGGGAGTTCTTGCGAGAAACGGAAGAGACTGCGTTGACACCTGGAACTCGGGCTGCTGCTCTGCGATCGAAGCTGTGCGACTGGCTGGTGGATGTTCCTGTGTTTCTTGAGCAAGTTTCGGGTATCTTGCGTTGTGGAAGCTATGGGATGAAGCTAGAGAGACTTGTGCAACGAGCCATGGCCATACATGGCCAGATAGAAGGTTGGTATCTCGCCGAAGTGGTGCCGGCTGTCCCGTATGTTGAACAAGACGGGGACGGCCGTGCGCCACTTCGCCCATATGAGTACTCTCAGCCCCTCATGGGCGTTTTGGATTGCGTGGCAAACTCTACGCTCATTGCCCTGGAAGATGCCATCTCTACCTCCGTGTCTCTCTTATCTGACTCGAACGGCTTCCATGAATCCATCGACTACTCTACCCTAATTTCGAAACGACAGCAGACCATCTGCAATGCGCTTGAATACGTCCGGGGATACTCCCCGGTGGCTGCCAAACCTCTAGAATTTGGCCTACAGCAGCTGCGATCACTTGGAGCAGGCCATAAAGCATATCTTGAATCAAGTATTCACCCGACCGAATGATTATACTAATACTCATACACATATTCGGTAAAATCTCTATTTATTAAACCAAAAAGGAACTCAAGCTCCATCCAGCAACTTCACCATCTCCCCAAAAACCTCCACTACTTCTCTCCTCTCCCCTTTCCAGAAAGACAGATCCAATTCCCGCCCCTCCGCAGCAGCCATCAAGACATCTTTACTAGGAAAGGTCAATCCAACCGTCCGCTCAACCGGCCTCATGCGAACACCACACAACACCTGCTTCAACTGCTCCGCCGCCTTCCCACCTCCATGCCCACCATAACTAACAACCATGGCGGGCTTCCCTTTCCATTCATGGTACAGGTAGTCAATCGCATTCTTGATACTAGCAGGATACCCCCAGTTGTACTGTGGAGTGACGAACACAAACGCTGCATACGAAGCGATCTCTTCGGACCATCTCCGCGTATGCGGATGGAGATATTGGTCGGATGAATGGATCTGAGAGGGGATGCCTGGCTCGTTATGCATGGGGAGATTCCACTCTGCCAAATCAATGAGTGAGAGTGTGACTGCGTTTTCGCGGACACTGTCGGCGCTTTGGAGGTCGTCTAGAATGGTAGTTCCGATGTGGAGACCAGCGCGAGGAGTGCGCTGGCTGCAGATGATGAGGCCGATTTTGGGGGTCATCTTTTGCCAGAGAGTGTGATTTGGTGTTGATTATGAGAGAGGGATATCTATACAGGGAGAAGGGTCTGTGAAAACTTTTAAATTTGGGACAGACAGGGTGGAATTTATAGCTTGTCTCCAGGGTAGTAGTCGACTAAACCTTGAAGCTAAAATGTAAGGGTTGATGTTGCGCGCCAATGAGAATTGGCCTGGTGGGTCGGCAGTATCATTCTACATTTTAAACAGATCAAAGACAAGTCCTCCACAAGTTCATTATATGGCTTCTCAGCCCAAAGCTTACAAAGAGATAAACTTCTCTCAGTATAATCTGGTAATTGGGATGAGAATAAAGTTAGCTCACACAAGCACTCAACCGCTATGACTTACAGGCTAGAGACTGAAAGTAGATACAAACCGTCAAGACACACGTATAACCTTCCTCACATCAAATCCATCCAGTGTATCCTCCCCCGAATTCCTCCAAGGCTGCACATAACCCCGTTGATTACTCACAACTCTTGTGCCCCCCTCCTTGAAGTCAGTGGAATAGTGCGTATGCCCAAACACCCAGACCTTCACCCCATCCAGCGGGATCTGAGATAGGACATCAGTAGCGAAGGCAACACCCCAAGAATTGTTCGCATGCCGCGGACTCGACGTCCCCCTCAGCAGCGGCGCATGATGCGTAACAACAAGAACAGACCTCTGCCTTTCCACATCTCCATTTTCCCGGCGTACAGCCTTCATCTCATTCAGCAGCCAGGCGAGATCAGAAGCATAGTTCGCATTATGGTCATCAATCGACCAGCCTTCAATGCTTCGCAAATCCCTGATCTTCTCGCGCACGATATCTCTCGATGCATGGGGCACATGCGACCAAAGCGTGCAGCCCAGGATAGTCACAGCGGAATCCGGGATATCGTATCGTCTCTGCTGAAGCACGATTAACCGGCCGTTGAAGCACGGCTCCTGTTCAAGTTGGCTGGCTTTTTCCAGTCCGGCTGCGAAAGTCCCGTTGTAGAACTCGTGGTTGCCGAGGATCAGGAATACCTGTTTGAAACGGTCTGTTTGTTTTTGGAGGAAGTGTCGATACGAGTCATAGTCTGCTAGGCGGCCGATATCGCCTGCCAGGATCAGATGGTCCGCGCAGACGGGGATGTCATATGAAGCATACTGCGAGTTGAGCTCGAGATGCAGATCGGAGAGAACTTGGAAAGATGTCGATGATCGATTTAGGAGGGACCGTGCTTTTTGGAGCATTATGTCGTCTAAAATGTAAGGGCTAGGTGGAATAGTACTAGGAGCTGTAGCTGGTATCAAAGAGGGTATTTGGAGATTGGGGGATACTCACGTGATTAAATGGGAAATTGTCGTTATACCGAGGGACTTCCAGCCTTCTTTTGTTGGGCTGAAAAGACATATTACGCAGATAAATTATATGCTAAGAGTTGTTAAGTAGTTAAAGCAGCTTAAATAGTTAAAGCAATTGAAGCAATGAAGTAGTAATATTGGTTGCTACGCTAACGCTCCGCTGCGCAGCATCAGGGTTTGCTTCTTCATCTAGGTCTTCGGTACTTGTGCTGGAGTTCGTATTCTATACCCGTTCAAAAGATTATTCTCCTAGTAGATAGAGTCAAGGGATAAGCGACCATTTATACATCTTCTAAAGTGTAGACCTATAATAAACCAGGAATTGTACTGGGGTCGAGTCAGAGCATAGTATATACAATATGCTATTATTCTGTTAATGTACACGATTTGATGCTGAAGAGAAATTTGGTGTATGCTTGTCTTCCATGATCGACGAGTGTGTAAAACCTTAGTGCTCCAAACCTAAAGCCTTGCTGCTATCAAGTAATAACTCGAGTATTTCTTCATCCCCAAGTTCTTTAGCAATGCGAATCGCGTCTTGCATATCCCCTTCTACATTTACTAAGCAGAGATTTGGATCAGCATAAAGTTCGAGCAGCAGTTTCACTCCTGCTTCATACCCCTGGACTACAGCAAAAATCAGCGGTGCGGGACCATATGAGCAGAGGTTTGGACCAATGTGTTGAAGCAAAAGCTTGATAATTCCTTCGTGTTTCCGGAGTAGAGCCATAAGCAGTGGTATTGCATTTTGGACTCCTCCAAAATCTGGGTCAGCATGGCTTTCAAGCAGTAGTCTCACTGCCTTCTCATGTTTATGGCGTATCGCGTAAGAAAGTGGTGTTCGACCGTCTGAGCAGAGATTTGGATCAGCGTATTCAAGCAGGATTTTGACGATTCCTTCATGCCGAAGGCATACAGCGAAAGTGAGTGGTGTGTGACCGTTTGAGTAGAGATTTGGATCAGCGTATTCAAGTAGGATTTTGACAGTCTTTTCATGTTTAAGGGATATAGCGAAAATGAGTGGTGTGAGACCTTGTGAGCGAAAATTAGGGTCAGCATGGCTTTCAAGTAAGAGCCTTATTAAGTTCTCGTTTTCACGAAGTATGGCACGGAGGAGCGGCGTCCAATGGACATCTCCAGTATAAAAGTTTGGATTAGCGCCACAGGAAAGAAGTAAAGCCACTACTTCCTCATTTCCGCCCTCAACCGCCCAGTAGAGAGGATTCTGACCGTAGCCGTCTCTGGCATCTTTGTCATGCCCTCTGCTTAATAGAGCTACGAGGGCTTTTTGTAGGCCGAAATAGGCAGCAAGATGAACTCCAGTCGCTTGCCCAGGAACATCCTCATCCTTTACCCACCAGAATCTGGATTTCACAAGAGCCTGGCTACAAGCGGATACCTTGGCCTTACTTTCAAGAAATCCCATAATTAGACCTTCCTTTTCGATCGATAAAGCGCGGGCATGATGCCCCCAGCTAGAAGAAGCATATATGTAAAATGGATTTAGGTCAATCCGTTTCTCAAATTCTTCTTTCGATGGACAGGAGCCGCTTTCAAAATCGTCAAATTGGAGGTATGTGATGCAGCTTGTTGTAATATCGCCGATTGATGCTTGAATCCAGTCAAGGTTACTGAAATACTCCTGAGTCGTGTAGTGAACCAGTTGGATAGTATGGCTCTCCTGATTGAGTATGACAAGTCCTGCACAGAGGGAGGTAACTTCCTCAAAAACTGGGAGACTATCCTCTTGAAGTTGACAGCCCCCTGCTGTTATGGCTAGAGCATGTTGAAGCTCAATCGGCCGTAATGGCCGTATGGCATGAAACACCCAGGATAGGACACGACGGGCCCATGTACGAGAATTTGCTCCTTGGTCATCAATTCTGCGTACCGCATTGTCGTATGCCATATCCAATGCCCCCAGTCCTTTTGGAAGGCTTTGGAGAGCTATTCTGAATTCATTCGGCGTTCTTTTGTCTTTCAATGAATCCATATGAAGGGTGGCGAGGAGGAACCTGTAACTCAAATCTATTAGAGGATAGTGAAAATAGCTTAGGTACCAGGATGGGATAACCTACATGCCATCAGCTGCCTCACAGATTTGTTGCTTTATTTTCTCCTTTAATCCACTATTTTGCTGGGCGCATTTCGATAACTCCTGAAAACGATCGTCCAAGTAGCTCTCAATGTCGTTTTGGCTTGCACGAATTTCTAGTCGCAGAGCGCCTTGGATTTCTCGCTCTAGTGAAGGGCGCGATGTTGCCATAAAACCCAGACGAGTAGTGTCTTGTAACTTTCTAATTGCATTGATCAAACCCTTCCAAGTCTCATCCGAGCATTCGTCCAAAGCGTCAACCACGAGAAATGCTCGATTTTGAGCCCTGATAATTTGAATAAGCGTGTCCAATAAGCTCTCAGCAGTCGGCTTTACATGCTTCTTTTTATGCGACTCATAAAGCAAGCTGACTGACTCCGGAATGAGGTCGCATTGCTCAGCAACATGTCTCAGAAGGGTAGATAGAAGGTTTTCTGTTGTTTGCTCTTGTCTCTTTGCGTAGTTGCAGTACAGGAAAGTGATGCATGACTGGCCATCTGTTTGCTCTTGTAGATGCTTTATTGCCATCGAAGCCAGTATGGTTTTACCAGCACCAGGTATACCGGGGCAAAAAAGAGCTGGTATATTCCCGCTCATCCAGCTGAGGAACTCTTGAGACTCTAGGAACCATCTTACAGTACCTGGCTGGTGCTTTTTATAAGCATCCAGATGTTGTGATTCATGGGATGAAGGAGCCAGCCAATTCAAGATCTTGTTATGTTCCTTATCCACCTGCTCTGCGAAGACGTTAGAAGCAAAGGCCATTTCAATTGGTGGGTTGTATACCATTCAGTAGAGGGTCAAGGCTTTTGTTCATTTCAGCATGCATCGTAGCAAATTCATTACGCACTATGGACATGGGCTTTCGTCAGCTTCCTCTATTCTAGCCTGGATATGAACTAACCAATATCTACTATATCCGCTGCTGGCCCCATTTTTGTCACCTCGGCAGGGGGGATAATCTCAAGAAGCTCCTTGGTATATGCAGCTGCCGTTGCAGCAGCATACCTTTGCCAGAGCTTATGCTTGTGAGTATCCGAATAATCACAGATTCCTCGAATAACGAGACAAGGGAAATCATTCATCAGCCCTGCTGCCTCCATCTCAAAGCATAGTATGTTGTACTTTTGCTGGAGTTTATCCCTCGTGATCGCATGCCTCATAACCAAATCAGCAGATGCAATAGTGCCATAATGAATGACAGGATCATTGGTCTCCCGGGGCTGTCGATAAACCAGACGCGATTTATCGCAATGTGGGCAAGGGATTTTAGGATCATTGAGGGTATTTTTTAGTGGACTCTGCTTTCTTGTGAGAAAGCCGAAAGCAAATGCTATCACAGCGATGCTGTACACCACGGAGCATATTGCAATAGTACTGCTCCAGGGCAGCTGTTGCATGACGACAGCACTCGCAGTGATGGTTATAGCGCAGCCCAACAATCCCACAGCGGGGATTAAAGTAGGCTTCATAGCGTGTATTGGCTTTGCAAATTCGTCGTGCTCGTAGGATGCTTCAAAAAGATGGTCATTCTCTGAGCCCTGATGACAAAACATGTATCTGAACCGCGGATTTGCATCATCGGACCCCGATACCCTCTCGATCATTTGTGATACGTATCGGGGAATTGCATTACGATATTCCTCATGCCTAGACCGTAATTTTGACACCGCGTTTCGTAGCTGGGTGGGCGGCATATTAAGTATACCGGTGCGCTCAAACTCGCCACCAGCTACGACTTTTCCGTGGTTATATTTGACTACTCCACCTGCGAATCCTGTCAGATGTGATTGTGTCTTGAAGTAACTTGATTCTATCTCACCGAGAGTTTTGTCTGGAGTGCTCACAACGACATCGCCGAGTCTGATATCTTCAGTGGGGAGTTTGTTGGCACATGGAGCTCCTCCACCGATACCTACCATGAGTCCAAACCGAATCCTTGGAAAGGTTCGAAGCATATCTGCTGCTTGCTTGGATGCGGGTGTTGTTCCCGTAGTACCGGCTGGAAGACAAGCGATAACGATGTTATGTTCTTTAATCCGACCGAGGGTGTAGATGTTGTCGTCACCCTCGGCTTGATCAAGGTCTGGGTAAATTTCATCTAGCATTCCCCTTGATGCAGTTAACTCGATGGAAAGAGCACATAGCCATCCAACCGTAAAGTCATTGTGTGAGAGACTCCTTTTCAGACCGGTGTGAGTTCCTGTCCCGACAAGGTGAGAGAATAAGACTATGTACCTTTTCGACTCGGCGGTCATGGCGGTGGATGTTTCATCATACAGATGAAATGATGCCTCCGCTTTATTGAGGTGTTATTGTATCTCCAACATGCTTGCACTGTAGTGTTACTATCTGGTGATGAATAATATTGTATATGGTCCCGAGATGTAACAAGGCAGAGGAGAATCAAGGGATGAAAAAATGACACAGCCAGCAGAGGGAATAACTTGAAAAGGCTCAGCTTGATCCTAGCAAACTGATTACTGATCTGTTCTGATGTTCACCCCACAGCCTCAGATCTGGACCCCTCATCTTTGATCGACTATCACTGGCTGGAAACACGTAGCCTTGTCGGCAGCCTCGTGCCCTTTGATTGGGTATGAAGCGTGCTAGGGCATATTAATACAGTTTAGTGTGTTTTCACACTGCATTATCACACCTATTGACCGCCAGCTGCCAGAGCCTCCACATCTATCGAGCCCAGAATCGACTTTTGTCGAACGGGTGGTTTCCACTTCTCCCATCTTGACGGAACGGGCCGGTTGCCAGAGATATTGATATCCTTGGGAGATCAACTCCATAGGATCAGGCTGAAATGCCGATAACGAGTCAGCAAGGCCATTACTAAAGTCTAATATTCAACCACAGTGCTGTACAGAGATACAAAATTAGATGTTAAAGTAATATATTCTGCAAGAAGTTACATTTGATCTCGGACCTATGAGGATATATAAACGCCGTATGTCGGTGGAAGTATGACAACAAAGCTACAAGGCTAACTCCGAATAACCCTAGTGGCCTCGCGGGCTTCGATCATATATCGGCACTTTGATCGCAGCCAAGGGCCGTGGCGCTGGAGTAAGAACGGAATGGGAATGCACGCCAGCGCTAGAAACGCTGGCACCGACGACGCCCACCGGATGCCAAGTGTCTCATACATCCTGGGTGTGAATAAAGGGAAGACAGCCCCCAGGACAGATCGGAAGACGGAGCTGGCTGCCAGACTGGACGCAGCAAATATAGAATACGAGTCCACCAGATAGTGGCTCATACTGATGAAAATACAGACCAAGCCGAAACCGAAGAGCGCAGTGCCAATACAGCTGACGATAAAATGGACGGATGGAAAGTTTGTCCACGCAAACGTGAATAGTCCAAGTGGAATAGCGACTGCACCAACCATTGCTGGATGCAATCTTTGCTCAGCTGTAGTGGTTTTGTCTGCGCTATGAGATATTGCCCGCGCGCGCCGGTGGTCATGGAGGAAGGAATATGCGACGCCAAAGACCATGCCAACCAGAACGGCTAGGAAGGGAAGGGTCGCAATACCGGCTGTCCATCCGCGCATTTCATGATACACCAGGGGGAATGCTGCGAAAAGGAGGTATAAGATACCATACACGATGGCGAGATAGATTGAAATGAGAAGAACAACCGGTTCGAAAGTCAAGAGTAACCATGGCCTGACCAGGGCTGTTTTCACAAGCACGGCGTGGGGAGACTGCGTCTCCTCAAGCTTGCTGCGGTACTGTTTCCCCGTCTGTGCAGAGAGAATTTGCGCTCGTCGCCGGAGAAGAACGGGGGAATAGGTCTCCGGGATGATGAGACTGCCGGCGATCCAAAGTACGCCGGACATGACCGCGATGAAACCCTGGATCCACCTCCATCCCTCTGTCATGCCAATGAAACTTCCGATGATCGGGCCGAGGGTAGGGCCAAAGAACAAACTTGCTGTAAAGATGCTCATGGGAGTATTCCTCTCCTCTGGCGGGAAAAGATCCGCAATTACCCCCCCGGTGTTCACCAGCGAGGAGGATCCAAATGCTCCTGCAAAGAATCGACACAAGAGGAGGGTCGGTATGTTGTGTGAGCACGCCGCTCCAACATTGAAAGCAGTGAATGCGGCGAATGTTCCAATAAAGACAGCTTGTCGGCCCAGAATCTCGCTGAGGGATGCCCAAAGGAGAGGGCCCACAGCAAAACACATGACAAACAGGGTCACCCCAAGGTAGGCTGTGGTGGATGAAATGCCATACTCCTCCACCAGCTGCGGCACGGCGCCGGTATAGGCCGAGGATGCCAAAGCTACCGACAAAGTGGAGAGAGCGAGTATTATCGTAAAGACCCACCTTCGTGCCCTTGAGAAGCAATGAGGGTCGGCAGGGTCGTTCGAGGCCCATTGTACCATGAATGGGTCAGCACCAGTGCCTGTACCTTCGTAGGTCCGCGAGAGGAGATCTTGCACGACATGCCCTTGATCAAACATGGAATGGTAAAGGGATACCCCACGGACAATGGGATTCTGCTGTGTTCCACAACCATTTCTCATAGGCGAAACTGTCATCATGCACCGCATATGTGTGTATGGTAGGAATGATCAAGGACTTGTTTCACCTCCACAACTCCGTGCTGGAAATATCCAGCGATATACGCCGGCCTTCATCATCACAGTGGATAGTATCAAAGCCCGAATGCTACCTTACGGCCATTTTCACAGACAGTAGCTGAACGGAGTCGATCAAACCGGGTGGGTTGACGCGTTGATCAAAGCAGGCCAGTCAGTTCACGTAATGCCAAGACACTGGCGCAGCTGATGGGCGATTTTTATACCCAACTCAGACTGAGAGATGATCAGATAAGATCATGTCTATTTTCAATGTAACCTTAGAGACTTAGAATAGTAGACGTTACGGAGTACGGTTAGTCGAATGCGATGACGTTCCCTTCGGAAGATGAGACGGTGGCCAGCCATGATGATCGACATCGGAGGAGCATATCTCCTCTTGTCATACGACTCTTGATGTAATCATAACAAGACATCAGTGTGTTTTGTTCGTAGCGGAATTGCATATAAAGTTAGAGAGAGCGAAGGGGAAACCCGAGACAAGATCGTTGAATCATCCAGGGCAGAACCAGCAATCGACACAACTGTATTCTTATTCAATATGGGATCTTTCATTACAAGCGACCAATCCAACCAAGGAAACCCCAAAGATGGAATCCCTTGGTACCTTGATACTCTTGAACGTGTCCCTCCATTGGCGCAGCGTGTCTTGGAGGAGTACGCTGGACTGAAGCCGGAGGAGGTCAAAGAACACGTTCTGAAGATTGTATGGCTCCCTGAGATCCTGAGAGAACTGTATCACTGACTGGTTGTTCAAAGCGTGAGAAAGCCTGGACGTCGTCCCCGTATCCATGTGTTGGACTCTTTCGATTCCTTGACTTCTCTCTTCCCGACTCACCACTATATCGCGAGGTGCTTGACCGGGTCAAATACGGAGAGAAGCTGTTAGACTTCGGCTGTTGTTTTGGCCATGATATTCGAGCTTTGATCGCGGACGGGGCGCCCGCTGAGAACCTCTATGCTGCGGAGCTCAATGCAACCTTTTTGGATCTTGGGTTTGAGCTATTCCGTGACCGAGACACTATCAAGTCTACGTTCTATACGGCGAATATTTTTGATGAGAACGACAAGCTCCGTGCCGAGAGATTGGATAGCTTCGAGATAATCCACACTGGCTCCTTTCTGCATCTTTTCTCCTGGGACGGCCAGAAGAAAGCGGCCCTTGCCCTCCTGAAGCTGCTTAAAAGGCAGAAGGGATCGCTGATCGTCGGACGTCAACACGGCAGCACAACGGCCAAGGAGGTGCAGAACTATCTCTACAAGCCAACCAAGGAGAACGAGGCCAATGGACGGCTCGCCACCTTCTTTAACCATGATGCGGAGAGTTTCCAACGGCTTTGGGACGAGATTGGGGAGGAGACGGGATTGAAATTCGAGGTGAGAACTGAATGGGGCACCTGGGGCTCTGCGAATGGGATGGATCCGGCGTACTATAATCTTTGGTCGTGGGAGGATAAGGAGACCTTGCGTTTCAAATTTTGGGTTCGAGTGGTCTAGAGTACTTGACCGGGGGTTATTATAGCGCAAGAGAGCAGGGGGTGAGAGAAATACTGGAAGAAGAAACAGTATGTGGTTAGTTCGTATCCTAGAAAGGTATGAAGAGTCGGTTTCAATAGCAATGGATGATTTTTTTGCGCTGCAGCCCTAGAATCCTAGATCAATGGTAATGTCACATTTCGACACTAAGCTTTACCTATACTGGAAATGGCTCTACCGTTGCATATAAGTCAATACAGATTTATTTCTATTAAGCCAGCCGAATAAAAACTATATCAGACAATATAGCCCATCTTCCCTACTGTACTAGCTTCGCTTCTTCGGTGTTCGACAGGGACACTGGGTGAACTATATCCAGATTATACCGACATCCGTGATCCCACTTGCTTTGCAAGCTATTGTCTTCCTCACTGTCGTTGTTTCCTTCACGTTCTTGGTATTCCCGGCTGTCCTGTATAATATCAATCGCCTACGTATCGTTCCTCACGGAAAGGCCATTACTAAACCCTAATTGACATTCAACAACAGTGCTGTATGCTGTACAAACGTATAAGATTAGACATTACAATAATATATACAATACGTCCGAAGACGGTTAGTTATTACTTAATAAACAAAATAGTAGATCTCTTTGATCTAGTATTCACCCACTGGTTAGAAACAACTCCGCCTAACTATTAACCTGTCGTGGCCATTGCCCAGTCCAACCAAACAAGCACCAACATAACACCTCCGTGTCGCATCCAGCTACGGAGAAACATAGTAACATGGCCCACAGAAGTACGTACTCCAAGTGGCAAGGAAGTGCAGAATCCCGGCTATGAATCTAATGTCGATCCCGGTACTGTAGCATTGCGGGGCCGACGGGGCCGACTCGCTTACTTCCTTTCTACTCGTAATTCCTTTTTTTAGTGTCGATCTTCCGGAAACAAGTTCTATTGTGTTTCAGGGGGAAGTCTCTGGCCCAATCATGATGACTGTATTATGCTTTTCTATGTCGTCTTGGGGATTTGATATCTGGTGGAGTGCTGTTTTGTGAAGTGTTGGGTAGGGGTTACAGGACGGTGGTGATGGAACTTATATAGTCATAACTAGGGCTAGAAGAAGAAGGATATGATAATCTGCAGTACTATGAATTTAGCCAGGTATATCTATGAAGAAGAAAGTCTGGAACTCTATAGCAAAAATTATCCGTCGTGGACTTTTCTATAAGAAAGTGATATTCAATACAAAAACACAATTCATCCTCAACAAGAGTTATATTGCTCATCCTAGAACCCAAACTACCTACCCCCAGCACTATATAACATAAAGCATGATATCACTCATAAAGACGCGATATAATCTAGTTGACAGCTTCGAACTTGACCGGCAAACCGGGCTTCTCATACTCCATCGTAAAAAAGTCCTTCTGCTTCGGTCGTTGAAAATCAGGTGGAAGGCTGAGCTTATAGTTCCGGAATATGTATGCCATCACAATCGTGATTTCGGCGAATGCGATGCTAGAAATGCCAAGCGCCATCAGTATTGTATAACAAGCAGAAAGATTACAAAGTATTCTGCGCTAGGTGTAGCTCCTGCAGATATGGTTGAACTTACTTCTGTCCAATGCACATCCTAGCACCCTTGGAGAAGGTACAGAGGTACTGGTCCAAGTTCTTGGATTCGGGCTGCAGCCAGCGTTCGGGGTTGAAGGTTCGCGCGTCAGGGCCCCAGAGCTCTTCGCTGTAGTGCATTGTGTAGGCCGAGATTGAGATGACGGTCTGGACAGATTAGTTCATCTATTTGACTTAAAGTCGATCAGATAGATACGTACGCCTGCGGGTATGACCTTTCCATCAACAGTGAAGGGCTGAGACAGGTTGTTGGGAACAATGCGAGGTAACCGGCCAGGGACGGGCATTCCGATCCTCAGGGCTTCTTTCACACAAGCCGTCTAATATCTGTCAGTACCGAACAATGATTCTTGACAGACGGGTATACTAGTGGTGGTCAGGGGAATATACCAAATAATCAATCTTTTCCAATTCCAGGAGTGGCAGGATTCCCTGCTCGTTTGGCTGTACCGATTGTACGGCCTCGACCAACTTGTTGTGAACCTTTTGATCTGCGAGAATATGTAGCAGCGCTGCTGTCAGGGTAGCTGCAGTGGTATCCGATCCAGCAACCAGGATATCCATGGCTTCGGTGATTTTCTGAGGGTAGGCCACTGACGGAAGGTGATCGAAGACAACTGGATGAGATGTGGTATTGCCATGTTTCTCATAGTGATTCATGCAGCTCTCGGCGAACTAGTTAGATAGGGTCAGTAAGGGTATGCGAACATAAAGTTGTAGCGATATGGCACGTCTCACGTTGATAACTTTCAGAAAGTCCACAACCTTTTTGTTCATTATCTTCACAAGACTCCTTGGCAAACGTGATCCAATCCTCCGCAGCAAAGGCCATTCATGGGCTGTCCACGTGTCGCTAGCGACTGAATCAAACGCCCTCAAGAACCACGAGTCAAATGTTGATTCTTCCTCCTCGAGCATGTTGGCGGAGCGTGCAAAGGCGAACTCCATAATAACCTCTGTTGTGAGGCACCTTTAGGTTATTAGTCACACGTTCAAAACTTGACGGAATTTTAACCAGAGAGAGATTACCGGAAGGCGTCATAAGCGTTTATCAAGTGCTTCTCCTTCAATCTGTCAATCTTCTTCATCATGATTCCCGCCTTGGTATGGATAACACCTTCGAGCTTGAATACGGCCGTGCGAGAAAATAGAGGATTCAGGATTTTGCGTCTTTCTTTATGCAGCGCCGGGTCTGTCTCAGCAAATAGCGAGTGGTCAATGTTGAATGCGCTATAGAAAGGAGGATACTTGAGGAAGGGCTTGGATTGGCTGTAGATGACTTTGTATTGGTGAACGTCAGAAAGGTGAAGTTCATTCGGCGCAATGCGAAGGGCCTTGGTTTCTAGAGTTTTGATTAGGTGTATTGTAAGCAAGATGCACAATATCAATGGGCTATGTTTCCCTTGGGAGGGCCATACGGTATCTCTCGTGCAGCCTTTCAAATTCATGCTCCGGGAAGCCTCCTTGGTTAGTTTTATAGAGCCAGTTCGTGGACAACGCTGCTTCAGGTGGACCTGAGAATTGAGACAGCGGATGAAAATGGCGACGGTAGATGCTTCGGACGATATGTAAAGTTCCAATGCCAACGATGAGCACTGTCAGAACGCTGACACCCTGTGTCTTCAGGAAGGGCACGCCCAAGTTGTCTGCAATATTGGCTATGTTCGACATGGCGACCGACGAGTGCACTATCAAACTAGTTCTGATCTGATGTATGGTTGATACAGAGCACCTTTCCTCTCAAGTGTGTACCTCACCAGGGTACTTATAGCTTCGACCCCCCTGGCACTTGCGTAGGCATCTCCACCGACGCTCGATCACCGATCTGGGATGTGCATGCATTGAAGCCTCGACTTGGCCAGAATACCTGCTCGGAAACCGGTGTAGGAGCTTCTATCTTCTGCAGTACTGGTGGACCCCGCTCCGGCTGGCTGCATCTCCACCGGGTAGTGGATCGTTTATCGGCTCCGCAACAGACTAAGTGGGTCGCTAACTCATGAACAACATTCTTGTCATATGAAACTGCTTATATGTAACAATGTAAGAATGTAAGATTTCAAGAGCAACACACTTCAACTCCATCTATACGGTAGTGTCAAGTTGCCAACCGTCTCGTGGCTTATATATCTGACAAACAGTATAAGTGAATACGGTTGTCGTTCTATAGGAATAACTCGGCTGCATAATATATACAGATGGTCTGTGGACCCTGTGTAGATTGCTATAATCGGCGTATCCATGTTGGACGCCTGAATTTTTTGCAATGGCTCTTGCAGCCAAGCGATAAACCCTCACGAGGCCCATGAATATGGGGCATCAGTCAATGGGTTCACCTCCTCAACAAGCTCATTGAGGGCTAATATAAATCCTGCTCGAAGATGCGGCCATGCATCATAAGATTTGAGAATACGTTGACATTCTCTGAGGAGGCGCGTGGAAGCCCCTGGTTCCAAGAGGAGTCCAACACCGGTCAGGTAAGGTCGACAGTCGGGATTGCCAGCAATCCACTGTTGCTCCAGCGCCGAGTCAAGGCCACGGTCGATCCTTAGGAGCCTATGTGATGAGAAATGGTCTGAACGCAGCCATTTGGTAGTGATGCTGGTACAGAACCGCTCATAGACCCATAAGTACAGAAACGCAAATAGGAGACTGAACCCTTGGTAGCAAGCAGGAGTTAGGACACCACGAGTCTCCCGGATGATTGCACCGGCATGTATTACGCATTTACGTGCACCATCTGTGTCTTTCTCCATCACTTGAGCTATGCGCTTCCCGGCGGCGATACTCTCCACATTAGTAACAAGCCACCCGGTGTAAGCAAGGATATCCCGCAAAGACGTGTATCTAAAAATGGACGTCAAATGATAGCAGATAGTGAAGCAGTCAGGGAAAGCGGATGCAGACGTTGTTGGTGTGAAGCTCGGTTCTAATAGTTGGTATCTGGAATTAAGGCGTGGGTATGAGTTGGGCGTCTCCTGCGAGTACCGCAACGTGCGAGGGTTACCGTTAGGCACCAGAAAGCGAGTAGTAAACCGAGATACGTTCACAGCTTGCTTCTCTCCAACAAATAGACCGAGTAGTAATGTCAGCCTGTTGAACTGTGATAATTGTCCAATAGAAAAGTTACTGCTACAGTCAGATGACAGAAATTCTCTTAGAGTGATTACGGGTGCCTCTAGTGGAGGTTAGTACTAAAAGAGTCAAGAATAGTATTTTGCTTACCCGGACAAGATTGGAGATGTGACTCCCAGGAGTGAGCATCCTGGCAGTTCCAGAGTTCGTCTGGGGAAGGGAGTCTGTGCTCGAAATCATCCATTGAATAGCTTGGTTGCATATCAATAAATACGACACAAAATGAGTCGAGAACTGGATCCACTAGTAAGCCATTTATCCTGCCATTGAGCCCAAGAGCAAGATATCGACGCACGGAAAAAGGCATATACCAGGCGGGTGCGGGCTTCCACTTGAAGCCATGCATGCCATCGGTCGGAAATGGTCACAGTTCGGGGCACATCTAGCAAGGCAGAATCTGTTTTACTGTGGGGGTTGAGAAATGGGCGAATAAGTGTAGCCAGCCAAGTGCGCAGAAACTGCAGGTTGATGATATTGTCTCGGAAGCCATTGAACACAAGGCTAACATTGAGTAGCAAAGTGGACTGCGCCAGAGTCATTGCATCGTATTGCAGCGCTTTAGCAGCCTGGGGCGGTTAGCATCGCCAGATTGCGTCTCATTAAAACGGAGGGCTTACATCAAGGGGGATGGCACGACGTAAGAGCTCGGAGAGAACTATGATGTATTGTTTGCCTTTAGCCATTTTAGTATATTGGCTTCCGATAGCTGCCACGGCAAGCACTAGAATCCATGAGCCGTGGCTTTCAAACATAACTGGATGTATAAATGGCATCTGTGAATGGAAATATTCAAAATACAGCTGAACAAGGCAATTGAGACGGTTAAGGTCTGGAAGGGCCAACCTCTTGAAACAGATTTCCGTCTGGGCCAGATAGAAGCTCTGGATCTGTTCATACGTTTCATTGCGCACAGCCCTTACATGAAAGAAGTTTTCTGCGATCAGTATATCATAGTCAGAATTGGAATCCGGATCGCCTCTGGGGGATATAGAGCTAGATGCTATGGGGTCATTTAGTACATGCGACGCGGTTTGCGAAGACTGATGAATTTCTTCCGTAGGAGTAGGCAGTGACTGCAGGGTAGCTGGTTCGATAGGTGTGCCCGGCCTAGGTGATTGCAAAACTGGAGGAGACTCAAACGGGTGTGTACTTTGCTGGCAGAATGTGTCCAAGCAACTGAGCCCAGCGCCGCTGTTAAGGGAAGCGCTGTATTGCGGATCATGAAGGCAGTCAAATGGACCCCAGGTGAACAGATTGCCCAAATCAGTGACACAGTTCGGAATGCTCAACGCACTAAAGGGCCTTATCTCCGGCGGCGCTTCAACGCTAGCATATTCCACTAGCTGGGGATCTCCCGGTAAGGCCCTAAGCTTTTTTATGTCTCCACCGAAGCTCATGCCTGCTTGTCCTATGTCATCTTGACTTAAAACATGCACTGCGGATGATCTATCCCGAGCGCCATCGCTACCCAGGGAGTGATGTTCAAATATACAGGTGCGGTTCTTGTTAGTACAACGGGCGCAAGGTGGATGCCCACTGCAGCGCTGCTTCTCGCGTGCACAGTTCTGACAAGCATGGTTGCTTCGAGGTCTTTTAGCCCTTGATGTCGGGAGTGGCTGATCTCCATGCGTGCTGATATGCCGCTGCAATGTGTCTCTGTGTGCCAATGAGAAGGATGTCAGGGCTCCATATGCAAGAATTCATACCTTCGTGAGAATGACTTGGAGCAGAAGGAGCATGTAAAAGGACGCACGCCTAAATGACGCCTGAGATGGCGGTCGAGGTGTTCCTGGCGGCGGAAAGTTTCTCGACAAACATCGCAATAGAAGTTTGGGGTATCCTTGGTAGAGCCCATTTTTGGATCACGGATAGCCCTTCTGAATGGGATCAAACGTCAAGAGCAGCATTTCCCGTCAATGCATCATTCTACAAGCCCTGGATTTTGTTTTGAAACCTGGCGGATTTCTCGGAGGTAAGTAGATACCGCTTAGTAAGAGGAGATGCATTTCCCCGCAACGCAAATCATCTGCCTGGATTGCAAGGCAGCAAGGCAACCGTTAGGTTTGCACAGGGCAGTATTCTTTCATTCTGAATAACAAACGTTAAGTGCAGTTTCATTAGTATCTCAAGTCCTGGGTGTAGCTAAGCCATATTCTACCTATCGTCTAGGTGTACCACGTAGGATTCGGGACCTCATCCAACAACCAAAACCGTCCCAGCTCGGACTCCTTGTAAGCCACAGGATCATGCAATGTATGAGTCCGCACGTCCTTCCAAAAGCGATCAAACCCATACTTCTCTGCGGTAGACCTCGCGCCAGTGACCTCGAACACACCGCTAGTAACATCCAGCGATGTATGAGTCGCTACGACCTTCACGCTAGCAACCCATTCAGCCACTTCACCACGTCTACGCGCGGACAAATCCCTCTTCGACCCATGCTCCTTGAAAGCATCGGCAATCTCCTTACCTGCACGATCAGCTAGTGTATCTGCCGCACGTAAAGAAGCGAAGAACTTCCCGTAGCGGGCAAGAACGTAGTGCTCATCTGTGGGACTTGACTTGGGGTCATGAGCAAATGGCCAGGCACGAGTTTGAGTGAGAGTATAATGCCTTGCCGTGCGGAGAGCACCTTGTGCGATCCCGATATAGAAGTTGGAAAACACGAGCTGGATCGTAGGCAACAGAAGCGCAGTGAAGGGAACCTGGAGGACCTCGGGTATGGGCGCTTTTGTTTCCTTGGACCATCCCAAAGCATCCTCCCAAGCGATAGGAACATTTTCAATCTTGACGGAGCCAGACTCTGTGAGACGCAGACCAATATTGTTCCAGTTGTGGGAGAAGATGATCCCTGGCTGGTTGGTCGGTACAAAGGCGAATATGTGGCCTTCTGTGTCCTCATAGGCGCCTTCCAGAACAGTGAGATCTGAGACTACACCTCCCGTGTTGAAGTTCTTGAACCCGTTGAATACAAGGCCATCGCCTGATGGGGCACGGGTAACACGGCTATCATTATCACGAGGGTTCACAGCTCCTTGGGAGAGTTTAGCCTGTCGTCTTCATTCTAGAAACCCGATGTATCATACCTCCGATGAAGTAGTTGTTCTCAATGATCAGCTTCTCATAACGCTCCTTTTGGTCATTGGTACCCACGATATGTGCAGTAACTGACCAAAGTAGATGATAGCCCAGAAGCATACCAATTGATCTAGGCAGTCGATTAGTATGTTTCGAGTCACTTCCATATCATATTATAAACCTACCCATCTCCTGCAGCTACCTCGCGAATGACCTTGTATCCTGTCTCCCAGCTTTCCCCGCCACCACCATACTTGACGTCACCCAGTATCTTGGTTAGACCGGAGCTCTTCAACAAGGAGATCTCAGCCCTGGGTGTTTTCTGTTCTTTGCTTCTAGGCGATGCGTCTGGAGCGAGAATGTCGGACACTTTATGCGCTCGCTCTAGCCATCCCGCCGTCGTGGTTGGCTGTCCTTCCGCCGCGAAAGCGTCATGGTGGACCTGGTAGATAGAGGGGTCTGATGCAGGGGGTGCAGGATTTGGTGGAGGGTGGTTCTGAAGGGTTAGGACTGTCGGGTTGGACTGTGACATGATGTTTTAATTATAATTTAACTATGATTGAGCGGTGTGTGCAGTACTTGATCTATAGGCAGACTGTGCAGGGCCAGATGTTAGTTTATATAGCCGCGGATTATACAGTTCAAAGGCGGGCATGCGTTCGTCCGAACTCCCCGCCGATGATGCCATTTCTGATGCGCATTATATCGAAAATTGGTGATCATGATCGACTCTCCAATACTTTCTGGAGGCCAAAAGTTTGGCATATGATTTCTTAGCCAAATGGATAAGGTGATAAGGTTATTGTTTGGCGTTCAATTAGAGCGGGCTGCTGTAGAATGATTCGCGGTGGTTGTGATGGTGTGCTTCTCGCTCCGATCACGTCTTCAATTAGTCGCTGACCCAATTTTGAATCAATCAAAATTTGAAGGTAGTTCTCCTATCTAACAGGATGACCTTTGGATGGAATCTAGGAGTTTATTTGAAGACAAGTTGAATAGTTGTAATTGTGTTTCTTCCTATACTACATCGGGTTCGGGTTAGGTACCGGCCTAGGCCAGCCAGCCTGGGAGAGCATGTATCTACCTGCAAGTATGCGGCCACCCACTCCACTAACCAGGCTTGAGACATGATAAGCAGGGTGTACCTTTATTACAGTAGGATTAATTTAGGAGTCAGGTGATTTTGTATGCAATATCATTGGATAAACCAGCAGGTCAATCTGTGGGCCCTTCACTACTCTACAAAAGGATTCATGTTCCAAACTCTTAGGGTATACTACTATACACTGGCCGCCAACAGAATGGCATAAGTGTTAATCATGCGGTGTTGCGTGTGTCAACTCTTCAGTGCTGAATTATAGAGACACATGTATGAAGTTCGGCAGACATTAAATCAGCTAAGAGCACGTTCACCCGTGGAGCACTTTGTATAGTGTTATTTATCGGTTATAATAACTAATAGCCATTGGTTCCATCATGGAGGACCTAACTTCCTCTTCAACCTCTACGCTGGCAAAGGCGCGTAGGTGGTTTGAAGATGCATTTGATTTTCCGCCCAGTTTGCTTTTTCGTGGTATCCATCCTCTTTGGGTATCGTTTGAGAGGTTAGAACGTAGAATTGTCTTTTAATAGAGCTCATAGTGTTTATTAATATATAAGCGGAGCATCCCCCGTAGAGTAAATGCCAGCCAGACCTGGAGTGGGAGTTGTAGGTTGAAGTTATTCCACGATACTAAAAGTGGATTCAGTGGTCATAGTCTTAGCTAACGTATCCGTGGTAGGCGCTGTTCTTCCTCTATCCAAACACGATCCTTATATTCAAACGGCGACGCTGATCAAGTACACCCAACTGACTATTTACATTGCTTACAGTTGTGAATCACACCCCTAAATCTTCCCATGATACCCCAGTGCCCAACCCTTTGCAAGCTCAACCTATATACAATGACAGATCTTGAGGCAGGGAAGACACCTGTCCTATCCACCTCAGGCATTCAAACCACCAAAGAACATAGCAACCACCTCAGCCGCAACTTTCGAATCATCCTCCCCCTTCCCCTCAATCAATCCAACATAATGGGCAGTTTCCTCCTCGGACCACTTTAACCTCCTCCCAAACGCCAGACACGTCTCGCGATTGACAAAGACATCGAACTCAAAATGCCCCTGATACGTCAAAACCCTCCCAGGATAATACAATCCCTGAACTGGACACATCTCTGTGGACCCAACATTGACCCAACCGGCGGGCAACTCCGCAGTCGGTCCAGCAACAGGGACAACCCAGTCCCCATGGATCTCCTGAAGTCGCATCTGCTTCTGTGCGCCAGGGAGCTTCTTCACGGCCTCCGGGAACGAAGCCGCAAACTCCGGTGACAAGTCAATAGCAACGAGGCCCGTTTCGCGCCCATCCGGACAAAGCTCAACTTTCATGGCGGGGCCCGGCGTATATTGCGGGGCCGATGCGGAGAGCAATGCCTGCGCGATAATCTGGTGGCCGAAGCAGGAACCGAAGAATTTTACATGCGGATATTGGGTATATACTGTTTGGATCCAAGACTCTAGGGGTTTAATCCATGGGTGTATCGCGGTGTCGTAGGCTCCTGCGGCGGCGCCTGTGATGAGGATGCCGTCGATTGGCTGTGCTAGGGGGTTTGAGGTCTGGACCTCATTGTCATGGTTTTCTGGGCGCTTGGTGGTGCGCAGGCTCTCCAGTGGAGGAAATGTTCCGCCTACGACATCGTAGGCTGAGGTGAAGATGGTGATTTTACGTCCAGCTTCAGATAGCCGTGCGGCGGCGGATTGAAGAAGATCGCGAAATTGAGACGAGTATAGGCCGCGGGCAGTATAGACGGCTGGAGCGGGGACATCAGTGTCCAGGACAGCGATGTGGACGGACATGCTGAAGTCGGGGTGAGATATATATAAAGGTGGTTGACGCTGCAAATTCCAGGATGTCGAAGTCGTTTTATGCTTCGGATCCGGTTACCACATCGGGTAATTGATTCCCAACGGCCCACCTTTTGTGCTTCTCTCGCACGAGTGATGGATTTCTTATATGACTCATACGGGATTTGAATCTTAGCTAGAAGGGAAAGATATCTTAAAGCTGCATACCCTAGCAACAAATATGGGTGCAACATGAGAACATCAATGGCACCAATTCGAAACGGTTCGTTTGAACACAGGAAGCTAGGTGGAATGTATACTCAGACGAAGCTGATTCGCAGTTGAATCCGTATCTTTGTATTCTATACTTTCCTGCACTTTTTATGGGGCTGGCATGTAAGGCTAGTATGCATTGCCTTGGATACATAGCCATCATGTTGAAGCCCAAGCGCCATGATGGGAAGACTGCTGGTTAGGACATATCTTTGAGCATTTTACAACTATGAACTGCTTCATCCAGCATGTATGGATGTGATCAAATGTATAGAAGTGAAGAAGTGATTTCAACTTGCGAAACGGCTGCGACATATTCTAGTCACAGCATATGATCTGTTTGAGTGGGAGTTTATCGTGTTGCAGAGGCTAATAGATCTCCGCTTCGAATGCTGCACAGTATCATCCACCTCTTCCACACACCAACGAGGACTTTTCACCTCCCATGTTAGCCACGGGGCTTCGCCGCAGAAGCCCGGGAGGTACACAGATTGGAATCGTGCACAGTACAACCCAGTAGGCTATTTTGTCACTGGACCGTTTTTTTGGGGGGTGGTCTCCGGGGTGCAGGAATCTTTCAGTGGAGCCCTTCAATATCATCGTGAAGTTCTCCCAATCTTAATTCTTTTGACTAATGCTATCCTAAGCGTCGCAAGGGCTTTTAGGGCTCGACACCACTGCCAACAAGTCTCTCAAGCAAGTCGCAGCAAAGGTCTTCCTTTTGACACCGAGAAAGGAGTTCTGGCCTAGAGAGTGGAATTCTTTGTTCAGGCTTTGTGGCGCCCTGGTAGGCTTTGTGTAGTGGGTTTTCTTTATATGTGAATCCACTAGTGGGTGATGTTTGACGCGTTGAACTATGATCCGGAATGGTTTATCAACTTAATACTTAGTTGTCCTCTCCCACCATCTTTAGACCTCACTATATCGACAGTTCCTATTCAACAAAATTTCAACTCCAGCATATCTACTCCGTAGAACTCACTCTTATCCGAGCTAGTTTCTTCCGCAAGAGACAAAAACAAGATAGCTTAACTCAACTGGCCAATATCAGACATTGAAGACCCCGTTGAAGGAATGGCTATTTCCTGTCGCCATGCCTCGGATGGCCAAAATGATAAATTATGGTAGGGCTACGCTGAACGGAATCAGGCATCCACCAGGCAGAACTAGGCAAGGGTGTGGCCCCCTCCCGCAAAGGGAATAGCGTCGGGTGGGTGCCTGGCATCTGCCTGGAACTTCGGAAGTTCGCCCGCCATGCAGATCTCTTGACCCCCGCTGCCGATCCCCACCATACGCTATAAATCTACATAATATATCAGATGAGGAGAATCTATCATACTCCTATCCCGAGTCTACTATATCAAGCGATTAAGCTCCGTACAATGCCGACCGAGATGCCAAATCGTTTCCAACTACCGGGGTATAATTTACCCCTGAATTATCGGCCGGATGTTAGTCCCACCAGCCCCCTGTATCATCGAGATACTCAGTTTGGAATATAACTCACCGAGTCTTTGTTCATAGAATGGCGAGTTGTACAATCGTACACTCTTCCCCAGTGCTTTGGATTATGGTGACATTGAGTATGGTTCGGTTGAGTAAGGCTCCGCAAGCTATCCCGCGCACTGGCAAAGGTTTACTGACACGCGTTTAGCCGTGTCAATGTACACAGGGAGATATTGATGATGCGTGTCATGAATACTATCACTGACAAACCCGAATGGGATAGAAAGGTATGCGTTTCGCCCCGCAATGATACCTACTGCTGACACGGCCCAGGTGTTTGACGAGGCCATCATTTCCAAATGGCGGGAAGAGATCGCCCAAAGCGGCGAGGATGTAACCCCTAAAATGATGGATTATATCATCAAAGAGCTACAGTGGAAAGCAGATGACTTCCAGAAAACGGGTTTGTTCAAGGCGTATGACGCTGGTGTGGTGAAATCCGACACTGCCATCCCCGAGGACCTGAAACAAGCATTAAAAGATGCAGTGGCCCCTTTTGAACGTGTTCCAGAGGAGCAGAAAGACTACCACCCTGGATCTGATATGAAGGTGGTTGACCTGGTCCACCCCTCTCTCTTCCCTGTGGTTTTTGGCCGGACGCGAATCCTTCCGGACAGAGTCATCGGCCTTGACGACTGTCTTGGGAGCGTAGGACAGGGAGACTTGCTTCCGGTTCCCCTGGAAGAAGAAGCGACAATTGCTGGGTATGGAGAGATGGCGTACGGGTGGCGGAGGTGGGAAGCTGAGTCGTTGAGACCATTTAGCCGAAAGTTCCAATGGCTTCCCTGCGACGTGAAATTCATTGGCCAGAATGGTGAATGCCGCATTGATTCATACATCAATGGTGTCCATCCGTCTGAACATCGGGATCTCTACCAGGCGGTGGAGAAGATCATCGCACGGACAATTCCTCTCTGGAACAGAACTTTGACTTATGGGAGGCAACGACATTCCCGTATAGTCTATGATGACGTTGAATATCACCCAACGTCTATACCGGAGCCGAATTTTGACGACTATACTAACGACGAAGAATTTGATCAGAAGTATCAGGAGTGGCAAAACTCACAACAAATAGTACTCCCCGAGCCAGGGGAGTTCACACCTCCTGACACCACCTCGGAAATAGACTTACGGGAAAAGTTCCACGAATCAGGGCTGCAGGTCATCGTGAAGCTGGCTAACATTGAACTGACTCCGGAGAAGCCGGAGTACGAAGGTGGCACCTGGCATGTTGAAGGACAACTAGTATGCTGATCATTCTATTCCATGTTAACGTTTCGTGCTAACACTCGTCAGAATGAACGCATCTGTGCCACAGCCATCTACTACTATGACAGTGAGAATATCACCCAAAGTACACTTGCTTTCCGTCAACGTGCAGGTAGGGACGAGATATCAGAGGTTTCCTATGAGCAAGACCGCCATGAATACATACACCAAGTCTATGGCTTCAGCCCTGAGGTCAGCTCCAGAGATGAGACGCAGATCACGCAAAACCTCGGCAGCGTGGTTTGCCAGGAAGGCCGGCTCCTTACGTTTCCCAACATCCTCCAGCACCGAGTCTCCCCGTTCTCATTGACCGATCGGTCCAAACCAGGCCACCGCAAAATCTTGGCCTTGTTCCTCGTTGATCCTCATATGCGTATCATATCCTCAGCCAACATTCCGCCTCAACAGGAGGATTGGGGGAAAGAGAAGCGAGAACTCGTTACTGAGATGCTGTCTCGGAGATTACCGGTAGAGCTTAAGGATATGGTGAGCGAGGATATCCTGTATCCATCCATCACTCTTGAAGAAGCGAAAGAGTATAGGAAGGAGCTCATGCAAGAGAGGAGCGCGAGAACCAGTGAGCAGAACCAGAAATTTGAAACAGGTGACTTCTCGCTTTGTGAGCATTAAGGGTCATGCATTTGAAACTATCTGGGCATATATTCCGGATGTGTCAGGACATCTAACCACAAAAGCCGTTCCATATGCGAGGGGTTGCCTCATGTATTTATCAGTGTATAACTTAATTTACTTGACTATACGGAAAGGATCCCAACTATTTATATCAATCATTAACGAGCCATTCCATGCTTAATTGCAGTATGTGTTTGTTTCGATTTTGGTGCCCGGTCTGTTTGACATGCTGACTCGCAGCTAAACCATCGTTGATATCGGCCTACTACAATGCCCATATCACCAAACCACCGACGTTGCGGTCAAAACTTGTCACTGGAAGATTTGGCTGGGCATGATCGCTGTGCATGCGAACTGGTCCACTCGAAATAATCTATAGCTCTCCAAACCACACTTCCCTCCAATAAGTACTAGAACGGTAAATATTTACTGGCTCGCATTGCTTATACATCATGGTTCACCGCCAGTCAAATGATTGGATTCCGGGGCTATCGGAGATACAGCGAGAACGACAGCGCTTTGACTACTAGATTACCCCACGAGTCGTATAAAGGGCAGCATATGAAGCCAGACGACATAGACTTATTGAATCACAGTTCCCAGGTTCCCATTTTCTACCAGGTTGACCTCCGCAAGTACAACATCCAACCCAATGACAGCAAAGCTTCGAATTATAATAGTCGGCTCTGGCCTAGCAGGCCTAGCAGCTGCCAGGATCCTCCGAGAGCATCACGATGTCACTGTCTACGAGCGCGGCGGTACCGACACAGCCACTGGCGGACAGGGCATATGTCTATTCTCCAACGGGGTCAAGATTCTGCAAACGATGGGCTTCGATCGAGCGCGCGTCGGCGCCGTGCCGTGCTATGGCTACCGCGCGCTTGACAAAAATGGGAACCAGCTACAGGATTTCCCAGTGGACTTCAAAGCGAAGTACGGAGCAGACACCCTGGCTATGAAGCGGTCGGACTTCCGTGACGAGCTGTTACTCCTGGCGACCGCTCCTTCGGAACACCTCGGTATCCAGGGCCATCCCGCACAAGTGATATTCAACACCAATGTCGTCGACATCGACCCGGAGGAGGCTAGCATTACGCTGGAAGACGGGTCCGTTGTGGGCGCCGATGTGGTTATTAGTATGCGGTAACCAACAAACCGGGTATTAGTATTCTGCCCGAACGTGCTGACCCTTTTGTAGTTGCTGATGGCGTGCACTCACGTCTCCGTCATCGCATCGTGGGCTCCGACGCCCGGGCGAAGAAGAACGGGATGACCTGCTATCGTGTGGCGGTCTCTGCCGAGGCTGTGAAACACACGCTTGGCTATCTGCCCGCATGGTGGGATCCCCAAACAGCCGACGGCCGTATCTCTGCTTTCCAGGCCGGCGATGGGAGTAACCGACTAATTGCAGCGTATGCGATCCGGAATGCCGAGTACATGAACCTAGCGTGTGTCTTTCCTACTCGGCAGAATCGAGGAAATGTCCTGGAATCCTGGTACGCGGATGGAAATCGACGGGAAATGATCGAGACGTTTGACGACTACTATGAGCCCATGCGGAAGATTCTAGGGTGTGTACTTCTTTTCTTCTATATTCTCGGTGGTTGTAGCCAGGGCTAACGATATCCAGCATCGCCACAGAGGTGAAGGTCTGGGAGCTTCAGGATATCGACCCGCTGCCTAACTGGAACCGCGGACGGACAATCCTTATCGGAGACGCGGCACATGCAATGACCCCGATGCAGGGTCAGGGGGCTAATATGGCGTTGGAAGATGCGGATGCGCTTCGTTTGTTGCGACCGGGTATGTCTCGTAAGGATATTTCGTCTGTTCTGGAACAGGTTGATGGTGTCCGCCGGCCGCGTGCTACTAGAGTCCTGCGGGATACTCGTGTCCAGGCGAAGGATATCACGCTGGAGGAACGAATAGCCAATCTTGACTATAACTGTGGTTATAATGGGGTCTTTGAGGCTCTTAAAGCAATGAAGTGATCTACAGTGGTTGGTTGGTTAGTACTGGTTAATTGTCCTCGGGCATTGTGGCTTAATATGGCTGATGGGGGTTATTCGATTTCTTGATGTGGATATACTCTAGATTATGATGGTTTATATTTCTCTGTGTAGTGTATAGATGAGACAATGTTGTTGGTAGGCTAGGGTTCATGCTCTCTCCAGCCCCCGGTCTGTATGGATTAGGGCATGAATATCAAAACACACCTGTTTAAATGTCTAGCCAAGTTATTATATCGTTACTCTATGGAAACGAGCATCTTGCTCTACATCATAATGTTACCTATTAGAGCCCATCGAATACATACTCAGATTTTACTCACTCCTTAATCCAAAGCGAAACCTCCTCTCCACCACCCACCCCACCACCGCCTCATCCAAATAAACCCCCAAATCAACCCCCCCATCCCCCACCCCAGCATCCATAACCTGCACACACCCATCCATCTTCGGCATAACAGCATGCACATACCTCGGCCTCAGACCATGCCCACCGAAATCCACCTCATACACCCCCAACCGCAACCACGACGTGACCAACGTATGCTTCGTCCCCATAAACCCCTGCCACAGTCGCTGCGGCGCCACCTCCATCCCCGCATCGTACAGCATCGCGCCCAGCGTATCCGGGGTGAACTGCTGCATGACTTCTCGGATCCGGGATGCGTTCTCGCCCAGACTTGACGCGCATACCTCGGCCCCGGTGGCGCAGGCGTGCGTGATGAAGATCGGGGAGCCGAGGAATGTTTCCGGGAGGGGTGGTGAGACGCGTGGGCGAGCGCTTAGGGTAAGGTTTAGGTACACTTTGTCTAGGGAGTGGGCGTGGCCGCGGGCTTGGGTGATGAGCGTCCAGATGTGTGCGAGGAGGGCGTCTAACCGGGAGATGGAGCCTTGCTGGGGTCCGAGTTGTGTGCAGGCGAAGTGCCGGAGGTGGTCGAGCTCGGGGCCGGTGAAGTGGAGCTGGGTATAGCTGACTGGCCTGGTGAAGTCCCAGGTGGCCCAGGGGGCGGGGGTAGACGGGGAGAGGGTGGTGTTGGTGAGGTACTCCGGGGGTGGTGTGGAGTTCTCGGTGTTGGGGATCATGATCGCTGGGTAGTCTGGGTCGGATGTCTTCCACCAGTCGTAGCGGTGGAGGGGGAGATTGCGGGCTGTGGTTATGAGGGCGGGATTGGTGTGGATGTCGCTGCTGCTGCTGGCTTTGGAGTCGAGCATGGATGGCTCAAAGACCGGGTCGGGGACGGAATCCGTATGGCCGCTGCAGGCTGCTGCCCATTGCTTCATGAAGAGCATTAGGGCTTGTGCGTCTGCGAGGCAATGTGCTATTTTCACTCCGATCGCAAACCCTCCCCCCTCGAACAGAGTGACTTGGATTGTCATGGCGGGCAGGCCCTCGTAGTCGCGGAGGTTGGCTAGGGCTAACCGGGTTTGCGAGAGGAATGTATTCTGCGTAAAAGCATCTCCGGTCCAGCACCCGTTGCTGGCGCGCTCTGCAGCCGTGGGAACAGCACTGGCGATGGACTGAGCAAGTCGCACGACGGACCATTCGACTCCTGGATCAGACGCCGAATTGTATGTGATCATGGGCCGGTGGGTCCGTCCTGGCTGGAATGGGACCCATTGCAATTGACCGGCCCATTGGGGGAAGTGGTCGAGGGTTTGAATCAGAGAGGCTTGGAGATTGTGTAGGAATGTGTTTTCATCCGAGCCCAAGTCATCAAAAAGCCAGATTGCGCCGGTGGGGGCGAACCGGACGACGGTGGCATCGAGAATCGAGAGTGGAATAGAGGTCGGTTGGTGGACATGAGACGAGGGCAACAGCCGTGTCGGTGAATCCATGTTGTTGTTGGTTTTGGTCTTGGTATTCATGGTTTCAACAGTGGCTGTTGCTCGACTTTTAATTCCCCAGACCACGCTCGTATCTGAAGCTAATCTTCGTTTTCATGATTGAGTTCGTATGATCCGAAATGACGCGAAATGAGTCACCAAGAAACGAGACCACAGAACAACTGCAGCGAATAACGCACAACAACAGAGGTATGATTGCCATTGAGATATATTGAGATTGACTCTGACTTCGGTCTCGTTGGAGGTGTCACGGTGCCAGGCGAGGTTAAAATCAGTTAGTGCTGATAGCTACTTAGGGTTGGTAGAGGCCACTGACACTTGGGAGATCACCCGCTCATTAATAACCCCCTATAGCTCCTAGTATATTATCCTTACCTTTCAGTGATAGTGCCTTCTGTTGTTCATTAATAGATTTGCGTCGTTTGCCAAGTCGAAGAGTCTGTGGTTAGCGTTGGTGTCGTATCCAACATCATCAGAAAGGTACATTGGATCTTCATGAGTAATAAATACCCCTAGTCATATAACAGCTTACCGTATACAGAGTAGTAAGTACAATAGAAAATTCTAGGGAGATATTAAGTTAATTAATATCCCCAAGGCTACAATGACAGGGATTCCAAACCCATTCCATATTCCTTCTAGCCTCAGGCATCAATTCGAGACCATTGTATACACCGAGTAGTACTCCGTAACTTGGCAGTACTTCTCTTTGCGATATCGACAGTCCCCAGTACTCATATACCACAGTCATCATCCCACACTTCTTATAACAAATCAAAGCAAACACATAGAAGAGAATGTCCATTCGATTAAAAACGCCATTGCTAACAGAAACCACACACGAAACCCACCACCACCCAACCAGGCACCAAATCAAAACCAAACCAACCACCGAATGCAACCTCGCCCCCACAAATCAGAACCAGAAGAATCTCCAACTCAAAAACCAGACCAGATGGACCAGACCTGATACGCAGTCCACGTACCTGGAGGAGCAAAGCCCTGCCGAATTGCCGGCCAACGCAGCCAAGCAAAGATCCGCATCACAACATCCAGCGGTCTTGATTGCGCCATCCGCTCCCCAATCACGGCCCGAGCGCATCGGCGTCCACGTCCTATAGGAAGTTTCAACTTGGCCAGCACGCCATGTGATCCACCTCTTGCATGGTCGGAAGCTTCATGGAAAGGTTGCGGCCAAGTATCGGAAACCTTGGACGGAGTATGCGAGATTATCTCGGCGAGGGGTAGCAGTTGAGGGGGAGGGGTATATAAGGGAGCCAGTGCGTCGTGGTGGTCAGGAAAGTGTATAAAGGCTACCAATTGAGGTTATCTATTACTTGAGTTTGGGATTAGATCATTCTTGTTTACTTTTTATATCGATTCAATTGTCTACTCGTCGATATGGCCGCCCTGACCCAAGCTCCCGTGACGGTTCCCCTGGATGTCTTCCCCGATGGCCTGAAGACCACCGGCCAGCATGCGCCGCTGTACGATCACATCAAGCCTTTTGAGCATTTCCCCAAGGAAATCTCCGGTCCGACCGTCTGGAAGGCCGAGGAGTATCGCGATGCCCCCGAGAAGTGGACGCATCGGTTTACGCCCGAGGAGATCGCCGAGTTGAGTGCGACCGCCGATCAATTCCTGGCGAACAAGATTCCCTTGACTGGTATTTCTAAGGTGGGTGTGGAGATCATACACTGAGGCTATGGAACACGGGCTAATCGGGTATAGAGCAACTTCCCCCTTCCCAACCTCGCCAAGCGCCTCGTCGAACTGCGGGCAGACCTCGTCGATGGCAAGGGCTTCATTCTCTTCAAGGGTTTCCCCGTCCAGGAGTGGGGGAACCACAAGTCCGCCGTCGCATACATGGGTCTGGGCACGTACCTGGGTTACTTTGTCAGTCAGAACAGCCGTGGCCACGTCTTGGGTCATGTGAAGGATCTGGGCGAGGATGCCACCCAGATTGACTCCGTGCGCATCTACCGCACCAATGCCAGGTATGTTAGGGTTCCCGGTGGTAGAGATAGTGGTGCTGACAGGGAGCAGACAATTCTTCCACTCGGACGACTCGGATATCGTCGGTCTGCTGTGCATCGCTCGTGCTCTCGAAGGGGGCGAGTCCGACATCGTTTCGTCCCACCATGTCTACAACACTCTCGCCAAGGAGCGTCCGGACGTCCTCAAGACCCTCACGGAGCCCATCTGGTACTTCGACCGCAAGGGCGAGACCAGCAAGGGAGAGGAGGAGTACATTCGCACCAGCGTGATCTACCTGGAGCGGGGCGACAACGCCCGGGTTTACACCAAGTAGGTTCTCCCCCGTTCTTTCTCCCCACGGAACGGATGCTAACGGGCGTAGGTGGGATCCGTATTACGTTCGCTCTCTTTCCCGCTTCTCTGAAGCAGGCATCGTCCCCCCTCTCTCTGCCGCCCAGGTCGAGGCGCTGGAAGTCCTCGAGGCCACCTGCAACCGCCTGTCCCTGCACATGATCCTGGAGGTCGGCGACATCCAATTCCTGTCCAACTCGCACGTCCTGCACGCACGCACCGCCTACACGGATCATGCGCCCCCCGCCCCCCGCAGGCATCTGATGCGTCTGTGGTTGGCGACGCCCGAGCACGAAGGGGGCTGGAAGTTGCCGTTCTGGGATAGTAACGAGAAGAAGAGAGGTGGCATTCAGGTCGACGATCAGGCCCCAGTCGCCCCGTTGGATGCGGAGTAATTCCGTCCTTGGGTTACATGCCAATGATGGGGATGAGTGTTGTTTTAACGTAATGTCTGTCCGCTTTAGCCTTGCCAATTTTTTTTTAGCTCAATACCATGTTTAATTAGTAACGACCATTAATCTATACATCATTAGTCATAAGTCGTATGCCATAATTATTGGACGATCTTGTAGTTGCCTCCGCTGACGATCTCCAGCTTTCCCTGGGCCACCATCCCCGCCAGAAACTCCCGCAGTTCTTCGTTGCTGAACGGAAATCCGCCCGGGACGGCGATCTTCAACATCATCACAATGCGTTGCAGCGGCATGGCGCCTTGGTTGGTCAACATTCCCATGATGAACTGCCAGTACAGGTTCATCTTCTCCATCGCCGCCGCCTCCGCAGATTCCTTCGCTGCAGCCGCCGCCGCCGCTTCAGCTGCTGCGGCCGTGTCCGCCGATGCATCACCTGCGTTATCGTCCATGCCTGATACGCCAGTGCCTCCGACAGCCTCGTCCTCCTCATTCGGTAGAACCTCCAGCACGCGGAAGGTGTCTCGCTGCACCTCGGCCAGGATGCGTTTGCTGACCCAGAACAAACATGCGCTGCGCACCAGAGCCACCGACATGTCCAATTCCTCCGCCAATTCATTGGCGGTTTTGCTAACCGCATCGCCGGACGGCGAGTTGAATGCATAGATGACGGTTGCCTGCCAGGTAGATACTTCGTCCACAAACACTCGGTCCTCGAGATCCAGCTCGACCGTGACTTGTCCGAGACCGTTCAGCCAGGTCAGCTTACGGGACTGCTTGAGCGACGCGAATCCTGCCGCATAACGCTGCTGCAACTCTGCGATTTCCTCCGGCACCTGGAAGTCCTGTTCTTGGATCTCGGGCCAGAAAAAGTGGGACAAGATCTTGGCATGCAGCTCTGGGATGTCTTCGTCGTCCGAGTTGGGCGTAGATGCGGCAGGTTTCCTGGTCAGGTCCTGGTCGTTTCGCACAACCGCATCGACCCGCCGCGAATCGAAGATATCCCGCATCATGACCTCGCAAGCCTGCAAAGCATTATCCCCAAAGCGAAGCTTGAGAAGTTCCAGCACCGACATCTCCTGATCAAAGTCCGTCCGCCGTTGGAGCAGCCGGTCGGCGAGCATTCTCTGCATCTCCTTCACAAAGGCCTCCTTCGAATCGAACAAACTGATTAAGCTACCGATGACGTCCGAGGTCTTCGATTTCCGGTAGTCAGGTGCTGCGTCGACCGGATCGGGCATCCAGTTCATATCATCCCAATCCAGCTCTCCTCGATCACTCCTCATCGAAGTCTGGTGTGCCTTGGTCAATTCTGCGGACAATTCAACCAAGGTGTCTCCAGAAGCCGTCTGGCCATGGGCATCGGCAGGGTCGGCCATAAGACCCCCGACAATAACCTTCACGGTATCCGGCCGATCTCGAAGATACCTGCGAATGGGTCGAGCGATTCGATCCAGAAGGACGCCCTTGGGATCTAACAAATTGAATGCGCGGATAATCGATATATAGACCTGCAATATCTCCACCGTTGAGGCGCCCGGGTGCAAAAGACGACTATCCAACACAGCGGAGAAAGACTGTGTCACCTGGAATCGTCCTGCTGGGTGTGCCGTAAAATGACGCAAATCATCAATCGCACCACTGCTCGCCGGCCACTCGACTATAATATCAAATAGTTCCCCGGTTCGGAGTGCCCCCAGTCGGGAGAGGCCAATTTCCTGCCACTTTTCCACGTCGCTGAGTTTCACGTCCAGACGGTCAGCCTCTTTGGTTCCAGACTCGGGCACATTGATGATGGCTAAGACCTGCACAGCCAACCGAGCATAAACATTCTCCACCCAGTGTCGGAGGTGTTGTGAGACCTTTGATGGTCCCTCCCACTGCCCGGAATACGCAGCCCGGATAAACTCCGTCATCATGGTATTCATCACACTCGCGAAGACCTTCTGAGCCCTGACACCGCCCAGGCCGACAAGCTCCAGGTCATTGAAGAGCGACAATAATCGTTCACGGGCAGCAGTCACGCGCGTATCCTCGCCTTCGGTCATCATCTGCATGCGAACCTCCGCAGAGGGCTCATCCCGCCAAGCCCGGTATGAAACGGAGTGCCGTCGGTCGACCTCCATGCTATCCTCATCATCCTCCACAGCGTCGTCGTCGTCCTCCTCCAGCGTATCAATCCCCAGTATCGTAACAGCATGTGTCATCAACTCTCTCGTAAGCAAGGGCGAGACACGCTGCCACGGTAGAGTGTAAGCAATCATCAAGTGAAAGCCCCGCCGCCGCTGGACAAACACCTTCTCCTGCTCCACGGCGCCCAGCAGCGGAAGGAGGTACTCCATCAAAGGCGCAAAATAGATCTTGCGTATCAACTGCAGACAATAGACGATTTTCCGTAGCCCATTCGGCTGATCCAGTAGCTAGACACGGCATACCCTCTTAGTAACCACCATCCCCATCACATCCACAATGCAAGGGAAGGGAAAAACCCACCTTCACAAGCCCAGCCTTAAAATTTTTATAAAAGTGTCTCCGCATCTCACTCCCATACCATTCAAAGATACTCCACTCCTCTCGATCCGCCGCCGCCAAATACGCCAACGCATCGTTCACCTCCCTCCCCGGCGCCTTGGGCACATAGTTCTCGATCCCGCGGAACCCCTGGTCCGGGATGGACAGGAACTTCGTTGCCGCCAGCCATGCCCGATCCCCCGTCGCATCTCGGGCCTTTATTCTGGGTTTCGCGTCAAGCTGCACGGGTGGGAAGACACTCGCGAAGATACGTCGCCGATGCGGTTCGGTAGTGGCCATGTCGTATTTGCCTCCGCCCCGAGCTTTCAAGGCATTGCCGTTGTTCAACGGTCGCTTGTTTGGCGAAGATTGATTTGGTTGCTGTTCGCGACTGCGTCAACGCGTTGATGACTCAGCGGGTATGGCTTATCGATAAGGCAGTGTACTAGGCCTATTTGGGAAAGAGCCATGCTGCTGAGGTCTGCAAAATAGGAGCAGTACCCTAAGTATAACTGGGTTTTACAACTCAGGGATGTAGTGGAAGCTTTTTAGAAGCAATGTACTATCATACGTGTATACTGGATGCCCCTGCAGGAGACGCTCATCCCAGGTCAATATGAGGTCCAGGCCAGCCGTTAAGTTCGGATCGCACTCAAGATATATACCGTGAACACCACTACACATGCACCCAACCAAAAGTTGGAGATGTTGGCTACGCACGTCTAAGATTGGCGTACTTATGATATACGGAACTAGTATCTTTCCAACATAGCCATTACAATAAGCACAAAAGTCCTTGAATCATTATCTCGTTAAAAGCCTATCTACAAAACATCTGATATACAATAATATGAATCGAAATAAGAGCCCACCTGGGACCAACACCGAGCGGAGATATTAACACACACACACAACGGACCCAGAGATAGAGTCTCAAGCCCAAGCTCAAGCTTCCATGGCGTGTCTCTCCGCTTCGGCTCGAAGCAGCTCCACCTCGATAGCATGACGGCGGGCCTCGTCGGCCTCGCTCGAATTATCCTTGAACACATGGTCCATCTGTTCGAGCGTGCGTCCCTTGGTTTCGGGGACGAAGAAGAACGTCCAAACGAAGGCTAGGAGACAGAACACAGCGAAGAATGTGTAGGCGCCGAATCCAGTGTTTTGTACCAGGGGGGGTGTGATCAGACCCTGAATGTCTTTGTTAGTATGTCGTGTCGAGGTGGGTTGAGCGGTGGATACTCACGATGATGAAGTTGTTGAGCCAGTTGGAGCATGTGGAGAGCGCTACTCCCTTAGCGCGGAGGGATGATGGGAAGACCTCTGTATATCGGTTAGACTACAGCCTTTTTTTTTTTTTGAATCAAAGGTGGTGAAAAGGAAACTCACCAGAAGGCATGGCCCAGCCTACTGGGCCCCAGCTGGCACCGAATGCAATCATATAGACTAATAGCAACGCCACGGAAACCCAGCCCTGCGGCCGGTGTGCGGGCCAGTTATCCGAGTATAGACCGACGAGGACTGCGATGATCACATGGCTGATGGTCATTAACAAGGCGCCGGCGAGAAGGAGGGGTCGTCGGCCAAAGCTGTCCATCGTCCATACGGTTGTGACGACTCCGACGAGTTGTGTGACGTTGAGGATTCCGGACATCAACAGCTGCATGTCGTAGTCCAGGCCCATAGTTTTGAAAAGAGTAGGGCTGTAGTAGATTAACGCGTTGATACCGACAAACTACAGTTTGAACGTTAGTCAAGAAGGCTGAGAGAAGTAGTCGGGGTTTGGTACTGACCTGTTGGAAGAACATGAGTCCAACACCGACATGGGTTCTCTTCCAACAGCCGGGCTTGAAACAATCCGCCCAAGACGCCATCTCCAGAAGGAAAGCGTCCTTGAATCCACCACCCTGGAGATGAGGGTGCTTCTCCCGGTTCATTTCTTGGTGGAAGCGCACTTCGGCTTGGATATCCAGGAATTCCTGGCGGACACGCTTATCGGTAGGAGGCAGCCGCCGCAGTTTCGAGAGACTCTCGAGTGCTTCCTCATACCGATCCTTGGAGGCCAGCCATCTGGGGGAGAACGGAAGAATCATCACACCCCCAATGAGAACAAAACCGGGGACCATCTGCAGCAGGAAGGGAAGTCTCCAGGACCACTCTCCAGCCATGAACCGGGTGCCATAGGTGATCCAGTAGGCGATCACGATTCCGAGAACAATGCAGAATTCTTCCATCACCAAGAGAGTACCTCGACACTCGGGAGGACCTGGAATGAGTACCTATTAGCACCGCGCCCTCTTGACTAAGGCTTCACATTTGGACATACTGATTTCAGAAATATACAATGGCGCAACCATCGACAGCATACCGATACCCACACCTCCGATCAACCGAGCCACCGTCAACATCGCGTAGTCGACTGCGCCGGTTTGGAGGGCAGAGCCAATGGTAAAGATAATGACCGCGACAATGATAGAGTAACGTCTGGAGATCTTATCGGCGATCCAACCCTGGTTCAAAGCTCCCAACAAGGCACCCAGCTCAATCATTGCCGTCATCAGACCCTTCCAGAAACCTGAACCCGACGAGTCTGGGGACACTTCCGGGAACCGCTCCAGGAATTGGTCCATAACCAAGATGACCGACACGACACCTTGGTCATAGCCGAACAACAGACCTCCAAGGGTCGAACAAGCAGCGCACATCAGGACGAATGGGTTGGCAACTAGGCCGGCAAGGCCCGGAGGGCCATAGGGCTCCCTATCATTCAAGATGTCCTCCGCATGATGAGAGAATCCCTGGATATCGGATTTCCCATCGAGGGTGTCCTTCGTCGGCACATGTTCCTCGGACGCCATGCCTCCCGGGTATAAGAAGGGGAGGTAGAAGTGGATTGAGTGTGGAGAAGTATGGGTAGGCAATGGCAGGGGTGAAACCCGGTGAAGTGTACAATTCACTGCAATGTAACACAAGAGAGGGTGGGAACTTCAGGAGCTACCGTACGATTTATATAGAGAACATGATAGGGTTGCCCACCTATACGAATTACTAGTACTTCAGACCCTGGAGCCAACCAGAGATTAGCAAAAGCCAAAGGCCGAGCTGCAGTCCTGATTCGCAGGACGGTCGAGTAGCTTCCAGATCCATGAGACAGAAAAGCAAAGAAGAAAATAACCCTACCCCGTCGTAGCTTGTCTGGATGGAAGGACGATCCGCTGGATGGCCGAATAGGAAGCGGTTACGAGAGTGGGCCGTCGATGGGAAAGCCTAGACAGACTTAGTCTAAACTACATTGAGAAAGTTCCCGGCTAGCTTTGGGGAAACTTTTGATAGTGGGCCTACATGGTTGGAAGCCGGTAGAAATTCATTCCCAGTTGGTGGAACGGGTAGATATGGCGATAGAAGAGGATAGAAACCATGGCTGGCCCTAGAATCATTCTTGCAGTATCCCCTCGGACATGGATGTATGATAGACAGTTCTATGTGTGTTTGTGCAGGGCAGGAGTCATGTTCGAAGTCGAATATTTGCTGTCTAACCCTACCTTTCCTGTGGTCCTGGATACGATACGACCCGTGATACCGCACGGGCACGTGCCGAATACCGCCCTCCGCCGGTTTAGGCAAACAGCAAATCACGAGTGCCGCGACAGGAATCTTCCGCGAGCATGTCCAGAAATTCGAATCTCCTCCACCGCAACGTGGAATATGCGCCGACATGGATCCCCCCGCCAGCTAGTGAAACCCAAGGACACGCAGCGTATAGGAGGTCACCCAGTTTGTTCAAGATGTCATCATTCACGGCAAGGAGGAGAGTTGTGGGGGTCACCAATGTAGACCTCGGGATCGTATCAAATCATGGCAGGCGGCTTCCTACGGGGTTGCGGGGGGAAAGGTTTGGCGGGTGATCGTGTTTAGAGTTGCATTCAGAGACGGCAACTGAAAGAGGGCATTTCGAAAGCCGACCGGCCCGTTGTCCGTATACGCCCTTTGACTAGAGAGAGAGAGAGAGATAGAGTAACACGACGTACTTAGGGCAAAGGTTGATTTACTCTAGTTGGGGAACAAAGACCAAATCATTCAGTATAGGGAGGAGAGGGAACCGAGAATTCCCGAACTACGCTCCCAAGTAGCCGAAAAGTTGACCAGCGCCAAAGAGCTAGGAACACGAATCAGTCTTTTGGCTGCCCGAAGGGGGAGAAACAAATCATTTGGCCTTATCATGAGATTTTTCGATGTTTAGTATCAAATCGATCACGGGTGATGCCTGAAGCTGACCGGACGTGGAATAGCGTCCGATCATGTATCCTACCTGACGGCCTGACTGCCTGAGGTTTGCTGTAGTTCTGCCCCTCTGCTGTATGACGTGCCTTATCTTCTTCGTCTTTTCTTCTCTTCTTCCTTTTGTTTTCCCTTACAAAACCGTCCACATCGCCAACAGCAAATTAATCCATACGTGCTGCTACTCCACCTCTTCTCTCCTCCGCCCTCTAGTCGTGAATTAATCCCCACGGGGAAGGACCACTGATTTTTAACTCAGGTCTAGCTCCCTGGACCAACTTGGGGCTGGCTCCAGTTTTCCGGCCTTGACCTTCTCCACATCTCGCATTTCAAATTCCGACCGCTCAGCTTCGGTTACCCGCCGACTTTTCGGAGACACAAGCGTCCTGAACGTTCTCTCTTCCACCAAACCCAGACGGCGCCTTGATTCAGCGCGTCCGACTTGGAAACTGGTTTGTGAAACCCCGTGCAGCTTGGCAGATGGCATCCCGACCGAACCGCGTTTTGCGTTTGCATCACTAACAGTCGTGCAGTAGCGCAGGCGAAACACCCCCGCGGATTCCATTTTCCGACTCAACGTCATTCCACAGTGCAGACCCCTGTCTCAGACACGGAATCCGTCTCCCTTTCCTTTCCCCCGCAAGTAACCCGGCCCCGAGGCATCATCAGAAATTATGGTATCGTTTGTGGAGGATCTTTGGGCGAGCATCTTTACCCCGGGTCCCACTCCCACCCTGCTCGTCGCAGCCAACGCCACTTTCGCCGCGCTCCAGCTGGTCCTCTTCCTGCTCCTCCTCGCGACCTACAGCATCCACTTCGTCGTCCTCTCCGTCCTCTCCGCGTCGCTATGGTGGTCGATCAACTGGTTTGCTCAGGAATTGATCGCGGTGCAGGCACAAGAGGCTGAAAAGACACAGTCAAAGGAACTGGTCACCGACGAAGACGACGATGACAAGAGGAGATCGGAAGCTAGTCGGAAAACACCGGGAGCGCTGGATAGCACGGAAAGTGACACTGAAACCGAGAGCCTGATGGAACGTAAAATCTCTGCGGTGTCCGCTGCCGCCCCGCCGTCCACCACGACGGCGGCTGCTACTCCTCAACCGCCGGAGCAGCAGGGAGGGATCCGGAAACGGCCCAGCATGAGCGGAGAGAGCTCCGGCTATGTGAGTACAGATAGCGAATGGGAAAAGGTGGATGACAAAGCCACTGCTTAGGCATAAGTTCTGTTTGGATAAGAAATTTGGGAGGGCCTGTCTTGCAGTTGCTCGAGTGCTGCTCACAGGCAGTGCCTCCTTAAAGATACTTCCGTATCAGTTGATATAACTATTTGTTCGACGTGCATTTTGGTTTGCGTGTACCGACAGATACCCCATAGATGACGACTCTGCTTATACACCTTTGGTAAAATGGATTTGGCCATGATAGCTCGCTCCGAGACTTACTTACGTTCGTCATGCCTGTCTGAAGAGAATATCAATGACAGACCATCAATTTTTGCGTCCATCGCTTGTAAACATGAACACCACTCATAGCAGACTCATAGCAGCCGTACGAAGCGCACATAACAAGTACAGCAAAAACAAACCATATTTTATAAATGAAGGTCAACCTACATACAAAAAAAAAAAAAAAAAAAAAAAAAAAAAAAAAAAAAAAAAAAAAAAAAAAAAAAAAAAAAAAAAAAAAAAAAAAAAAGAAAAAAGGTGTCAACAGGCGGTATAAAAAGCACCCCCTGGATTTCGTTTTCCGCAGCACACGACCAGCGACAAGCACCAAGGAAAATCAACCATCAACAAATTCCGAGCGTCTCCAACGCTCCCGGAAAACAAAAAAAGAAGCTGAAGAAGAAAACAAAGAATGTGTGTTCCAACCAGCTGACAATCTCCCGTATACGTCAGTGCAGAATATAGCGAACGAAATTGATCGATTCATTCCGATTCCCAGAATCTAAACCCCCGAATCCTTTTATCAGGCGAGTCTGCACGCCCCCGGCGGACAATAGCCGTGGTCGCAAGCGAAGCTGCACAGGCCCTTGTAGGAGTCGTCGAGTCCGTTTGCGGGCACACCTCTCTGGCCTGTTGATGGTGGTGTCGGGACTGGGGCGCCGTATGCGTTGCAGGTGCAGGGTCCCGGTGGGCAATAGCCATAGTGGCAGCAGAAGTCGCAGAGACCTTTGTGGTTGTCTTGGCCTGTGCCACCGGTGCAGACAGTTCCTGGGGGCTGATTTGGGGGAGGATTGTTTGGGGGAGGGTTGTTCGTTGGCGGTGGTGGTGGGTTTTGGGTTGTGGTAGGGGGCGGTGGAGGAGGGGGATTGTTTGTTGGAGGAGGGTTTGGAGGATTCATCGGTGGGTTTGGAGGGTTGGTAGGTGGGTTGGGATTGATTGTTGATGGTGGAGGAGGTGGTGGTTTTAGCGACGGTCTGGCTTCGCATTGCACCTTGAGGCCTTGGGCGAAGCGGGCGAGACTGTCTGGCTGGAGGTTGTCCATGGGCTCCGCGGGGAGCATCCCGACTAGAAGAGAGAGTTGTTAGTGGCGTCAAGGTGCGTTATGGTTCCAGTGGGATATACTCACCGAAGGCATTGAAGTTATAGATACCGCACACACACCCCTCGATGATATCCTTTGGACTCGTCCCGGCCAGGACCATCTTGTTGTCGCGGACCACGGCGAAGCTCTGCTGCCCGACGCCCATCGGGGCTTTGAAGGCTGTGGCGCCAGCCTTGGCCTCGAAGACTTGCTGGCTGGTCCCCGAGGAGACCTGGATCTTGGCAGGGGACTTCAACATGGAGACGATGAAGACCACGTCATCCATGGACTCCCAGCCATTCGGCCGGCCCATGAAGTAATTGCCGCTGCTGTTGTCTGCGGGAACCATGCAGGTGTCGGTGGCGTCGCAGTTTGCGCCGCGGGGAGAGGGTCGATACCAGTAGATCAATTGCTCGTCCTTGATATATTCGTTAACGGATGAGGCACCCGCCTTGTAGGCGGCAATGAAAGGCCGGGCCAGTTCCATCCAGCCATTATGTGGCCTATTGGTGTTAGTAGTGAAATGGTCATGAGGAGGCGCTGGCTTACATGTCATTGACATATTTGGAACATCCGTCATCTGTGTGGGGAGAGGCCAGAGGGGCAATGTAATGGGATTCACCGTAGTCGTTCCAAGTGACGATTTCAATGAAGCGTGGCTTGAGGTGCAACATCTCAATCCATCGCTCATACCAGAGATTGTCCGACGGAAAGACCCAGTTCTTACTATATGGGACTTCGGGACCAAAGTGGGTAGAGAACCAAGGCGAGACGGCTGACGGCGAGGTTAGCTCTGGTCTAGACGACATAAATTAGGGCATAGGAATTTGCTCACGAGCGATATAGGGCTTGCCTCCCAACGCATTCATATACTTCTTATCGCCATCCTGCACGGTCACAAGACGACCGGGCTTAGGTGCCTTGTTGTTCCCATCATTGGGCCAGGCCATCCAGTTCAGCAGAGCATCCACTTTGGAGATATCAGCGCTCTCCGGTCGGTGGTAGTTCGGAGCCCAGTAGATGGGCCGGCCAGCAGCAGAACGGATCGCGTTGACATCCACTCGGTCACCCGCAAACGATGAGACGAAAATCTTGCCGTCCATCATGAGCTGTGCCGGCTTTCCCCCAAACTTGGCAATCTTCTGCCCAACTAGAGAGGCCTCGGAGTCTTCTTTCCACCAGTTGAAGTCGAAGGATATAAAAACCTTCATGTCATTGTTCGCGGCCGACTGGTACGCAAACTCCAATTGTGTATCTGTGAAGGGGTCGACGCGGTCCACGCCAATGTTGAGGGCGAAGGCGTCGATCCCTAAGTCTTTCGCGCGTTTCATGTCGCTGTCGAAATCGGCGGCCGACTTGCGGTTGCTGACGATTCCGATCTACTAGATCGTTAGGGCTGGACGCTTGATTCTATGGAGATGGCCTACCATGAAATGGGCAAAGACCATTCGGTCCGAGGCCTGTGGCTTGCTGGTCTCATTGCCTGGGCTCGGTAGTGCGTCCACCAGGGAGCTGAGCACGGAGGCTATGCCTAGAACAAAGGGCTTGATCTTCATGTTGCGTAGTGGTCAAGCCTTGATGGGATAAGGTAGAGAAAGAAGATCTACGATAACGAGAGGTCTGTATGCCCCCATCCGCTCTTATATGCTTCTCACCAAATCACGGAAGCCTCCACAGATGCAACCATGATGGCTGTTACCTTGAATAAGGTATAAAGAATATTTCCTGAAAGACAGGGGGTAAGAAGACAACGGGGACCGAGACATCAGCAGCTTTGAACAAAGAGTAGCATAATCTCCGACAGGACTAGTCGATAAAACCCTGTTGTATGGCAACCTTCTCATTCTAGATGACCACAGGTGGAGATTACTCGAGCCATCAGCCGGTATAACGAGGGCAGTGAAGCAGCGAGGTCGAAATTAGATTGGGCAATCCTGTATGCTTCAGTTAGCCGCTGTCCTGCAACTGGACGGGCTGTTGGATAGAGACCTAATGTCTAACCGTTTAACGTTGGGCGCTAAAGGACTAGTGCACCGTAGGCGCCCTATGAAGGGTTGCTCACAGTGTTTCAAAGTTGCGGGGTATAAAGAAAAGTCGAAGAAGCAGCGTTTCACAGGGAAGATTAGGTGTGACTTTCATTTCATGTCGAAAGACTTCCGGTTGGGACGTCGGCTTAGGGTTGACATATCACATCGTATCAAAGCAAACATAAGCCAATGAACATGTGTGGTCAAACAGGAACTCGATTGAATGAAGTATAATGAAGAGATCAACAGCGCCGCAGATCTTCGGTATCAGTCGGTATGATACGTCTAGAATCATATTGTCATCCCGCAAACACACGCGGCAACCGGAAATGCCGCATAGCTTGTTGCCTATGACCAACTGGAGCCTCTGCATGTATCTGCAACCACATCGAGCACAGGATACCAACACAGTCTGAATGCGTTTGTCCTGAATTCCCGAGGAGATGTTCAGTGCCGAAGGGGCCCAAGGAATGGACCACACCAATGGCCCGCATCCCGCCAGTACACAAATGCTGTGCAACTCAAGTGCATCACCTGCGCTATCGGTAGCCAAGCCTCACTGGGGGTGACACACTGCTGCTGACTGGGGCAAGAACAGGATGCACGCGGTCGGGTGAGTTCTGCGCATGGCTCGGAGGAGGGAACAACCTCGCGCATTTGGGTTCGGATTAAACCTAGATCATACATCCAGGAATGGAGCAGCTGCCGGCAATTTGCCAGCTCAGTCGCATAAGCGCGATGAAGATTCAGGTATTGGTCACTTGTTACCTGTTCCAAGTGTGATCTCGAAGCTTGTCGTGCATATGTTGTTGATCTCTGGGGTAGGCCATCCAGTCATTCGCAGTGCACATACCCGAGACGGCGAGACTCACTGCAACCACGGGATAGCGAGTGAGAGCCAAGACGTATCATCCTTCTCTGGACAGCAATTGTTGCTATTCACATCGTACCCCCTCCACTTCTATTTCCAGTCGAAGGAAAAGTGTTCACGCGACTCTGCACGGCGTAGCATTCTAGAAAAGTCTCGTCACCAGGTCTGCCTGCTGATTAGTGGAGTATATGCAGTTGAAGCATTTGCCGAGTGTGGCGTGCAGATCTGTAACTTGGAACTGAATACCGGGTCTTCTTCAACGTAATTACCCCCTCATCCGTTACATTAGATTTGGGTTGTGACAGAGTCAGTGCCCAAGCACCCGCTGGGGAGGGCCGAAATGATCGAATGACGTTCTTGATCATCTCCAATGGAGGATTTATTCTCTCAAGACGGTAGCAACGGCTTCAGACACTTATGCATGGGCGTGTCGGTGGCGGTCGTCCGGCTGCAAATACCACATCGAGGTGAGCTCAGCATGAATATGTAGTCCTGTATGTTGCCTGAACACGCTGTGCTGCTACGTATATCAATTTGGATGAATTCTAGGCCCAGGTCGGAACACATAGATGCACTGATGGGGTCCATGCTTGTGACCTTGATCTACGATGTTTCATTGTCGGCCTTCTGGGTCTACGTCGTCTCTGCTTCATCAGATATTGCCGAGCTGATATTGTCACACAGGAAGCACAGAATGATGACGGATTACTGAGACAATTACGTTTATGATCATAAATGAGATCTTCTTGATATAGACACCTCCGGCCGATGTTATAGTATTGAACCTGCCACTCTCTTAGTAGGGTGCCCGACGGAAATGGTCTATACATCATGGCACACCTTTACACCTCATCACTGGACCGTATCCGGAGCATGATTGAGCTAACCTTGCTAGCACCTTGTCGATATGCAAACCTGAAAAAGGCTGTGGTCGGTGGAATGCAGCAGACCATAAAGACAACCCACATTTCGGTCCTGGATCGTGTCAGTTCTGCATATTGTAGCGAGTCAAGCCATACATTGTACGTACTGGTTCCACAAAATCAATTCACCCAGTGTATCTGGCTTGATAGTTAATATGGATCTTGGCTTCTCAGGTCGTGAGTACGTGCATGTGGTATCTTCGACTTTGGTCAAGAGCTTCAGTTTAACAGTCTTGACGATGGTACAGGCTCCCGCCCTATTGCAAGTCAATCAACACAGTTGCATCGCTGGGGGGCTCCTTACACTATACCGAGCCCCATGAGGACTGAAAGGCCAATTTTTTGTCGCAGTGAAAACGCCTGAACTTTGCGAAATATGAGCACGGGGTAAACCGCCAAGGCAAAATCACAGAATGCTGAGTACGCTAGAACAACAGCTTATTAGCCCTAAATTATATTCATTCTCCTGGCGTACGCTACTCACGTGCCTGGATATACCCGAAGATCTGAACCCTTTTCCGCCCGGGACAACGTCCAGGTATCTGTTCATCCCAGAGCTTCTTTGCAGGGGAGCACTGAAGAAAGACTAGAATAGCAGCAATCATATTGACGATGAAATTACTTCCGGCAATAAACCAAAGAAACGCCCGCTTGGACTTTGTTTCGTACTCCTGGAGATGCTCTATAAAAACCACAAGGGCAACCTTCCCAAGACCAATCGCGATGAGAGACACGGACTGACTAATCCAACCAAACAAGAGAGCATTCCTATCATCATTGTATGTTAGGGTAGCTGAGGGAGTTCCGACGCCGTATGCTGCTCCCACAGTGATCATGGCCATGCTTGCAATGCCAAAAATCTAGTTCTCGTCAGTCGTCAGGTTATATGCTGAACAGAGGGACATACAAAAGTAATGATCGCCAGAATCAGGTCAGGTCCTGTATATCGAATAATCTTCCAGGATGTAAAGCATCTTGCAGACAGTAGAACCAGTGCCAAGCCAGTCTCAACCCAGGTCACGATGAAGAATGGCCGACCAAAGCCAGTCTGCGGGTCGTTACTCATTGACCACTAGGTCACCTGTGCAATGGCTATCCGTAGCAGTAAGGATATAGCAGTAAAGAAACCCAATGTCTGCAGTTGGACTTCAACATGGAAATTGTGTCTCCGTGCATGGGGTGGCGGCCAGACTACGCCTCCCATGTCAAGAGGAAGTATTCTCCACCGGTATGACCGTCTCAGGTCAGTCTAGCTAAACTGACTTCTAGAAACATTCTTAGGGCAAATTTCACAAGTTGTATGGAGTAGCGGGGGTCATGTGATGACGTCGATGTGATGGATAACGTCATGAACTTTTCTTGCTTCCCGAACTTTTGCAGATACCAACTGTATCAAGTCAGGCACCGGCGGGTAATCCAAGGATCATTATGGCCACTGCCTGTATGAGCGCCACGGCACGTCGTCTGAATTTGAAGCCAATCAAATTCAAGGCGGCAGCATACCCGTTGCATATTGGGAATGCCATCGTGTCCGGCCTAATGGCGGCGAATCGGCCATTCACCAAACAAGGGACATCTATCTCAAACAGGGAAATATTTACTTGTCATGAGAAATACTGCCAAGGATCGAAGAATGCGCCTAGTTGCATGGCCCGGATGCTACCCGGATCACAACTAAAGGTGATGTATGTATGTACATCACATCACTCGGCCTCGATCGTGGCGTAACTTAAACACAGTCAAGAATAACTCCCCACCGCATAAGAGTATTTAAACTCGACTAAGACTCGGCCGTTCAGCGCGATGGGGTTTCCACCAGTGGCATCCAAGACAATGCCGGCACGGGCAGATATCGGGATGATCACTTTTAGTCTCTCCGACGCAATATCGATCCCAATTGGATCCGCGACGCTGAACTCCGGAAATTAATACCGGATCTGCTTCAGTATGGGTCCTTTGCTCTTCGGAAAGCCGTTGCGAGATTCGAGTAATCTCCGACTGATCGGCCCGTTCCCTGCTCGTTAATGTCATGAAACTTATTGCTGATCAGTTCACTCCATCGTCTACGTCGCGTCTAGGTCGTGCTATAAAGGGACCTGAATTTTCTCACTTCGAATGAGGCAGACAACAAACACCTACAATCAGCTCCTGGTTCTTGAAAGTCACCTCCATCATGCGGAACAGCTTTCTTATTTCCCTCAATGCCATTGCAGGCGCTGTCGCGCATCCGTCATTTCCTGTCCACAAGAGGCAGTCAGATGTCGGCGCCTTCATTGAGAAACAGACCCCCATTGCCAAACAGGGGGTCCTCAATAATATCGGCCCCAACGGCAGTCTTGTAGAAGGGGCTGCCGCGGGTATCGTTGTGGCTTCCCCATCCAAAAGCAATCCCGACTGTTCGTACAATCCCACTCTCGAGACCGCTCCATATAGTCACGGAACTGATGATCTTTAGACTTCTATACCTGGACGCGCGACGCTGGCCTGACCATGGCGGAAGTGATCGAGCAATTCATTGCGGGAGACTCGACTCTGGAGTCTACCATCCAGAATTATGTTGACTCTCAAGCGACCCAGCAGGCAGTCTCCAACCCATCCGGCAGCCTGTCGGATGGCTCGGGTCTTGCTGAGCCCAAGTTTTACGTCAACATCTCTCAATTCACCGATTCTTGGGGCCGGCCTCAGCGGGATGGGCCAGCTTTACGTGCTTCCGCCTTAATCGCATATGGCAACTACTTAATCTCCAAAGACAAGCAATCTCTTGTCAAAACGAACATCTGGCCAATTGTCCAGAATGATCTGTCCTACGTGGGCCAGTACTGGAACCAGAGCACGTTTGATCTCTGGGAAGAGGTTCAAGGCAGTTCCTTCTTTACTACTGCTGTACAGCACAAGGCCTTGGTGGAGGGCGACGCGTTTGCGAAGGCTCTCGGAGAGGAATGTGCGGGTTGCTCCGTGGCGCCGCAAATCCTCTGCCATCTTCAGGACTTCTGGAATGGGTCCGCTGTGCTTTCTAACATCCCCACCAATGGACGCAGTGGGCTGGACACCAACTCGCTTTTGGCCTCCATCCATACTTTTGACCCGGCTGCCGCTTGTGATGATACCACGTTCCAGCCCTGCTCCTCTCGCGCTCTGTCGAACCATAAGATTGTGGTGGACTCTTTCCGGTCAGTCTACGGTATCAACAATGGACTAGGAGCCGGAAAGGCCGCAGCAGTGGGCCGTTACCCAGAGGACAACTACCAGGGAGGGAATCCATGGTCGGTACTATGTCTCACCTTGATTCTGAACTTCAAACTAATATAGAATAGGTATCTTACCACCCTAGTCGCCGCAGAATTGCTCTATGACGCCCTATACCAGTGGGACAAACAAGGTCAAGTGAACGTCACCGACACCTCTCTTCCCTTCTTCCAGGACCTCTCTGGCAACGTCACCACCGGATCCTATGCCAAGTCCTCCTCGGCCTACGAATCTCTCACAAGCGCCGTCAAGGCCTACGCAGACGGCTTCATCTCCGTTGTCCAGAAGTATACTCCCGAGAACGGCGCTCTGGCCGAGCAGTACAGTCGGGACCAAGGCAGTCCGGTTTCGGCGTCCGATCTGACTTGGTCGTATGCCGCATTCCTGAGTGCTGCTGATAGACGGAGCGGCACTGTTCCTGCTAGTTGGGGGTCTTCCACGGCTAATGAAGTTCCCAGCCAATGCTCGGGGGCTACAGCTTCTGGGAGTTACACTACTCCTACCGTTGGCTCGTGGTAGGTGAAGGTCGCAAGATTGTATTTCTCACTGTGTGTAGTCTACTCTGGTTTCGTGTCACGGCTGTTGTTTTTGCTTGTCTATATGCGGCCATACTGTGTATGTTTGTTGTATACTCGTCGCTCATTATTGTTTCAACAACAAAGATGCTATTTTTAGTACTGGCTGGACAATACCATTTTATATGGACGATTTTGATCCTAATGCGGGAGACTGTCACAACTTGTGAAGTTAAAAGGACCACAAAATTGATTACTTCCCTAGTTAGTCGACCATCCACTATACTATATAGATGATCCCAGGCCATTCTGGGTCGTTGATCTCAATTATCCGACATTTGGAATATAGTGCCCCCGGGCTATATCTCTTACAATATACCAGAACTGTCCAAAGTATTGTATAAGAAGCTATTTTGATTTAAGATAAAACAATCTTTCCTGATTCTAGAAGAGCTAAGACAATTCTGTTATTAAGAGAGGGGCGAGATAGCTCGATGAATGCGAAGCAGACATACCCTGTTTTTGTGGTTTATATCGCGCGCTCCAGGGCAGGGAGGATCCTGGGTGAGCCGACGAGCTTTCCTCACTGAGGTCTCATCCGTTTCTTGCGCGAAAGATATGGATAGTGGGTACGGTGTTTTAATATAGTAATAACGTTACATGTGGAGCAGTAATATAGTAAACGTCATTTTGATTGTGTGTGTGTGGCTTGCTTTATAGAATACTGTACATATAAGAGTAATTATGTATGTAGATGGTAGTACAGCGAGGTCGTAGAAGCACTCGCATATAATATTCAATCTTTAGATAGAGTCTGCGCATAGAATGGGTCCTGACGAGCATAAGCCCAGAGAGCACCGACCATGTCGATCAATCCCCACCAGCCCTGCTGCCTTGCACAGCCTGTGGCTGCCTTCCCAGGAACCTAAAGAAGCTATAGAAATATAAGTATATCCAAATCTTTATTCCCACTCCAGAAACCCATTCACTCTGGTCTCAATCTATCAATCTATCAATCAATTAATCAATTAAACAACTATCCCTACAATAATGAGTAACTGGCCCCTCTTCATCACAGCCCCAGAGGCCCCAATCAAAGTATGTGGCATGTCATACACAACCAACCCTAACTAGTACTTTGGTCAACACCACCAAAACCCCCCAAATCAAGTAAATTAATTAACTAACCCTCAAACACATGCAGACCATAAACAAAGCCCTCCTCCACCTAGCAGACTACGAATTCAACTGTCCCCCACAGTGGACCCTCATCCTCACCAACCCCCCACCCACCCAGACAACACCCTCCATCCCACCTCTCCCCATGTCAGAAGAACCCACCCTAACAGCCACCACCAACGCCTTCGCATCCAAATCCCCCCGCGAGATCTACGCTTACCTCGACGATCCGACCACCCAGGACCTATTCAGGGATGCGGGGCTGTCGGCCTCGAATTGGCTAGTCATTGACCAGAAGGGTCTGGAGATGGAGACTTGTTTGTTGGCCGAGTATGTGGCTCCGGAGGATCGGGAGGATGAAGATTGGGAGGGGAATGGTGAGGGATATCGGATGTGCCGGATTCCGTGGGCGAGGGCGTGGGGTATGTTCTGTAATTTGGATATTGGGAATATGGGGTTTGAGGAGTGGTAGATGAGGAACGTGGGCCTGTGGAGGGGGATTTTGGGGCGTGGGCCTGGGTCGGGCCATTTGAGGGGGACGATGAGGAGGATGAGGAGGTCAGGAGGAAGAGGGAGGATGCTGTTAGGAAGGGGGTGGAGGCGGGGTGGGTTTGATTTCTTATGCTTTTCTTTCTGTTTTGCTATATCTTGTGGATGCTTGAGTGACATGGACTGACTGAGCTATCTATATGTGTACCTATATATTCACGATGTATACAGCCGACAAGAACAGGGATCTTGTACTATTAACACAGTCATGAACGATTAAATGGGGCATTTAGGCGAGGCTTGACTTTGGAATCACAATGGCCGCGCTCGTCGACACAGCTTCCTTTACGAAAACAGAAGGAATTCACGCAGGATCCTTCTTGCGCGCCACCACGGTGTATCTAGTAAAGGCTAAATACGATCCGTCTCGAGTCTCCTTTGCAGCTTGAGCCAGCGTCCGCTTCATCACTCTCGCTACTTCCTCGGTACCACTGCTTGCCTTGTTCCGTGTGAGGACCTCGGTTGCCAGTAATCCCACCTCGTGTAGCGCCAAAGCTAAGTGTGGTGGCGCCTCTCGCGCAATTGGTTACGATATCAATCAGTCCTTTGTTGGCGAGGCGCTTGGCCAGGGTGGGGACCCAGGCTGAGTCCAGCCGGTTATCGTTCCCTTTGAACTGGTTCATCAACTTGACCTGCGCGTCGGCCTGAATATCCGGCCGGATCTTTTCCAGCCGGAGGGAGCTGATATCAATGTCGGTCCATTGGATATATCCCCAGGCTCTGTAGCAGTTCAGTAAGGCTGTCCTTCAAGCGTCCAGTAAAGTAAAGGGAACACTGACTCAGAAGTTTGAGGAGTCTTTCTAGTATCGCATCCAACTCGTACTCCTGGATAACAAAGGCGAAAAAGCGAAGATGAACCACATCATAGACGCCCATCAGATGCTCCGACACGTCAGTCTTGACGTCCCACTGGTGCAAACTCACGCTGGGTGGGAGCATCTCCGGCAAGGGGGCGGCGGCAAACGAGATATCCAGAGTATCTAGACGAGCCGACTTAGGCAGCTCGCCAGCCAGGTCCGTGAGCCATATACTGCTACTTTTAGATTGGCCCTGAAGGGAACGTCCATTTCATTGGCTTACCCGGTGCCTGTGCCAACAATCGGCAATCCGCAGATCCGGGCTCTGGGTTGGAATGGAGGGGTGGATGCGATATCCAAACAGTTGAACTACCAAATAGTGTTGCAGGTTGATCCTGTTGGTGCTAGTGCTTAGTATGTGGACTGAGTTCCCTTGCTCCTCGATGGACTTACCGGTTGTTGTCCAGGTGATCCCGGGAGAAAACGTATTCCGGAGATGAGGCCATCTTACACGCATTATATTATCTCTCCGGATTAGATATGGCAGACTCTAAAGGGGGAAAGGAGCATGAATTGAGGCAGAAAGCCAGCTTAAATGTTGTGGTTAGTTGGAAAGGTGAACCAAAAATGAAGTTTCTTTGTTTCCCACTGGGCCACTGAGCAAAGAGGTACAACTTCCACTAACCCTCACTTGCATAAATAACTCGCTCTACATGAGTCAGAGTCAGCACTACCTTTAGCGTGGAGTTGTCTAGTAAACAATCCTTGAAACCCATTAGTGGTTATGACAAGGTTTGCCAGGTGGTGCCGACAGGGGTCCTAACGGGGATAAGCAACCGCTCATCCACTAAATCGCCCGGACCGACTGTTGGTCTGCTATAGCGTGATTCATAACGTTACAGTCTTAATGCCTATGTTCATAAGGGGAAGGAGGGGGGAAACCAGGCCAGGAATGAGCCCCACTGTGATTGGAATCGTAATTATGTGCTAGTCTGGCCAGCGCGGCTATAGACCCTACAGTAGCCAGTTCTATACAATAAGAGACATCGCATAATTTTATAGCCGAATGCCAGCTTGCTTTAAACGGGAATGTACACGTGTCGTAAGCCGACTTGGTTCTTACCAGGCATATCCGATATAGCGTATGGATATGTGAAAGGAGGAGTAAGACTGAGGGCTATGCTACTTGAATATCCCTTGTTCTCCGATGTGCTGGCCGTATATCCAGGTCAACCCGTTCTAATCCATGTCGACGTCCTTGCAAGCCGGACGATTGCCATTAGTTTGAGGAGTTGTGAAAGCTTTTGTATTCAACTTATACCTAGACAAACTACATAAACTGCGTCATCGCTCTCACAGTGTTTTCCGCTCCACGACAGCCTTCTCAGCGTGAGGTGCTTCTGTCAGCTACTATGACAAAGAAGTAGATCAACCCCAGCTCAATGTTTTGAGAGTAGGTAGTAGTCTGGCAAGGCCTCTTTCAGCAGACTTCTTGAGTTTATCCTCTCTATATCCTTTTCTTAGGTTAAATAACAGTAGTATTGTATTATAGAGTATAGACTATTCTATACTATGTAGGCTTAAACCAAAGGATTCAGGAGCCCTATTCTGTGGCTGTGTATTCTAGGGAGCTGGCCAAGCCCTCTATATACCGTTTACTAATATTCCACTCAGAAGGTATATTGACGCGTTGACGTGTTTCCTAGAACGAAAATATAGCGATAGAGGCGATTTCACCTTATCTCTTCAAGCGGATGATCAAGCGTAGGGATGAGGGAAATCGAGCGATTTAAGCCTTCAACAATATATAGTAAACCAGAATAATACAGAGACAGACTTTAGCGGCTAGACAGGCATATATCCCTCCTTCGCAAGACTGATCCGAGCATGATAGCGTAAGCGGCTAATTACCAGAGGAAACATCTCGTTTTCCAGTGATATAGTCATTGGTGAACCATGGATGTCCTTTCTTAATGGCATTTACAATTAACTCTGAATTCATTATCATCGGACCCAATCTGGCAAAAGTTATGCCCTCTAGTGAACCTCTATGTCTTTCAACGGCGGCCTTGCTTCTTTAGTTGAGGAGCACGATGACGGCGTCAGTTGGCGCCATCACACTGACGCGGTCGCCTCGACCCTCAATGATTTGCTGTTAGATAGTATGTGTGTGTTAGATCCAAATACCACCGGGACCTCAAGTTGCGACAACCCCTAGGTGAAGATTAGCAGCAAGAATATCCTGGTTGCACCCAGCCCCCGGCAAATGACATAGTTTGATGTCTGGCTTTCGGTCTCCGGTCGATACAGGCCATACAGATGATCGTATAGCTCCGTCTCCACCCGTTCTGCTAGCTGCGGGACACCATATATAGATAGTTCGTGGATCAGCGAGGGCTTACACAGGGGCGCTCAGCAGGCTCTATAAGCTTATTAGGCTCGCTCTTTTTTCTGCGACGAGAACCATGCCTTCAAAGCTCTCATAGAAAGGTTGGCGGTTTCAAGCTATTTATGGCCATAGCCCTAAGTTCGCTTCCAGGTTTCAGCGCCTGAAACTTGGCGCCCAATTCCATGAAGATAACGGCGGCGAGTCACAGGCTCAAAGTAAGGCTGGTTTGCTTCCCAGGAGACAGAATTCTCCTCTGCCACACATCGTTTTCCTTTCTTTATTCCAGACATTTGGCTTCTAACCGACCATATTGACTTTAATCAATATCCCAATCACGTGCTAAGTGATGTGTTAATAGCGAGATAATACGATATTCGATAGGGCTGTAGGCGTCTTCCTGAAGAAACCAAGTTGCGATTTTCTGTTGGTCCGAATCCTTTGATTCCGTCATTCCACTTGTGCTTTCAGCTCAGCTCCCCTCTTTTTCATATCAGCTCATATGGCTTGATTCCGTTCAGCTCTATAACAACAGGCCAACCTATTGGTAGATATATCTTTCGGATGTTCCCATATTGATAGCTATCTCTTGGATCTCCCTTTGACACTGTGATATACAATTGCCAAAGCAACCTATTTGTCTGATAAACGTGTGTTAGGGGCTAGCCAATTGAACTACTAATAGGGGGGGGGGGCACATCTGGCTACCTTCCAATTGTTTGCCGTGATGCAATCGACAAGTCCTGTCCGCCGTGGCTAGATCTGACGCATTATAATCAAGATCAACCGGTACTGGTATCGCAGAGCGAAGCTGGCTATTCGCGTGAAATGATATACCCCCGTGGTATGTGCGCCTGTCTCAGCCAATATCTTTCTTTTGTCGCTGTATGTCACAGCGCACAGGGCCTGAAAGACTCGCATCCCTGAGGATCTCGCTCAGATACTACCTGACTCGAAGTCGAGGCATGATAACACACAGCGCGCTGCGTATGTCATGTCCTGTGGGGTGAGGATCAGGGTCCGAATAGTACTTGGTCATATTATAATACAGGATTGTAAATGTAGCAGGAGAACAAGGAGTTTTGATGCACTAGAACTACCTAGGGAGGTCGCCTGACGGTACCCGCAGGGGTCCTTTCACAGGACCTTAGTGACTTGTGTCGATAACGGTGACTTCTAGTCTCTATTCAATAAACGTGCCGTGTTGCCTTTCTGTGAGATCTTCGTTTGCTTAGCCTAGATGGTACTTCTCCAGATGAGATCAGGTATATCGGCTCGACTGCATGCACCGGATTAGAGATATTATCTCCTCCGGTCTACGAAAACTATAAAGCATTCTCAAAAGATACCAAGAGTTTCTTCGGCCGGTTTCCACGGTTAACCGGTGTAGGATGGTAAAGCTACGGAGATATACACTTCGTCAAAGGCCCCTCTATCCTAGTATTCTTTTTTCTCTTCACTTTTCTGGTTTCGCTTGGGAATACATACGAGCTTCTCGGGTTTCATTTGATATCAATCCTTGGTTCACCAAATGACTCCAAGAAGAGAGAAGAACCGTTGAACGGGAGAGGCAATCCTCCTAAACTCAATATTCACACTATAGACACTAATCCCTATCAGTGTGGTCTCGGACCGACAGAATTGCCCGACAGTCATGCATCTACCGGGGCCTTATCCGGTGTTTATTTTGTATTCATCAATTGCTAATTGATTGAATCGTGGATGCCTACACAGCATGGCGTTCACAGGGGTGGGATCACACCATCTAGAATGGCATATATGTCTAGATATTTGTCTCGGGTTTAATTAAGCAGAGGAAGTTACTAAAGATTGTTTATCAAAATCTGTCTTCTTCATCCTTTCTGCAGAACAGAGGATCTACAGACTCCGTTTATAGCCGGAAAGATCCGCAAGAGGCCAACTAAGTACCATTGGCAATCAATCTATAATCAATCACACTATAACTACGTAGTAATGATATATAATGCTAATATGCCAGGCCCAAGATCGACTGCATTGCCCGGCTCCAACGATTATAGTAGGTCGTAGGTATTAGTAGTGACTTACTCTCATTCCTTCGGGATATTTTCTGTCATTGGCGGCGTTGTGAAGGATTTTCTGTGCCTGTTCCTTCTAATCTTAATTTTTTCCTTACTATTCCGGATTGATCGTCCCATTGTCGGCTCTGGTTCTATGATTTGTCATTGCTTTCCTGGACTTAGCCACAAATAGCGGTCAGCGAGAGGCTATAATAGCACGCAGTTAATTTATCTTCCGTGTCCGCTGACACATTTTCTCCGTAGATGAAACCGCAGTTCCTAGACATGGGGTACGTAGTCCGAACTGTGTCAATATGGAGGTTACCTACTAAGCGAGACTACTACTAATACTTAGTACTAGTATCGTTAAGAATTTTGGAACCCACTTAATAAGAACGGAAGGTAAAACCATTTACCTAGCCTGGTAAGTCCTGGCACATGACGTACCAGAAGTGGACCGGGAAGATGCAGGGGTACCAAAATGGGAATCCCACGTGGATGACACCTTGTCCTTCAACGTGAAACCCAATCGACATGATTGGGCCTTTCTCTATCTGGAGAGGCATCTCTGCCTAATTCATCACCGTCAGCCCTAATCGGTAGGTAGTACTGACTAGTTGGGGCGGGCGGGAAGTTTCCGCAGGCAAAGAAAGGAGAGCGAAAAATAATACTACTTAATTTATACTGAACCATTTTTAGTGTAGCAAACCATTGTTTGATGCCTTTCGCCGGTGGGCTGGACTATTCCCGGTTCCAGCATAGTTGCTGGAACCCGTCCATCGATCTTCAACGGTCTGGCAGATCATATACCGGATCCGGTAAGGTTCTACGACTCAATCGGAGACCGAATGTCTTTCTTGAGGGTTGAACTGGGAATTGTGTGGGCGCAGGAAGAAGAGCAGATGTGTTGCTTCCCGGACCCGAAGCATGGGACCATGGGACGCGCTGTGGACAAGAGGGGGTTAGTGACCAAATTGTCGGGACCATGGTTAGGGGTGAAACATGATTAGTGCTATTCCAATCAATGTACTCCGTATGTACTCCGTACATCGAGTCTCCCTTTTATATATATATATATATCTGTAAGGGTTGTGTTGAGTCTGGCTGACTACCGACCGTTGTTCGCGGGCGGTACGTGCGTGCATCGCTTGCGGCTTGCATGGCCCTGTACGACGTTGGACAAGGGGCGGGTACCCGTTAGGCTTTGCCTTGAACGCTGGCGCTGTCTTATCGCGCTATCGGAAGTGCAGGGTGGTTAATTAAAGATTCTCTAATCCCGGTCCATAGAAGACCCCAGCTTACTGGGAGCCCATGTAGAATACCCACTGGCCAGATGGGATCCCGAACTACGGAGTCGTTGGAGAAAGCCTAGCAGGATCGATAAAAGTGCCACCGCACGTGGAGACCAGTCGATCGTCTGATCCTGAAGAAAGAGGTCTCGGGTTGAGACACTCGGCCCAAACTCTGTCATTGATATATACCCATCGACAGGAGCCAGAGGGTATATCCGAAGATATTAAGATGTGGAATTGATGAGGCGGTGGAGTCGTGATGTTACCTACCTTGCAAATCCCGTCTAGCAATTTCTCCATCAGGGGCCAGAATCGCGTGCGATGTCGGCGTTACCTCGTGGAAAATGCCCAGTTTCCCAAATCAGAGTTCATGGAATTGTTTTTCCCAAGGGAAAGGCGCGTCGGTTGGTGTTCGCCGAGAAACGGCCCCAGCATTTAATTGCGATGGACCAATCACTGCCTCTGTGGGGAATAGAAGCGAAGCCGTAGGAGAGGCAGAGGACGGAGGAAACTGACTGATATGCCTCCGAGATGGGGTTTTGGATCAAGTGACACATACTTCGTAATAGTATCGGCCTGACCATCCGTTAACTTGGTCGATTAATCTATTTTCCTTTTTGACTTATGTCTAAGCGCAAGTCTAAACCCGCCCTCAGTGGTCGATCACTGGCGCCGATAGGGACGGCCACGCGCAGTCCTCGACACCAAGCCGACGAGGATGATGTATTCGATACGCTTTCCATGCGAGCGCGTTCCGGCCGAGCGGTTATCGAACATGAAGGTTCTTGATCCTGGCCGATCCTTACCGTGGACGTCACCAACCACACCATCTGCTCTGATTCGTGGTAGAGTGGTAAAAACAACGTGTCATATCCGTTTGCCTGACCTTCGTCGCCGAGGCGCTTCGATCGAGTATTTCCCGCCAGTGTTTCAGTGTTGGCGGTTGGTGCGCCGAGCCATGTGATAGAATCATAATATAGTTGAAAAAAAAAAAAAAACCGTATTCGCTCCCAACAGACTGGTTGGATGCCTTCCAACAACAAGGTTCTCAAGCTTGCATCGAAAGGTGTCCGCCATGGTCCGGTTTGTTATCTACGGAGATGTCTTGGCCTGGATGTGGGCTTTTTTTTTTTTTTGTTTTTTTTTTTCTCCTCTTCTTTTTAATTTGTTACAAGTTCGGTTCAAGTCAGTATTTTGGTTGATAATTGAATAGAATGGGGTGGGGACCAACCATGAGTGCAAGTGTGGAAGAACAATCCAGAACCTAGAAAATGGGTTGATTTTGTTTCTCTTTTTTTGCTTTTTAGTGTTTTTCATCCCTAACTTTTTTTTTCCCTGATTTTTTCCATGGTTGTCCGTTTTTCTTTTGTCATCTTCGTATTTGTCTGGTATTTTGTATTGTTTTTCACTAATGGTCGGGGTGAATCCCCTAATAGCAAAAAGTAATATAATAATACGAATTGTCTTGATCGAAAAAATGCGGATCCCCCAATTGTGGCTGGCGACGCCTAAGTCGGTGGGGGCCAAACGAACGCGAGAGAAAAGCGACCGACAATTATTTTCCTTTCCTTTCCAAAAGTCGTCTACGTACGGCGTAGAATTTGTCTCCATCACGCAGCCATGAGCGGGTACGTTGACTTCTTGGTAGGTTGAGAAATGGGTCTCCATTCCAGGGACGTTATGGATTGTGCCATAGTTAGAACGCTAGATATGGAGTGAGCCCATGCACCCGTTAATGCTAATTACCTCAGGGAAGGGTCCCTCCCCAACCTGAACCACCCATGACTGCTTATCGCCATGTGGTCCTGGGTCCTGATCTCAAGCACCCGTCTCCCTATCATGACGATCCTAAGCCCAGAACATGGCTCCACGTATGCCAGCCGGCGCCGTTTCCTCCTGGTCCGGTACCCGCCCTAAGTTAGACGCTTAGTTCCAAAGTACGAATCGGGTACATGCTAACCACCCTGGCCCCCAATTCAATAAGCAATAGCCGGCCAAAGAGAGACAGGGAAAAAACGGGCACCCTACATGGCGTCCATTAGCTCCTTGGGGCTGAAAAACAATTTACGCTTCCCCAATGCCGGGGCCAGGAGCTTACCTCCCCCGGTCCCTTACGACGGATCCAGCAGCTTGTTCTTGTTTCTCACCATGCGCTTCACCAAGGATCCGCCGTAACCTTGGGTCCATCGAAAATTCGTAGACATTTCCAATTGCCCGCCCAGCACGTATCATTCTATTCGGAGCATCCCAGGCACGGTAGGGTGGAGCTAGGCGGGAAGGTGCGGTTCCCGAATAGCCTGCGTTTTTAGTTCAGTCGAATCATTTCCATGGTTATCTTAGGATGTCGGAAATCGTTGTGCAGAACTATTCTGGATTGAGTATCCCGAGTTAGATCTTTGACCCCGTCGTGAACGCTTGATGACAGAGGAAGAAAACGGGGGGAAAGAATTAAGAGTTGACAGAGCAATTTCATCAACAATGAACCTTACTCCATTGGTGTGGACCTTTTTCCCTTTTTATTTTTATTTTTTTTTCCTGGCTCTGAACTTCTCCCCCTCCTCTTCCAAGGCCGCTGGTGCGTCCAAGAAGAGAACAAAAGTTCAGGGAGAAGGGGCAAAAAAAAGGAAACACAATGTCTGCGGCCAGTCAGTCAAACGGCAAGATCATCGACGTTGGCTCGCGTTTTAGGACAAAGTCTGACAGGCCTCACTTAGGCAAGTGGCAGTGTGAATCATGCTAACTAAAAGGTATTAGAAATTAATTCTAGGCAAATCAAAAAATAGAAAAGAAAAAAAAATAGGCGAATTGGATAATAAACGATCACCTTAAAGTAAAACCGGACTTACCATAAGCTGAGCTGTAGACTTAGTACTAAATCAGAACGAACTATCTTTGGTCCTCCCCCCAGACTAATCTGCTTATTCGCTTACCCTCGTCCGTTTTTCTCCATTTGTTGACCCTAGGACGTTTAAATAGTCGCCTTTGCTCTGATTTCTGGGGATGGCTTCATTGGTTTCCGTATAATTTGCATTATTTTTGTCAACAGGGTTCAGTTGTTGGACTTCGATATTACCGCCGTGGTTGTCGAAAGGATTCAGTCTGCGCTTGTATCTTCTATACTGTAGGTCCAGTGATCATCCCCCTCACCATTCCCTCCCTCACTTTCCCCTTCTCCCACTATATGATCAGCCTTATATGTATGTGGTCTCAAGACTTTTACTGTTGACTCCCCCTCGAGCATTGTACTTTGTCTAAATTCAATACCATTCCCATTCTCTGTCTTGCTAAATCAGTGTACTATACCACTCAAATGTCCTCCATAACACTGGAAACACATCACTTGCCTAACTTTTCTTATCATAATCGCAGACACCTGGCTGGCTCTCCACTGCGGACTCTGAGTTTCTCTTCAGAATCATCCGCTTCTTCTTTCGGACTTCGTCCGTCGACTTGGATTGAGCCTTTACCGCTGCGGAATACTAATCCGCCGAGTACCTCGGGCTCGTATTGGGGTCTACAGAGTCCAGCTGCACTCCCCGACTTCGGGATTTCTCAAGGACAAGATCCAGCAACCAGACCTAGTAGCAGCTCAAGTTCCTCACCATCATTTGAATCCACCCCGGTCGTTTTTGGTACTCCGCTTGGTTGTGAATCAGACTGTTTAAGGCCAGAGTACGATAATCAACCGCGCTCTGGTCTATCCAAGCAGATCCAAGAGGAGTGCCCGATAGAAAACTCACTGTATGTTGGCCTCGATCTGCACCGAGTGCACCTATTAATAAGAAGTTTTATGACAAAGGTCACCGTGCTTTGAGGTCCCTATCCAAGCACAGCTGAAGGCCGACTTGATGGCAATTATGGCAGATAATAACACACACAGTACGATACCCCAAACGATACACCTGCCCAGGTCCATGACATTCAGAACTAACTCCATCTAGGTTATGGCTGGCAAAGCCGGCCATCACATCCTCTTCATCCTTCCTCGATGGCTATGGACCAACAACCGTTTCCCCAACCACAGACTCTCCCACCATCGACTGGATACCACGTCGGATATCATACTCCGCAGACCACAACGCAAGGCTTTTATCAGCCGGGAATTCCGGCACCTCAATATCTTTGCTCGCCACATCCAGGTCTGCTTCAAAGCCGACAGCATCCCCGAAGGTAGGCCATCTCCATACAACCACTATTCGTGAGGCCAAAGTTCCTAACTTTTAGCATTGTATAGTTCTTCCATTCCATATGCCTTCCCTAGCAGCCACATTGCAGGCAGCCCACCAACAATAGCGGAACAGTCGTTCACTTCATCGTAAGGTGGCCAGGGTATCTAAAAAGAAATCACGACACTGACTAGCTTCTAGGCCTCCCTCATACTTAGTTAACCATCAAGAGTATTATTATTCTCAGGCTCCTTCGCTATCGTCAGTCACCCAATACTCATCATTATGACTTGTACACTGACATTTGAAGTTCAAGGTCAAATCCAAGCTCTTTAGCAGTGAGCCCTCAGTCACAACATATAATGACACCAGGAACAGTATACTCGTCTCCCGATACAGCACCGGCAGGCTCAGACGCAGATCAGCAAGTCCGCGTCATTAGCTTCCGACCGAAACCGCAGTGCTGGGACCACGGATGCAACGGCCGTGAATTTTCAACTTTTAGCAACCTACTCCGTCATCAAAGGGAGAAGTCAGGCGTGGTTGCCAAGGCAGAATGCCCCAGCTGTGGTGCCGTATTTACGCGAACAACTGCTCGAAACATTCATGTCTCTCAAGGGAAATGTAAAGGTGGAGGGAGGGAAACATCAAGCGAGTGATGACTGCGCCCGTGAGGGAGTGAATTCTCCATCGAATCCCAACGACCTACTTCTACAACAATACTGTTCAACTCGGAGCACCACGTTGCCTTTTCCAAAGTCACTTTCAAATGACTGCAGCGAAACAAGCTCGTCCCCCCCGATACCCTCACGGGAGCGGAGTTCGGCGGAATGGGGGCCCTGGAACATTTCAACAGCGACCGAATCCTCGATTCCTTTCAGAGTAAGGATTTAGCGAGTCTACAAAAGACATATAGACAACTCTGCATTCATATCTACATACATGGTGGAGTAAGGGGGCACTAAATTGACTGATATAGTGATATATATTGTACATATTTTCTTCTTTGGCTAAGCATACACTATACACTTCCAAAGTATAGGCGCGAACCATCTACGCGCTCAAAGATCTCGTCTGATATTTCAATTCTGATAAGTGCATGACCTAAGCACTAATGCTGATAGTCAAGTTCTATCCATGCGTACTACATTTTCTCCGGAAGGAAGAGAAAGGGCTGTATTCGCAGGCCAGGGAACCACATCCTCGCCAGATGCTGACATCATGCCTCAGGCGCGTAACCACCACGTGGCCCTTCGCATGCTTACATCACGCATCACCTGACCGGATCATGTCATCCAGTACAACAAGGCGATGGGATGCCAGGGAACACCAAGTGACTCACTGTATGCTCTCCACCATGCCGTTGGCGTCCTTTTAAGTGTCAACTGCCCATGTTTGTATGACTTTCCAGGACCTTCTCTTTGGAAGGACTTGTCTAGCTTCCGGCCAATTGCGCCCACAATTACATCTCTAACGTCGATATTCTGGTACCCCCAAAATGACTCAATTATCAATAGCATTCTACAACCTATGTAAAGTATCCCAAGCGTGCTGGCACTTACACTGTTTATTACCCCCTCGCATACCTCGGCCTGGCCTGGTACCTATCTGAGTCACTTTCTATTCAACCGCTTGCTTCATCACGCTGTTCCAATAAACAACTACAGCTTGCTTTTGACATACACTGTCTTAAGGAGCCCGAAGCATGGCGTCTATCTTTACTTACGATCCCGACCCTCCAAGGGTCTCTTCTCCGTGGTCTACCTCCGGATCCTCCACCCCACAGGTAGCTGGGACAGGGGCCCGCACAGTGACTCGGAATCATTCCGCTACCAATCTGGATCGCCCAGACTCCAATGTCTTATCTGACTACGGTATCACGAAGCTAGAGCCGGAGCCGCAAGAAGGGCCAACTGAGTACAAGCTGCATCTTCTTCTTCGAGCAAGGAGACTCTATACAGCTATGTCCACCGGTCATCTCGTTGGCGGTTCATATCACTCCCGCTTGCCTTTGTCTACCTCGGTTCCAATGTCTTCTAGTTCTGAAACAGCCTCGAAGCAGTTTCAAGTTCGCTCTACCCAGAGCCGTCAACAGCGATTGCAACAACTGACCACTCAACTTCTGTGGCGTTTACAGCAGTCTTCGCCGTTCCATTCCTCTACTGTTGCCAATCTTGTGCTCCCCGTTCTCCCAGAGACAGCATTGGAACCTGGAATCCTCCAGAAACCGGCTCGCTTACTCCCTGGTCTTGAGGAGAGTCAGGGTGCTCTGTACGAGATCGGGGTTGCTGACGATGGCACTTTTGTTGGACTCACTCATGACGAGCTGGACGAAAGCCTGTTGAATTTACAGGTGATGGCAGGTAGCCTTGGTTGCAAGGTCGAAATTCTTCGCCAGGTAATCGTTGGGAACTGCGAATGGACCGAGGACGCATGTGCACCAAATGCTGAAGTTGCCAAGGTTCATGCAGAAGATCTTTGGGTTGCTGAGGCTCTTGTGAGTCCGGACTGGGACTATTACCGAATTGAATCGCCAAAGAATGGTTTCTACGAGGGCAAGTCACCGTCACTAGCGGCCAGACAAGGAGGGCTGGAGGGCGATCACTCAAAAACGGAGCAAATACGCATTTCCATCACTGGCCCAACTACAGCTGGAAAATCGTCGCTTCTGGGCACACTGACCTCATCTGTCCTCGACAATGGAAGAGGTACCAGCAGACTTGGTCTTCTCAAGCATCGGCACGAAATTTCTTCCGGGATCACGAGCTCAGTTGCCCATGAGCTGATAGGGTACGCCGCCAATGAACTGTCCGAGGACACCCTCGATGTAGTCAATTATTCATCGGGCAATGTTGCAGCGTGGGACGATGTACATGCAGCCTCAGCACAGGGACGTCTAGCATTCGTCTCTGACCTCCCGGGGTCAGTTCGTTATCTGAAGTCTACGCTTCGGGGCCTGATCAGCTGGGCTCCGCACTATGTATTGCTGTGTATTCCGGCAAATTGTGACGATGACGCCACAAAGGAGCCTCAACCTGACACCGGGGAGCAAACTAACGATGTCAGCTTGGCATTGTCGCACCTCGACCTCTGCAATAAGTTAGAGATCCCCACAATCGTGGTGATCACTAAGATGGACCTTGCATCTCGTGCTAGCCTGAAACAAAATCTTACGAAAGTTCTGTCAGCATTGAAGCTTTCCGGCAAAAAGCCCGCCATGCTTCCTGTGCAATCTGGCAATTCTGAGGCATCACTAGACCTGCACCACGTCGGAACCAAGGAGAATGTGGAAATCAAGAAGCTGATTGCTACAACAGAAAATTGGTCTTCCACCGTTCCAATAGTCCTTACAAGTGCTGTCGATGGCTCGGGAATAGGGAGGTTACATGCTTTGCTGGGAAATCTCCCAATCCCTGCAAGACCATCACTACGGACCATTTTTCCGTCGAAGGCACTGCCACCACCGGCACTTCCTACAAACATTTTCGATGTAGATGAGGTATTCGCCATTCCTCCATCGAAAGTCTACTCAATGTCCGCAGAACAGTCCTCAAAGGAGAACCACGGTGTGGTTCTCTGTGGCTTGGTCCGCTACGGATCAATTTCAATAGGTGACGAGCTGGTCATCGGACCCCTTCTAGATAATGCCCTACCGGAACATGGAGGTAGGGTTCGTTCAGAGAGACGCTCAGACACCCAGCCTGAGTCTGAGCCCTTTCGGAGTAGACCATCATCGGGAGACTTTTCTACCTCGTTTGTCCAAGGATCCTTTCCGGGAAAGATACCCTACCCAACTCAAGCGCACTGGCAGCGTGTTCGAGTAGTCAGTGTTCGGAACCTGCGACTACCCGTTCGGAAATTAGTCGAAGACCAAGTAGGCACAGTAGGCGTGGAGCCCCTCCCCAGTTCCCAAGACGAGCCGCCTCCTCGGCTTGGTAGGGTTCGGAAAGGAATCATCCTGGCCAGCTTTCCAGCACCGCCTGCCAACTCCATTCCCAAGTCCCTATTATTCCACACGGGCTTTGTCGCGAGCTTTGATTCAAGTCAATTCGCTTCCTCACTATCCCCACCACTGCTACTGGGAGGGAACGCGATCGTATACATTGCCAACATTCGGTCCACGGTAAAAGTGACTTGTATGGCACTTGCGGATGACGAAGTCGTCTCTTCACCTCCTTCGCCAACAGAACCTGAGTTCTTCAGCTTCGATAGCGATGTTAATGACCGCGATAAAGGTAGCCAATCCGAACTAAACCATATGATCAGGTCTTCGACCAATTCGGATGTTGGGGATGTCAAGATTACATGTTGTTTCGTGACGTCGGTTGAATGGGTTGAAGTTGGGTCTCGCATACTTCTCATGCCAGGAGCATCGACTGCATTGGTTTCTGCACATGGCTCAGGCTCGCCTTCCGGACTTGAGGGCTTTGTTGGCCGGGTTTGTGACGTGGTTTCCACCGCTGATTCCAGTAAATAGGATAAGTCACTGTTAGCTATCAAAGTTGTCTGATGTAGGAAAGATCATGAAGTTATATACCTAGGGATTTTCTTTTTGTTCAATATACGCATGGATATCTGTTTCCCTGAACGCTTTGGACATAGTGTGCTCCGTATAGTTGTCGCTGATACAGCGTAGAGATCATAGAACTAAGCAGCTGGCACGTGCGGTGTGGGGAAGGTGACTGATCGGCCTAAGGCGGCGAACGTGCCGCTGTTAGTGTGACTTTAAATGACCTCAGGCTCACGAATACCACAAACTTGACCAACAAAGGAGTCGGCACTCACTCCAAGTTCCGCAACTCAATAGCCTTGCTCAGCTCACGACGAGGTTGTGTAATATTCATGGAACCCGGGTGCTCCTAGCCAAAACTATTTTGAAACAATTCGGGGTACTTCTGAATGTCCGACACTTGACCGATTTTGATTGGATAGGCATCATTCTGTGGCACGATCCATTTGGTGGTTCCGCCGCCGCATCCTCCAGCTATTCATTACTATTACCTACTACTACGTTTACCCCGGATTTGACCCGCCAGATTCCGCCGCAACCTCAACAATCAAACAATCAGGAGTTATTGCGACACAGGGAGCACGGTCTTCGTACTGACTCTGCTACACCCCACTTGGCTAGCTTATATTGGCCTTGTGATGTCCTATAGCTATCTCGAGTGCCTGTGCGCAGCTAGTACGCAATGACCTCGTCTGTCAATAATATGGCAGAGGCCAGCAGCGCGTACGCGGGTTTTAGAATTAGCACCGATTCAACTCAGCACTCAGACGACGACGATGAGTTTCTTTCAAGCGCGAGTACGACTTCCGAGGCGGGACAAGAGCATTTCGTGGAGTACAAGCAACCTGCGTTAGACTCCATGAATGACCAACAGGGGACCCTGTGTAACTCCTCAGCAGTACCATCTACGAAAAACTTGCAGGCTCAGGAAGTTGAAGCATCTGAGGTGAAACCGGTAGAAAATAGGTTTGTATGCGATGACAAAACTATGGGTGGTACCAGACGGCCACTGCATTTGCTTGATCTCCCCATGGATATATTGCAGGTAATCATTAAAGAAGTAAGCACGGGTCGACTCCCCTTTGGATAGCCCAAGCAATCTGTTGCTAATTATAGTAATTTTCTTTGGCGATATAGGTGACGCATACCAACGACCTGACCTCGCTAGCTCTGACATGTTTCAGTCTGCATGCTTTGGCCATTCCTCAAATGTATTCTCGGTTTGATATCGTATGGCCAGAGCCAATGTCACCGTCTGTTCATCCCACAGGTGTCGATGCTCTTTCATACGGACTGGCAACGTTAGTAATGGGCGAAGATGTTTTCCACGAGCTTCCCCCACCCCACCGTCCCATTGCGCCCTGTCATCACTGTGGCTGTAGCGCCCAGCATGTTCAACAAGGCTCCCGACTCGATACAGACGGCATACGGAGGATACGTCGAGGGAATCACTATGCACAATATACACGCAAATTTTCTGTGGGAAATGGACCACCGGAGTGTGTCCAAGAGTACTCTGTGACGAAAGAAACGGGCAAAATGCTGGGGACTTTGGTAGCATTGGCTATCGCTCGCATGGTAAACCTAGAGTCTTTCATTTGGGATATGCCGACTGGGGTTTTGCGGGACGTTTGGATAGCGCTATCATCTCTAGCAGATCGACCGGGCCATGAATGCCGTCTAGAGCGTGTTTGGGTTCGTTGGCACGATAACTCCATGATACGTATGGTTCGGACTCCATCAGACATGACACTCCCGGGTATGCCGTCTCCTTTTATCTCGACATCCGCGAGGTCAACGCGTCTACAAAATTACGCCCATGTAGAGTATCCTACCCTGTCAATCTTACCCCCGCTGAAGAGTTTAAGCGTTCTCGATATAGATGAGTCGTCATATCTCGAGGAAATGGCTGTGCTCATTGAGCGCTCGCGAGAACGCCTAAAAGAACTGCGCATCGGGATTGCCTCGAGAGTATACCAGTACAATTGGCTGAAAGCATTAGGAGGCTGGTCTCCTGTGCAACAAGACACGTCCAACCCTGTGGTTTCCGGCTGGCCTAAAGTCGGTGGTGTACTCGGCGTCCTCCTGGGTAATCCGCACACTCAATTTCCCTTTGAACTAGCAGCCGATCAGCCTTCCTCGAAAGAGGCGCAACCGGATCAGCATGATGGTCACCAAGGATCTAACAGGTCGGCTCCGCCAACTGGGGATATTGCTAGCAACGGCTCTTCTACTGGAAATTTGACTACACAACTCTCGGATACGGTACCTCTAGAGCACTCTCCTAAAACCACTGGCACTCCTAGGATCAATTGTGCAACATCTCCCCAAGCGACCGAGGAGCCACATCCCACCCAACCATCGAAACTTGGAGATCTACCAGAACCATCAAACAAGGGTTTGGGCGTCAACAGGCCTGTTGCATCCGCCTCAACGATAAGCCCTAAGTCTGACAGGTTGAAGTTGGAGGTCTTTGAACTAGAGCGCGTCTGTTTGTCCATCCCGGTCATGATGCATGCTTTGGACTGGACCCGAATTACAACACTCACAATCCTTCGCTGTGATGGCCACGAAAAGCTCTGGAGAGCGCTCCGGCGCCAGTTCTCTCCGTCCGCTGCACTGCGCGGTAGTCCAACACCAGAAAATAAAGAGATAAATAACTCCTGGTCGGAGTACTCTCTAAAGCTCAAGCATATCCACACAGATGCTGTGTCCCCATACCTGCTACTCTTCATCAAGGATGCCATTGCGCCTAATACACTGGAGACCTTGTTTTTGCATGAGGCTCCGATGTACGACTCTATTGTTCATGTTGACGCAATCTATCGAAATGTGATCCGTAACCATCGGACGAGCTTGAAACATCTCTTAGTTGATAGCACAGAGCGGTCACCTGGTGGACTTGAGATCAGCACAAACCGCTGGCGTAAATGGATGTTCAGCAGGGAAATGATCTCCTTCATTACTAGCGGCCGTATGCCACGTCTGCGTGAACTATCGATGACGATGCATTCCAAGGATTGGGTAAATCTGTCTCTATCAATACTCTGTGGCTAAACCCGTGCTAACTGTCTTTAGCATTACTTTCTCCAGAGGCTCCCCAATATGCCCCAGCTACGTGCTCTGCATATTCCTCACATAACTAACCCTATTCACCGAGACCCGAAGGAACTCGCTTTACAGATCCTTGATATTGTTACAATTCGCCCCGAAGTTGGAATAAGCTATATTGGAATGATCAATAAGTGCTACGAAATCCTCGAGGGTAAGCGTGGTGAGAAAGACGACTTCGATGATGCGGACGACAGCCACAGCGAGGGCTTTGTCCCAGGTAGTGATGACTGGGCACCGTCTGACACAGACGACGATGATTCGGATGACGGCGGCGCCGGGAGTGCCATGGAGTCGAACTCGGAACTATCGTCAGACGACCACAGTTCATCAGATGGATACGATTCTGACCTCGAGAGCAGCAAATCGCGCGTGGCTTTTCGGCTACGGGAAATTCTATTTTATGATGATAAGATCTCCATTTTCAAGGCACGACACGGAGTTCTATGACCTGCAAACTTGCTCATTGCCACTGGCATGGTGTTGGGTGATTGGATTATATTACTGTTTTTGTTTTTGTTCCACTTGTTCAGTATAATTTTTTTTTTTTCTTGCGACCTTTGAGATACCATTTGATCGGATTGTGGCAGAATACAGTTCATATTCCTGTTTTTCTATTTGAGGCTGGCGCGATGTTACATGTTTCGGGTCATAGCATTGCATGAGAATGACCGCTGCTACACCTTATACTTCTTTGAAGTGTATGCTTGATAGGCACATCAATAGAAGCTTTCCAATTCTGGGATAATTTGTCTAAGGGCTACATTAGGTTATTAACTCAACTTCTATGCATCATATGACTAAGCTATGCAAGTGATGTCTGCACACTGAAACGTGAGGGTGGATGACTAAGCACGAACCACCTCTGCAATCACCGCCGCAAGACAGCAATCGCAAGGCTTGAAGATACATCTGGTCCCGCCCCAGCCTGCCAGTGTTCAGATAATAACTCTGTATTAATACTTACATTAATACAAGCACTCTTTCTTTGTTCTTATTTTTCGGTGTTTTGCGCATACACATCACCATGAAGCTCGTCCGGTATGTTGCCCCAAGCTGTTGAAGAGCTGTTTCCACAAACAATTCGCGACCATAAGCTAGCCAACTGATACTGACATGGTTTGCTTTCAGGTTTTTGATGAAGTGCGCCAATGAGACGGTGACGATTGAGTTGAAGAATGGTCAGCCTCCCTCTCCCGCAGTTCTGGCAATCCCACTGATTGCACTCGTACACGTTCTGTCAGATGTCTTTTCTTTTTTGTTGCTTCTAACACTTAGCTCCAGGCACAATCCTCCATGGCACAATCACATCGGTCTCCCCGCAGATGAACACCTCGCTGCGCACCGTCAAGATGACCCCCAAGGGCCGCGACCCTATCTCGCTCGACACCATTAACATTCGAGGCTCGACGATCCGCTACTACATTCTTCCGGACAGTCTGCCACTGGATACTCTCCTTGTCGACGACCAGCCGAAGCCTAAGAACAAGGCACGCAAGGAGGCTGACCGCGGCGCTCGCGGCGGCCGTGGTGGCCCTCGCGGCAGAGGCCGTGGACGCGGCCGGGGACGTGGACGTGGATTCTAAATGGGAACATAGACAATGACTAGGAGTTTTTCTCTTCTTCCGATTTGATTCGTTTTGGGTGATATCTGCGATGGTTTCATTTTTGCACCTCGAGGGTTCAGCTTCTATTATTCCTTTGTGCGATGGGGCGGGAAAAAAGAGAGTTCTAATTCACCTTTTTTTTTTCTTTTCAATAATCTTGTCGGATTCGGGTCGTATACATCAGCGGCTGAGGGAACACTTGAACTCAGCGAGACTATCGAACGTTATATGCGGTTGTTTTTGGCACGGTTGACGGACGGCCATACCTCGGGTCTCGTGCAAGCTCAAGGCATGATAGGCTCTTGTCGCGGGGAGAGTGGGTTTTATCACGCATGAACGAGGAAGCGAGATCATCGGACATTGCGAGCTGATATGCGTTGCTGGGAGGATCCATGGATCAACATCTTAAGAAGTCGGTGGCATGGCCTGCCATAGGACACTTGAAAACGATATCTCGCAGAAATTTGATAAACCTTGGGAAAAGAATACGTGATGGATAACAACGTCCATCGGCCTGTAAAACATCACTCAATCAGTCATCTCGGTCATTAGTCTATTGCTCTATTTTTGATGTCTATATATCCGTACTCTATCATCATCAGATCACGACGTTTCCTTCCATATCCGAACAATAACCAACTTCTCCCACCCAGCCTGCTGACCACTGTTCCCAACTGTCTCTGCCTGCCATCCATCCCCCCAAGCCCTGATCCTCTCTTTGACCTCCTGCGGCCGATTCTGCGCACAGAACAGCACATATGCCACCCCACGGCCAGGAGTCAACAGCCCCGGAATCTCCTCCAACAACCGATCCGTCGTCTCCATCCCATCTCTTCCCCCAGCATACGTCAGCGACAAGAAGTACGAGTCGCGCTCAAACTTCGCAGACCGCGACATCCCCGCCTCGTCGACATCCTGTTCCGTGACGGCGGGTAACCGGGGCAGCTCCTCACTGGGCACATACGGCGGATTGAATAGAAGTACATCCACACTACCTGGGCGAAGGGCGCTCCCTAGATCGGCCATGACCGAGGACAGATATACCGTCTTCTGACCGTTGGGCTCTTCCGATTCATTATCGGTCTGTCGTTCTTTGATTGCTTTATTGGCTGTTTCACGGGTCGCGATGCAGGCATTCCGATTCACGTCTATCCCTAGAGGGAGGATATCGCGCCGTCCGAAGATCACTTGCGAATTGGCTGCTACGAAGCCTAGCACGACGCCCGAGCCGGTTCCAAGCTCAACGACGAGGGGCGAGGCGGTGGATTGGTCTGGGGACGAGGGGGTCGTGTTGAAGCGCTGCGTGAGCCATGCTGATTCGGACGGCGAGGCAAGGGTGTCGAGGAAGAGGTAGGAATCCTCGGAGGGTTCGTAGATGGTGTCGAAGGAGACGTGGGATGTGCACGGAGTGGGGAGCATTTTCTTAATCGCCTGACGGATTTCCTTGGTATATTACCACACCACTGGGCAGTGACCACTCCAAGCACCCAATTATGAATATAAACCCGCCGTCAATAGAATACCAACGTACACTGTTCAACTCTTCGTAGCAATATGATAGTATACCATCAATAAATGCACGATAGTTTAACGTCTCGATCAGATAACCCGATAAAAAACCTAATCCCAGACCTCCAATTGGCCAATCGCTCTCCGCCTCCACCGAACCGCGGCAATACAGTACCATCATCATCGACCATATCGCAACAACTCTCTCCAACACAACCCACCCAACAGAAACCACCCAATTAGACATAACCTCCAAGATGCGCGCCCTATCCCGCCTGCTGATGGCCACGCCCTCGACCATGGGCTCCAAGTCCAGCCTCAGCGAAGCCCTCGCCCTCCTTCCTCCCCTCCAACTCTACCGCCGCATCCTCCGCGTCCACCGCAAGAAACTCGACCCCGAGATGCGCATCCTCGGCGACTCCTACCTGAAGAGCGAGTTCAGGGCTCACCGTAGTGTGGAGAATCCGTTGCATATTGTACGTTTTCTTCTTTTTATATACAAATATGCCATATACCTTGTTGGGGGGGGGGTTAAATGAGGTTATATGTACGGTTCGGAGAACAAAGCTAATGTATGTAGATCGGGTTCTTGACGGAGTGGCAGTTATACGCGCAGAAGTTGGAGGGCGATACCTGGATTGGGGAGAAATTGGATAAGAATAAGTTGGATAAGATGAGTGGTATGCTTTTTCTCTGTCTTCTCTTTTGCTTTCTCTATCGATGTATGTCGGGTGCTAACGAGGGTAATGTGCAGACCAGCAAATCGGCCAATTATACGAACTCATGAACGCTATCAAGAACGAGGGTGGGGAGAGCGAGGGCGAGGGCGAGGGCCAGCAATGAGTGTGTTTCCACGATAACTCTGACGATGGAATAACCCAGTTTTTGATATCCCTTCATATGATGGGTGGTACGACGCTTATAGCGATGTGAACTATTATTAAGACCTTCCGGTGTCTTGGGATAGAAAGGGCGCCATGCTAGATATTGTATGGTCCGGGTAAGGACATGCTAGACATGGACTCGGTTAACGAATGGGGTGTGTATGATAGAATGTACTATATTATATTATATCATTTGCAGTGCTTTGGATGTACATACATACATACATATACTAGATATCATCTATGTAAGGGTGACTATTGCCACAGTAATACTAGAGCAGTGGTAGTACACATGCATACATGATGCATAGACATCAAGAACAAGAACATGTTAGCTCTACCTACTACTACTACTAGTACTAGTAAGTATCTCAAGTACATGCATCCGGCTATTGTAAAACCCCCACCAATCAACACCACATCCGCCTCACGCCCTTCGCAAAACAACCGCCAAAACCAATGACTAATCGCCCCGATAAGAGCAAGTTAAACTTTTATATACCCCGGAAAAAGCAATCTACAATATAAATCCTTCAATCCTTCCCAGTAAACCCAAATTCCCCAACTTATAATCCCAAACAAAAACCAAAACCACAAAAGAAAAGAAGAGAGAAAATGCCCTCCATCCTCGAAGACCCCACAACCACCCTCCCCGCCCCTCAACCCGCCCAACAAGCCTCCCAAACCCTAACCCCCCGACCAGCCCACCTGAAAGATGGCTCCCCCGTAACGCTGTACCCGGTGGCCAACGGCCCGCAAAGCATCCCCGCGGACCTGGTTGCGCTGCTGCACCGCGAGTTCAGCGCCGAGATCGAGGCCGGCTGCACGTACCCGATGGAGGAGCCGATGACGCTCGAGCGCTTCGCCGAGTACTGGTTCGGGACGTTTGCCGTTGTGGCTGTCCTTGGGGGAGAGGAAGAGGGGGGCCTTCGCGAGGGCCGTGATTGGGAGAGGGAGTGTTTGGGGACGTTTTATATTAAGCCGAATTATCCTGGTTTGTTTTCTCTTTTCTTTCTCTTTTCTTTTCTTTCCTTTTTTTTTTTTTTTTTTTTTTTTGGGGGAGAGTGAGTGAGTGCTGATGAGGTTTCATGGACAGGCCGGTGTTCGCACGTCTGCAATGCAGGGTTCCTGACGACGGTTGCCGCGCGCGGCCGTGGCGTGGGCATCGTCATGGGCGAGACATATCTGCAGTTTGCGCCCAAGTTGGTAAGTTTTCTTGTTGTTGTTTCTGTGGTGTGTATGTGTGTCCTTGTATGTCGGTGTTGACTGCGTTAGGGCTACAAATACTCCGTCTTCAACCTGGTCTTTGAGAACAATGTTGCGTCGGTCAAGATCTGGGAGCGACTGGGTTTCAAGATCATTGGGCGTGTGCCCGGGGCAGCGCGGCTGGCGAATAGTGAGGAGTTGGTGGATGCGTTGATTATTGGGAGGGATTTGGTTTAAATGAGTAGGAGGGAAGGGTGGCTTGGGGTGGGATTGTATATAGAGAAATAGATGAAATAGATTCGTGGATTTATACCTGTGATAATAAATTATGAGTACCTTTAGCTAGGCTAGGTTGATATAGGGTTAATGGTGAGTACAGGGAGGATTGCATTTCTATCCATGAGAAGATAACATGGGTTCTAAATGGACATGCAGCATTTATTGGAAGAGTTAGTTCAAGGCTCTGCTGGCTATATCAAATGCAATTAACTGGTAAATGATGAAAAAACAGCAAATAGGAAGGAAAAAAATAAAAAGATCATAAAGCCAATGCCATGCACCATACAAGAACGCTAATCACAATCACAATGCGAGTGGGGAATCAAGAAAACCAGTCTGACCCGCAACGATATGGTATATGGCGACACCACAAAGCACCCGAACCGCAATGCACATAATACAGGGGCAATAAATATGCTAGTATAAGGTGAAATAGTACATAAAAACAGAATCCAAACATGATGAGGGTGGAGACAGACTCCAGCCAGTTACCGCCACGGTGGGCGTTCACTCAGCTTACTACGAGTGCCCGCACTGCTATCTCGCCCGCTTTTGTTTCGCGGCAAAGGAAGCAAGCTGATGCGACGACTGCCCCCATGGCCCAAGGCAGTCCCCGGGCGCTCAGCCTTGGTGGGACTGAGCAGGTTACGGGTATAATCGTGTGAGATACTGCGGCTGAACGACATCCCGGCAAAACTTTGCCGGTTTCGGGGAGTGTTGATGATGCCTTCCGCCCCTGGCGGACGCCGAAGCTTGCTGTAGGGTGGAGGGTCAAGGAGGGAGCGGTTGGGCGTGGGAGAACCAGTGCGGTTAGGGCTGCGTGATGCAAGGCGGCTGGAAACGCGGCTGGAGACACGGCTGGGGGACCGTGCTGTTGACGGAGCGGGAGATACAGCAAGATCTCGGCGGGACATCATTGACAAGGGACGGGGAGTGCGACTTGGAGCCGAGGACTTGCGGAATTGCGCGCCGGCCTTGTAGACATGACCGACTTCCAGATCATTGGTGTTGACACTCGAGTTCCATCGTGGGCGATTGTCTTTGACAGGTGGGGGCAGACGTGGCACCTTCTTTGCAGCTGGAGTAGGCGTAAAGAGACCACTTGGCTTAGGAGATGGGGCCGTCAGCGTTGGCTTCGGGATCGCCGATTTCTTGCTAGTCAGGGTTGCCGTGGGCTGGGGTATCCCTGAGTATCGCCGAACCTTGGCCACGGTACTGCGGGCGACTGAGCTCACAGAACTGCCCCGTCTGCTCGAGCTTCCCAAAGAAGCACCCGAGCCTTTGTTAGCAGGGGTCATGACCACCGATGAAGGTGGGGAGCTGCCGGGAGTATCGATAAGGCTAGTGGCCGGGCTGTCCATGGTGACAATCGTTGATATAGAGTCGCGCAAGTGCTGGCCCGGCGCCACGTTGTATTCTGTAAGCGATGAATCCATCACCTCCACGCTCCTTTTCAGCGCATCCATCCTCGACGCCATGTCTGACAGGAGATTCACCGTCTCGCCATTCACCGTCAGTTGATCCTTTACTCCCTTCTCGATGAGAGATATTACTCGTTCGATGGCAGGGACGTAATGCTGCTTCTTGGCCTCGTAACTTTCAACGCGCTTCGCTAGTCCCGCCGGGTTATGCACATGAGCACCTGTTTCCAGGGCTTCTTGCAACTTGGAAATGCTTCGTTCAACCGATAGAAACATTTTCCTCGCTTGCATGCCAGCATTGCGGAAAACAAGAACCCACCGGTCCTCACTGAACTCCTTCCGCAGAGCTTCCGCATCTGCCTCCAAGGTCCGATAGCTCTTCTCTAGCCCTTTTCGCCGCTCCTCCATCTCCGCACAGGCGCTGGGGAAGATCCTTTCTGCTCTACCCTGAAACATGGACAACCGCATGGGCAAGAAGGCAAGGGATGCCCGCAAGGGTTGTATTCGGGCAAATACAGCGATGAGGTCCGCATGCTCCGAGTCATCCTGTGGGGTTTGAATGAGCGGGGTATCGAGGGTCGGTGGCGCATCGAATAAGATACTGTGCCGGTTACTGTTGGAAAAGTGTCCGTTATTCGGTGTTTCCTCGACGATCGTCTCCAGCTCGCTAATATCGAGCCCAGAGCTATTCGACTCCTGCTCAGCGGCCCATGCATTTGCCATATTGATGTGTCGCTTCTCTTCGATCTCGAAGAGTAACCGGCTCAGACTCTCAACTTCAGCACTGACGTCCCCCAAAATGGTATTCCAGAGCTCCTCCCATTCCATAGCCAATTCCACTTGTTCCTTCACATTTCTTAGTCGGTTCTTGATATCCGCCCAGCTCTGTAATATACTGTCCATCTGGATCACAATGGTCTTCAAACTGTCTGCACTAACGTCGCCAATGTCGACTCGGAGCTGTACATCTTCAATGGCTTTCACGTAAATGTTCATCAGACCTTCGAACCGTGTAATTGCCTTGTCGATCCCGTCTAATCCTTCTCGTCCGCCTGCTGCTGCCCACTCCACTTCGTCCTCCGCATCTAGACCACTTAACACATCGGAGGCCTTTTTGATCCATATCTGAATTTGTGCTGCGGACCCAGTGAGGGATTTGACGGCCAATGGCGCGTTGGGTATTGCGGCAATGCTGGCTTCAAGGGACGACGGTTGGGGCAGTGGGATGGAGGTAAGCTGGGTGAGCTGGTGACTGAAGGATGCGCGAGAGAAGGAGTATATTGATTCGGGGCGCTGCAAACCCCGGGGGTTAAAATAGGATTGTATGTTCGAATTAGCCGACGGTGGGCGCGGCGAGTCTTTTGGAGGAGGCGGTGGAGCTTGCTCAGCTTCGTTGTCACTAGTACTTTGGAGAAACTTCTCGAAATCTGTTTGGTCATGTTCGCCATGCGTGTTAGGGGGAGCACCCGATTCGATGTCTAGTGGCGCTGGCAGAGACGCAACCGCAGCCATGGCCACTGGAGCTTCTTCCGGCTCTTCCACTTCTTCCACTTCTTGGGTTAGGCTGACGTCTACTGCTTGATTGACTAATGTTTCTTCGACGGGTTCTTGGGTTGCGACCGACGTGGAGCTTTCCTCGGCAGGTTCTACCGGTTCCAACTCCACTGGGGAAGGCAATTCTGTGTCCGGGTCGTGAACCTCCAGGTAGGTCGACTCAATCTGTTGCGGTTGTTTACCTTTGCCACCAAAGTGTACAGCATTCCACGACCGCCCTCTCTTTTCAATCTTGATCGAAAGGTCTTTGTTGCGGCTGTCTAATTCCTTGATGTGCTCCTCGGGGATTCGACCAACGGCGCCTGGGTTGCGGGTAGGAATCGCGGTCTTGTGACTCCCATCCAACAGCTTGACGCGCGCAGCTAGACCAGGAGACAAGCGGCGAAGGATGGAGGGTCGAATGAGTGATTTGTCCGACCCAGCCTGCTCGTAAATATCGTCGAGATCGTCGTCGTGAAGGCTACTCCCAAGACTGCGAAGACTGCGCAGGGATGATTTGGACTTGATTCGTCGCGGCGATGGATTCTCTGGAGGAGAGACGGCGACGGCGGGAGGTGGAGGCGGAGGGGGAGAAGATAGCAACTGCGATAATGACGATTTCGTGGGCGTCTTCGGACCGGAATCCGGGTGGGTGGGCGCAGTGGTGACAGTTGACGTGGTGAACATGGTACGTATTGACGGGGCGACCGCCCTGGTCTGTTTGTGTTGTTGCAGTAGTGGGAAAGGCTAGAGAAAGATAGCGTGGAATGTGGTTGGGGCAAATCAACGCTCTTTGGGCGCGTCTTTGGGTTCTTGGGGGGGGAAATTGTTGGTATGCAAGACGGTCCCCCCTTTCTAATATGACCACCCTGGTCGCTTTTTGTTGGTTGTCTGCAAGTATAAATAAAGAACAAGAACAAAAAACAAAATATATCAGACTAGTAAGCCAGCCACTAGTTAGTATTTATGTGCAGTCAGACAGGTTGCAAGAGTAGTCCAGGGCGTGAGTTCTCTCGAGAATAACAATTGGGGGCGATACAGATGATCGGCTACATGATAAGTAGTTGTTGTTCGTTGGTTGTGGTGGTAATTTTTTTGGTTTTCTTGGTTTGGGCAGCGGGTAATCTGGCGGCGGAGGGAACCTTAAAAGACCGCAGTCGAATTGGGAAAATTAATAAAACCAAAAGGATATGAAATCAAAATGACACTTTCCTCTTCTCCCTTGATTTCCGAAAGCCGTTGATCGTCCTTCAGGAGAACACCGCTAGTAGTGTATATTTCCCCTTCCAGGTAAGGTCGTCTCATCTCTAGTTCAATTTTGAGTCGTCTGTTGGGTAAGAAAAATAAGGAAATTATGGTTTTTGCTTTCTCTCTTTTACTTTTCGGCTTTTTTTTTTTATGTTTTTCTTTCTATTCCCTTTTCTCTATGTTATGAAATTCTCCATTTCACCGGTTTCTTCACATGTATAATCAAAACAAACCTTAAAAAAAAAAAAAAAACACCACCCATGGTCAGGTATGTAATCCATGGTATGTTTGGTACCGTCCATACCTGAATATCTGTTATGTACAACACATCCCGCGGTACCTGGACTCCGAAATCATCCTTTTAGGCATATCCTCAAAATCCATAGTCTTGAAAGAAATTAAATAGAAAGAATACACAAAAACATGATGCTGATGACGATCATGGTTATGATGAATGGGAAAAAGAAAAGAGACAAATTGATCATCGCCTCAGCCAAAAGAAGCATATGATAAAGATGGAACCACCAGAGAAGAGAAAATCAATCGAATAAAAGAAAACTCCCACATAGCAAGCAAGTCTCCAGCAAGTAAGGGGTATCAAAGTGGACAGCAAACAAACGTAATAGTGAGCCCAGAAGACTACGTGGTCCCAGCCATCAGGCACCAAACTCTCCTTCATACCGATCGCGTCCTTCACGCAGGGTCGACCGCCCCGTCATGGGGAGGCACTGCATCAGCACTCCCTGGGTCAGGCCCCCGCCAATCTCGCATCAGCTCTTCGCGAACTGCCTTGCACCAAGTAAGGATGGCTATGTCAAACTTCCTCCAAGCCTCATCGCTATTCCCGTAGACGACCCCCATCACATCCATTTCTAACTTGGTTTCCCACCGGATTTCCGCAGCTTTGGTCCAGTACCGAATATTATCCGCCCGCCGGTATGGTTTAGCAACATCCTCATGGAAGGCTTTGATTTCGCAGAAGGGTCTCTTGGATTTCTTTACGGCCTGGTTATGGATTTGAACCAGGCCGCGCCCGTCTCGGAACCACTCGAGCATCGGAGTTGGTAGGGTTTGACCTTCGGGGGCTGTCCATGTTGGTAATGCATCCGTCTCCAGCAAACTACGCAGGAAGGCTTCCTCGCGTGCCCTCTCTTTACCACTCCAGTCTCCACGTGCCCACGCCCATCCTTGTCGCTCCTGGGCTTCCGCCTCCTCCATATGAATTTCTTGCGCCAGCATGCTGCGCACGTTGGCCATCCAACCCATGATGGCCGATCGCTCGTCGTCCCGGAGTCCACCGGTGAAATTACGAGAGGCCCATCGTTTCAGGACTTCCAGCACGTCAAACAATTCCTGTCGGATTTCCCGCTCACTTTTGATCGACGCCAGTCGCTCCGGCCGTTCATGGGCGGTATAGTAAATCCTGGCAGCCCGAATCGCAAGAGTCACAACATCCAAGATACGCATGCCTTGAATCTCGTGCCAACCCAATGGGATGGCTCCTGCTGACATCTTACGCGCCGGATCGCCCATGTCAGGAATTTCGTCTACGCTGATACGTGGAGGCTTCATGTTTCGCGGCGGCTCCTTCTGGGATCCAATCGTCTCCATGCTCTTTTCGGCCTCATGTAACGCATCCCGGAGATCCTTTCGCAGGGCTACGAGATCTGGCGGCGGCGGGAGGTGGAACGTTTTCACACTATAGGTGCTCACTGTCGGAGGCAGCATCACCTCGTGCTCATCGAACTCCTCGTCGGCGGGTTCCGAGCTCTCGTCCGTCGGGCTCGCGGTCAGATCCTCGATGAAGCGAGCATTTGGGGTGAGGAGTAGTCTCGGTATGTCTTCCGGCTTTTGCTTCTTTTTCCACTCCCGAGCTTGGCCGCCTTTCCCTTCCAACAAGCCTGTGCGGGCAAAGTAATACTGCAGATGCGCTATACTGCCCAAGCTCATCACACTCTCGCGGTGTCTGGCCGAGTCAGCAAACTCGACCCCCTGGGGTCGGATGTATCCTCGTCTTCTCGACGAGACAGTGGACACGGAGGACCTGGCATCGGCAGATGTGGCGGACGATACTGAACGGGACGAGAGGGTCGACACGGTTGAGACGGTGCGGTCTGACGGGGACGGACACGAGGATATAGCAGGCGTCGGTATGATGGATGGCGAGGGTGACGAGGCACGGACTGGAGGGGCAGCGGACTCGGACTCGATAGACTCATCCATAATCGCGTGGATCTAATGCGCTGACTCTTTCCGGAGGGAGGGTTCTGTGCAGCCCTGACGAAGAATTTATAGATCTGGGAATAATGCAAGGAGGGACACCGATCCGATAGTAGATAATGTGATATATCTCAATCCCAAGCAGGAAAGGACAGGTGGTCGTCAGGTCGACAACGGTCAGACGTTTATTAAAAATAGGGACTCGTCCTCGGTTGAATTTGTGACGGTGATCGATCGGCAAAGAGAACAATTCTTTGGAAGTTCGAAAGGGGGGCACTTTTTCCCACTAAAAGGGGAAGCGGGTCGATAGCGTCGTTAACACGTCTTCCTGGAATTAATTACCTCCTCGGTAGTGATGGTATTAATAGATCAATCTCGCGTCACGCCGGTGCTTCCGTTTATCCAGAGAAGCCCCTGACCCTTCTGCATATTCCTGTCGAATTGTGCTGGAGCTCTGCGAACCTACTCATCTGAGCGATCCATGGGTCTGACGAGGACCCCTCGAAGGTTTCCCATGTTATCGGTGCTTTCCTTTGCCATCTTTTTTTGTTTATCTCTTGGCGCTAGACCGGTTGGGGCTTAGGGCGGGTCCCGTACCTGAACGCCCCGGATTTCGACCAACCTTTTCATGAGCGCGGATCACCTTTTCCCAGCTTCTTCGACGCTTCGGTGTTTCAAGATGAAATTAAATGGCTTCCCAAGTGCAAGGTTTGACCGTCTAGGCAAATATATTCAAGAGGAGTTCTATATTTTATTTACAGCCGATCCATGTGAAAATAAAAATGTGCTTTGCAACCATCATTGCGCCTGCGCCGTGCACAATGAAATCCATAATCAAACAAACTTGCTTCAACACAGCCAGTCCTGCCAGGTGTTTCACTGGTAGAAAGAGACGAAACAAACAAAAAAAATGAAAGAAAAGAAGAAAAGAAATAAATAAAAAACAAGGAGAAAGCTTTTGTCACACAGTCCATAACGTGAACAATGACACTCAAATCACTTCATCTCTCTCCCACCCCGTTGCTTTCAAATTCACAATGCCCTTGCCAGGATGAGCTTTGCTTGGGTCCTTGTATTTGACCGAGTACGGGTTGGGATCTGCGCCTTGGTTCAAGTTTCCTAGTGTGTGGTTCACCTCTCGGTGCTTGGCCTCATCGGCGCGGACATACATCAACAGGTCCTTCATAGTCCGTTGGCCCTCAGGCATCTTCCAATAATGAACGGCAATCTCAGGGGCTTCCAAGCTCGTCCACTTGGGGAGTTTCCCATTGTCGATATCTTGAATCGCTCGAGTGTAGGTGATCACTGCCTCTTCTTCAAGGTAACCAACGAATCGGTGGCAGATGCGCGGCGACATGAGATAGGAAAGGAAAAAGCCGTTGAAGAAGACGCCTTGTGCGCCAAGAACCATGAGTCGCATAAACCAGCCTGGCTCGGCGAGTTTCAAGAAGGTGAGCAAGTGCATGCGCTCATTGTATGCCTCCTCGAGCAGAGTTTCGATCCATCCATTGTCCCTCTTCATCCGTCTCAAACTTCTCAGATGTCTTAACATGCCTCCAACCATTCCTGGCACACCAGCAACGCTCTCCAGGAAGACAAATCGTGTAAGCCATTTCTGCTCGGTCATCTGGAACTTGGCCTCATGTTCTTTGCCCGGGGGAGGATGTCGGTATCCAGTCACAGTGTCCATCCCCCATCGGAGCAATCGAACGGTGCTGAGTGCGACCCAGTCTGCCCAGTCCTTCGTTTCCCGGTGAGCGACTGTGACGTGGCGCATCTGTTCTTCAGTATAACTAGTACTGTCAGCACCCACTATTCATACTGACCAGACTGTTTTAGGCGAGAGTGCTTACACAGGGTGGACCCAAGCCGTCTCTACCTCCTTGATGTGAGGCGCAGTTGGTGGAGGGAAGAATTCCTTCGTTTGTGTCTGCAGCGTCGACGAGATGAAACGCTTGGTGTTCTGGTGGTTGATTTTGCTGGCGAGCAACGGACCGCTGCATCGTAACCCAGCTGTGGCAAGAGGGCCTGTGCATCCTCGAACCGTGAGGTGCAGGTATGTCTTCGGAAATGAAGCTGCCCTAAGGGGCACTGTGGTTGTTATCGAATTCATCCGAGTATAAGTTATTGAATAATTGATCAATGATCTTAAGGTTAAGTAGTAGTAGTAGAAAGAGTCTTGTTTTGATCACAAAGGCTTGCTGTTTACTGGATGCTGGTACACCACGCCTCTACTGTCTATCTATATATACTAGTGCTGGATAGGAGCTTATGGCAGAAATCGGAATAGGGCCGGAACCAGACAAAGCCAATATACTGTCATAGGGCGCAAAATCTTCTCACCAGAAGATGCTGACAATTAGGATGACCCTGAGCCACACCGGGACGACCAACTGAGATCCGTTTGCGGGATTCTGAAATGCCTTTCAAAAGGCATCCAAGATATGGGACAGGTTTTCTTGGCGGGTCTCTCAGGGACCCAGACTTTCAAGCCTTTAGAAGTTACACCGAAGTTACATAGAAGCAACCATCGCGAACATCCTCTCGACACCTTATGTCATCAAATAAGATATCCTATAATAGACCTTCCTTGTACCCTTTCTGCAACTGAAGTGAAAGCGAATTCAAAAGTCTCCCCATTATCCCTATGCCCGAGAAAGAATCGAGTCATCCAACGGCAAGATACCGTATATTACACATTGATACCGTTTCTGTATTTTAAAAATATACGAAGGGGCGGGCAGATGACTTCGGTGGAAACCGGAACGGCGTCTGACTCAACGCGATGCCGAAGCTTGACCTCCGAGTCGACTCGGGACCCGATCGTTCTTTGGTGGATTCAGTACCTAGTATAGTAGCTATCGGGCTCTCCATACGTCAGAGCCCTTGCAAATTTCGTTCTGCCTCGAACTCCTTACGTACAACAGACGCCGAATTCCTTATATGGAAGCCCTTCGTACTAGTATTCTCATGAGCTTCACTTTCCCGGCCGAGAAGTAGAGATATCTTGACTGAGTCGATCCCCAGGTAAACGGGACCGAGATATCTCCATAGTGTAATAGTGGATATTTTTGGACAATAGCGATGTGATAATGGAGGGCCTTACCTCCCCTTCGTTAGTGTGCGATATGTGTGTGGAGGGGTGAGAGATACCTACCTAACTAATGGTATTATTCCATCCACTGGGATCTCCTTCTGGGATTAACGGTGGTTGGCACTGGACTTGACTTGGTTTAAGTCACCAATGGTCGGTATTAGAAATGCAAGCTGACTTGTGCTTGCTCTGTCTATGATACTTTGATTGGCCACATTGTTGGTCTCTTTCAAGACTTAGTGGTGTTGAGACGGACAATTAGGATGGGACGCCTAATTGCCTCAGCCACGGAGAAACTCTGCATTCGTCGGACGAGTTGAACTTGTTCTTGGGTCTCGCATCCAATCCAGGGTGCAAGAGATAGATGGGATTGCGGCGCCATCTCCAGCTCCATCAACCTCTGCGTGTTAGACCGCTGCGCAGCCACCGTGTTCTCACTGCGTGACCGTCAGAGAACTACGCATTTCTGGCTTCGTGCTCTTCTTATCTGCTGGACCTTATTCTCGTCGCTCGTCTGCGCCGAAATACCATTCCCATCAGCCATGGGCGGACTCTACAAGGAGCTCCCTGAGGGGCTTGACGAGGTCGATGTCGTCATTGTCGGAGGTTCGTGGATCCAGTCCTCTGTACTGAGCTTCACCCTGTCAACATGACATGAAACCTGAGAGCTAATCAATGGATTTTTCACACAGGCGGAACCGCAGGCTGCGTCGTGGCATCTCGACTGAGCGATGCCTACCCATCCCTGTCCATTCTGATTGTCGAGGGTGGCCGAGACAACCAGGGCCTTCAAAATGTCACCTACCCTATGCTCCTGCTCAACAACATCTTGCCCGGAAACACCGACACGCTTTTCTATGAGGGCATCCCTGAGAAGGCTGTGGGTAATCGCTCACTTGTCGTGCCGTCCGGCGGTGTCCTCGGCGGCGGCTCGTCTATCAACCTGCTCACCTACAGCCGTGCTCAAGCCATTGACTACGACCAGTGGGGAGTCGAGGGGTGGTCTTCCAAGGACTTGGTTCCGTATCTCCAAAGGGTATGTGATGCTGTGTCCACTGATCAAGTTCTTGGTGAGCAATTGAACTCTCATTGACTCGCTCGGTAGCTCGAGACCTATAAAGGTAAGGGCACGCCCGAGACACACGGCTACTTTGGCCCCATGCTCGTCACCCCAAGCAACTACACGGCAAAGGCATCCGAGGAGGGCTTCATCAAGGCGGCCGCCAAGCTCGGCTACCCAGAGGCCCGCGACATCCAGGACCTGGAGACCGTCAACGCCACGCAGCGCAACATCCGCTACGTGAGCGGAGGCAAGCGCCAGGACGCCGCCTCCAACTACCTGCACCCGCGCCTCGGTGACAGCCTCCACCCCAACCTCTACGTCCTCACCCAGCACCAGGTCATTCGTGTGCTCTTTGATGGCAACAAGGCCTCGGGCGTCGAGTTCAGGCCCAACCCCAAGTTCAACGATGGCACCGAGAAGCCTGTGCAGAGGGTCAAGGCAAAGAAGCTCGTTATCCTCTCCTCCGGCGCCCTGGGAACACCCCTTGTACTGGAGCGCTCTGGCGTGGGCAACTCTAAGATCCTTGGCAAGGCGGGCGTCAATGTTGTCGCCGAGGTGCCCGGTGTTGGAGCCGAATATCAGGACCATCAACTGATGACCTACGCATACTACTCGAGCCTCCTGCCCAACGAGACCTTTGACGCTATCTACTCAGGCCGCACCAACGTCGACGAGCTCATTAAGAAGAACGACCCCATCATGGGCTGGACCGCCGCCGATGTCTACTCGAAGCTCCGGCCCAGCGACGAGGAGGCCAAGGCTCTTGGGCCCGCATTTGAGAGCGCCTGGAACCGCGACTACAAGACCAACCCAACGAAGCCGCTTTCCATTATCACTTCGCTCAACGGGTAAGTCATCTCCAATCCCCTTTTGGTCATCGTGATTGCAGAACATACTGAGAACATCTCCTCTCCAGCTTCCCCGGAGACTCCACCGGCCAGCCTGAAGTCCAGTACTTCTCCTGCTCCACCTTCACCCCGTACCCCTACTCCCGTGGCCACCTCCACATCACCTCCAAGGATCTTGATGCGCCCCTCGACTTCGCCACGGGCTTCTTCGCCGACGAAAATGATGTTGACATCAAGAAATCCGTCTGGTCTTACAAGAAGCAGCGCGAGATTATCCGCCGCATGGATGTCTACCGCGGCGAGTTTGCCCCGCTGCACCCAGCTTTCGCCGCCGACTCGGACGCCGCCACCCCCTCGAAGCCTCTTGACGGCCCTCTGCCCGACGATGTGTCTGACATTGTGTACACGGCTGAGGACGATGCGGTGTTGGAGCAGTGGCTGCGTGCTAATGTGGGCACGACGTGGCACTCGCTGGGAACATGCAAAATGGCCCCCAAGAGCGAGGGCGGCGTTGTCGACTCGAGCCTAAGCGTGTACGGTGTCGAGAAGCTCAAGATTGCGGATCTGAGTGTGCCACCGGGCAACGTCGGTGCTAATACGGCCAATACTGCGTATATGATTGGCGAGAAGGCGGCTGATATTTTTATTCAGGAGCTGAAGGGGTATGATTATGGAGACGGCAACAATGGAGGCCCTTAATTATGGCACATACGTATAATAATGCTGCACTTGTGTATATTGTCTCGTTGCCGGCTCCCTTCTGATAATATGAATTCTAGCCATGACTTCCATTCGGAAAGGTAGTAGTAGGCTAGCAGCCGTTTAGACTATTAGGTATCATATATGCCATTTACTTGTGGCTTTCTCCTGCTGGCGAGACCTGTGATGATACCTGGCTTCTCAGTTCATCGTGAGCCTCGGACTAGGGATAATTAGACATTTCACTAATGTTTCCGAGCTCCGAGGGAATTTGAGCGAATTTGAGCAGGTCGTAGTTCGGAGACAAGTCATGACTTCCGTAAGCAATGGTCTATCAAAGTCGTCCTTAATGCTTCGAAGAACACGTCTAACAGACGAATCCTTGCCTGTTTACTTCGACTGGCATTCATAGTGGTATCCAGGAGTGTACAAATGAATATTGTCCCACAGTTTGGTATATACACCTCGTTCATTCATATACACGTACATACAATCGTGCGCTCAAAGCCACAATCAACCCAGGCCACAACATATCACCTAATTACAATCAAGCAGTGAGAAATGAAATCAGTTTGTAGCATCAAAGGCCGACTCGGTGGTCCGCCTGACACCGAAATGGGTCTCACTATCCTGGACGGCAAGATCTTTCTTCTCCAGTTTAACTACATGTGCGAGTCGTGGGCCGTTGTTAATCTCTTTGAGCAGTTTTTGGATGGACTCTGGAGTTCCTTGGGCTTCTCCTTCGACCTGATGATCTAATCAGCCAGAGTATAATCTAGAGATGGCATTGGCCAAGTCCAGGGAGGGGGAAAAAGAGAAGACAAACCCGTCCACAGTTGGTATTTCTCACCCAGCCTTTCAAGCCAAATTCGGATGCACGCTTCTGTGTGAAGTCACTGCGATATAGCAACTGTCAATATATTGCTCTGTTTGCTAGAGTGGCTGAGCCCTACCGGAAGCCGACACCTAGATCATTGCTTTAGTTAGCCACACCGGTTTCCATCCAGGCCGCATTGCGCTCTATCAACAAACTGATACAAGTGTAGTAGGGCTATCCCAGAAGTACCTACCTTGAACGGTACCACTGACCTTGAATGCAATCTGTATATCACATCAGCATCGCTTCTACCCTGGAAGTAATGACGTAACAGATGGATGTGGGGTGTGTTATCTTGTGCTGGTCATGAGGGGAGGGACTGTACCCGTTGGGTAGACATGTTGAGATAGCTGTGTTTCTTTCGGGAGCGAGTATTCCTGCAAATATCGGTCTATATCTTTGTCATAGCAGTATTGTTGTTTAGCTCATGTTCCAGCAATCGAAGTGGTTTGTAGACCCATTAGTCATCTGCCATCACGAAGAGCTGTGACAGGCTGTTTGTCAAATACAGTACGGTCCATGTACTCACACTTGACCGGATTCGGTTCGTGTACAAAAGAGTCAACTGGCATTAAAGTTGAGTCTAGACAATGATCCTTATTTTATGATAGCTACAAAGATATCTTGACACATCACCGTTCAATGTCTCGTCTGGAGTATTGACGTCATTATATATATCTTCGGAGCGGTGTTGGTTCTCTTGGTATCTTCGTTCTTTGTCAGAACAATAAAACGAATACTCCCTTTCTTCCCATTCTTCCATGCCTAGAAGAGTACATATGGCCAAGTTGAATACTTTGATAGAAGTTCATCAGTGACGAGTCACCTGATTTCCCCAGATCACGACTGTTGGAGGTGAACCCGTGATTCCGCTTATCGCCAATCAACGTCCCGCCCCTGAACCAATAATAGATCCTCGGATTGTTCCCTCATATTGTTGTTTCTCCGCAATCAGTCCCCCTCGACACATCTCTGAGGGGCTCTGGCCACGCAATGCTCCTTTAAAATGGCTTCAATTCTCTCCTGGTTCCGACGGCTATATTCTCTGGATACATTGGATACTCGTTTCATTGTCTCGTCAAATACTCCGCTGAAGGCCGTCGCTGCTGACACGCGATCTGCTCCGGCCAAAGATGCCCGCGCAAATGCAATTGCCAGCAATGCTGCTCCTTCTAAGTGGCGCACGCCTGAGTTCTGGGTATACTATGTCATCTTTCTCATCGCGGTACCGTTGATGTTCAAAACGGTTATCGAAGTGTCACAGGGTATGGCATTCTGCGCCAACAGAGACGGCCAATGCTGACTATGCTTTAGAGAGTCATCCGACCTATCCAACATACTCTCATTTACTGTCCCCTGGCTGGATAGTTGGGCGCAAAGTGGTAAGTACTTTGGTCTATACTATGCTGCATGCTGTTGCTAATTCTTCGCTTCTTGAGTAGGACAATTCGGATGCGCAGTATTCCAGCTTCCGTGATAACATTCCCTACCTGCTCGCGCTTTTGGTTGCCCACCCACTGCTCCGTCGTGTCTACGAACGTCTTGTACAACAGGCCGATGCAGGCTCTACTCAAACAAAGGCCAATGCGACTACGGCTCAAGGAGACGCTCGCTTGGCCCGTCGGGTCCGATTTGACTTTTACTTCGCCCTGGTTTTTATCGTTGCTCTCCATGGTGTATCTGCCATAAAGGTGCTCGGTATATTATATGTGAACTACAAGATTGCGAAATCGCTTCCGCGACAATATGTGGCTACTATTACTTGGACATTCAACATTGCGATACTGTTTGCGAACGAACTCTGCACAGGCTACCCTTTTGAGCGCATAGCCACCATGCTGGTGTCTTCGGCAGATAGCACCGGACAAGACTCTCCTCTAGTCCTATGGGGTCGATATCTCGACAGCTTTGGAGGTATAATGCCCCGGTGGGAGGTGCTTTTTAAGGTCACGATATTGCGACAGATCAGCTTCAATATGGATTACTATTGGAGCCTCGATTATCCAGCCTCGAGTCCCATTGAAGTAAGTCGATCACTCCATAGAATAAGTTCTTATCTAATGGCTATAAGAAGAAACAAACTGATCCCACGGCACTATCGGAGCGCGACCGCGTGAACATCCCAGCAGAGCCGTCCGCGTTCAACGGCCGCAATTATCTCGCCTATGTGCTGTATTCGCCGTTATATCTAGCCGGGCCCATTTTAACATTCAACGATTATATTTCACAGCAGCGATTCCCGCCTCTCTCTCTTACCAGATCCCGCGTTACTCGCTACGCCGTCCGATTCCTTTTGACCGTACTGGCCATGGAATTCATCCTCCATTTCATCTACGCAGTGGCCATCTCCCAAGCACACCCGGACTGGTCATTGTATAGCCCTGGTCAGCTCAGCATGCTCGGCTTCTTCAACCTGCACATCATCTGGCTGAAGCTCCTAATCCCATGGCGGTTCTTCCGGCTCTGGGCCCTAGTGGACGGCGTCGACCCACCAGAGAACATGGTCCGCTGCGTCTCAAACAACTACTCCGCATTCGCCTTCTGGCGCGCCTGGCACCGCTCATTCAACCGCTGGATCGTGCGCTACGTCTACGTGCCCCTAGGTGGAGGAAGAGGCCGAGCACGCGGAGACGATAACAAATCATCATCTGTAATCTTCGCCAAAGCCCGCCAGATCTTCAACTTCCTCATCGTCTTCACCTTTGTTGCTCTCTGGCACGACCTCAACCTCCGTCTCCTCATGTGGGGGTGGCTCATTACGCTCTTCGTTCTCCCCGAGATCATCGCTACGCTGCTCTTCCCCGCGCACAAATGGCGCTCCCGTCCGAACACATACCGCGTCCTTTGCGGTGTTGGTGCAGTAGGGAACATTCTCATGATGATGATTGCCAATTTGGTCGGGTTTGCTTTGGGCTTGGACGGAATCCAGGGCTTGCTAAGTGAGATGCTGGGGTCTTATTCTGGTCTGGTTTACCTGGCTACGGCCTGTGCGGCGCTGTTTGTGGGGGTCCAGGTTATGTTTGAGATCCGGCAGGAGGAGTTACGAGCTGGTATCAACTTGAAGTGTTAATTCACAGATATACATATGCATATACATTTAGTATGATAGAAATCGAACTATACATCTTCCATTCAGGTAGTGATAGTGGCGCCGTATTACCACACTGTTTGAAGGATATTGGGAAAAGTATATAGTGTATTAAGACATCCAAGCCAGAAATGTGACCTAGACTTGGTCTACTCTTTCGGAGAGCTGTATAGGCTTGAGATGTGTGGTATCTGTTTACCTAATTCTGACTTCTGAGTGATCAAATTGACCACCAGTAGCCACGATTAGGGCCGCGAGCGTACACGAGGAGACAGCCGCTGGACTTGGGGAAATCCCGTGAATATGTTCGAGTGAAGATGCACGCTTTGCTTTCCCTCAGCGTGTGCATCGGTGCGTCTTTTTGTCGAACAGGCTACCCAATCCGTACGGCCTAGTAGCGTTAGATAGGCGCCGAGCCTGTAGGAAGGCTTCTTCTCTGTTCCATCAGGTAGGAGTGGAATTCATTGGGAGAAGAAAATAGGCATATGACCCATATTTCGACTATTGTTAATAGCACCCATGTTCTTCACAATGTTTTCACCAAAATGGTACCTCGCGAGGTTGTGGAAGGGGATATGCCCTAGCGTGTGCCTTGGACAGCGAACAGCGGATTTCGCGCCAGGCGAGTGTAATCAATTTCCATCGACCAGCCCGGTGTTTCCAGCATGGCGATCTAGATGAGAAGAATGATCATCCGGTAGGTGTTTTTTTTTTTTTTTTGTTTGGCTAATCCGCATTTGAATGGCCTAGTAGAACGCCCCACATCTGGAGTCCTCATGAAGTTTGTAACAGTCCAAGCCGCAGGTCCGCGAAGGGCAGTTCTTGCACCGGATCTTGCCCCAGTAACCGCACACACAACAGAAATACCGCTGCGATTTCATTGTGACTGGTGGACCGACGCGAGAAGCATTATACGTCAATGGCGGCTCCGCAAGAAGTGCCTGCATGATACGTTCTGACGGTGCAGAGGGGATATACGATTTCAGGAGGGGATCGTTATCGTGCTCGGTTTTGATAAGTGCTTGCTTGTCCTCCGGCTCCTTCTCCGATTCCTTCTCTGTGTCTTCTGTGGTAGTGACGCTGGGTGGCTTTGCAGGTGTCGCTGATGCCCTCTGACGCGCGGGTACAGTGGAGGGTTGTTTCTTCTGACGCGAGGATTCCGGTTTGGGCGTTGTGGCAGGTGTCGAGCTTCTTCGTAATGATGATGGTTTTGTTACTTTGTTGGCTGGGGGACGCTGCGTCGTAGACTGGGCTGCTTGTGCTAACGCGGCTTCTTCGTCATCGAGGTAGTTTCTGAAGGTCTTCTGTGATTGAAGGATACGGCGCACATTCGAGGTAACTTTGCCTCTTGTCCCTGGTGAGTGACAGAACAGTTGTTAGCCATGTCCTGTCGCAAAACACGTCAACGCATCTCGAAGAAAATCTAGCTACCTCTTCCAGCTGCATCCTTTTGTTTCACCGGGATCGGAATATGGACATCTTTATGGTTCTCCCGATCGAGTTCTGCTAAATGTCGGATGATCGCATTGGCCTGTCTTGATGATACATCTCCACGGCTGCCGGGGTCGCGAATGCCTCGTTTCCTGCCGATGGTAGGCGTGATCGCTGCTTTGGATGGGTCGAAGCCCCTGTCGGGGACGTAGGTCCACCCCGGAGTGAGGTGAGTTGTCGTACTCGGAAGAAGTTCGACGTGATACATTGTTAGTACGAAAGGGAAAAAAATTGGTTGTATTGGTTTAGGACAATGTTATCGCCAGGGCGTGTCTTTTGGCGTTCCCCGAAAATGTTCCATGGAACATTCCATGTTTGCTATGTTTGCATTCCAAGGGAATGACGCAGTTGACCTGACAGTACATTTACTACAGTCAGTTATAAGGCAAGATATTAAATTTCCAGTTAATATCATAAATAGCACCGTTTTTTATGTAGTAATCGATGTAATGCAAGGAAAAATCGCGTTCTCCTGTTAAAGCTCACTAAATGCCGGACATAAACTGCATTCGAAAATTGAATGTGTTCGGAAACCCATGGGGAAACAAACTCCTGATAAAAAATAGCTTGGGAACTGGTTGTGGCGTGGTTCTGTGAGCACTATTTCTTCCTAAGTTGATCCACTCTCGTCTCCAGTTCACCGATGTATGTCTGAAGCTTCTGTGTTGCTGATTGAAGCGCCTGTTTATACTGATTAGTATGATTACCTCGAGCAGACAACCAAATATGTGAAGGATCAAGGGGTAAACGGGAGCTAAGCTATGTCTAAAACCCGATGCTACTGGGGGAGGGGAGGCAAATCTGTGTTGTACCAACACAACAAATGGAAGGATTGTAGCAGACCAAGAAATGAAAAAGAAAGAAATTGGAAAAAAGGAAACCAAGAACAAGAGAGAATTATGATAACAGTAAGTTAAGAGGAAAAAGAGACATATGAAACAAAAGAAATTCCCATAACATACGTATATGTCCTCTGTCAACATCTCGTTGGTCACTCTGTACTCCCCAAGGATGTAGTAGTAAACGGAAGCGCCGGCAACAACAGTGCCAGTAAGGAAGCCAAATATTCTAGCATTACAAGCAGGTTAGTTACATCAAGAGGGTACACTGCCTTCTAAGGAAAATATGACCAGTAAAGCTTACCCTCCGCGAAAAGCCCCAACAGGTTTTTTAGCGGGCAACGTGGAGCCTGCAGCTGCTCTCACGGATGGCGAGGTAGAGAAGCTCCTTCGCACGGAGATGGCCGCGCGCCTTGTTGCGACGGAGCGCAACCCAGGAAATGCCATTCTGTAAGCACTCATAATCATAAATGCTCCAGGCTTCTAATATTTGGATCAGCAAGGAACATTCCGGGAAAGTAAATTACAGCGAGGATTTGCTGCTCTTACAGGTTCAAGTGATGGAGGTTCGGCAAAGCTTGAAGTGACGTTGGTGTTTGCCATTTAAGCTCGGGTGGAGACGGCCGCTAATCATCACGGGCCCGAAGTTAAGCATGGATCCCTGCCTAAGGTATCTGCTTCAGTATCGGTACATTTGATGATAGCCCTTGTCTTCTCATCCAAAAGGATTTCTCTGCTACTACTAAAAGGGAGTGCTATGGATATATGTTTATTTATTCATCGACCGTAAAGATCCCAGGGATATAATCCAGTAGGCAAGCCCCGAACGCCTGACAATACCGCAGGGGTCCAAAGCTGCACAACAGGTTGCAACACTATTTTACTCTTAAACATGAAAGAAACTGTACCCAATTTCTGGATATATTACATATAAGATTTCATCATGGTCGCCTAGAAAGTTAGAAAAGGAGAGGCCTAGTTTGCCATGGTACTCTCGTTGAATAAGTCCGCCAACAAATCATCGTAAGATGTTGTCAAGCCCGTACTGCTCATGCTGTAAGTGCTCTCGAAAGCATGGATGCTGAGTTGTTCAAACCAAGGCCGAAGAATTCGATCAATGAGTTCATCTTTCGCCGTCTCACGGATCCAGTCCGCTGTTAGACCCGGCTGTTTTACACTATAGCCGAGCTCGTTCAACTCCCTGGGGCCGTCTGTGGCCGCAGAGCGCGTCCCAAAGCTTTGTGAAATCTCATCTGCAAGGGCCAGAGGCTCCCAGCGTTCTGGTGGGTAGACAGCATCAATCGTATCTGTAACATAAAGCCATTCGAGTAGTTGGAAGTCATCCGGCGCAAGGACGAGTAGCGTGTCTAGAAGCTTACACGCCTGCAACAATGCGTATGGATTGTATACCTCTTGCTGTAATCCAAGCGGAACGGCAGCAATCGCTTCTTGGAGCTCCGTGTTGATCAAAGGCCAGAACGGAGCCAGCGCAGTTGTGGAACTCTTCAGTGCAAGAGCCCGGAGAACCATGAATATCTCCGCTCTAGTCGTAGATGACGGCGATGATGAACTAGTAGCCCCTAAAAGATCTTCTAGCTTCTGCAGAAGTCCCGGTAGTTCTCCAATGAAGTAATCATTGTTCGCGGACAATATAAGTAGGGTAATCCTACGAAGGTTCAATTGGGCCTTCCTATCGGCATCTAGGCGGGCAGCAGACGCTCCCACACCAAACATGATGCCCGCAGCGCTCGGGGGTGGAAGCCGAGACATCAGTTCAGATAATCGATCCTTATCAGCAAGCACCCATTGCCGGAATAGGTTCATCCATCCACCCTTCACAAGTTCGAGGTGAGAGCTGAAGAATCTAGGATCATTGAAGGCTTCCGCAATGTCTTTCTTCCATATCTTTGCGGCAGCCGGAACCTTTGCGATATGTTGCAAGAGAGCCATAAAGTTGTGGCTGATATTGTTTGGAAAAAGACGCGATCGCAAAAGGGGCCCTATCACATGGGTAGAAATGCCTGATACAGCTGTAGTAATACGATCCGAATCGCCTAAGGTAGTTGTAAAGGCAGGCATGGAACTAGCAAGAATGCTGAGCATGTCATCTGGTCCGATATGAGGCGCCGACGGATTATCATGCTCTAAAGAGCCTCGACCCAGCAGGCCCGACTCTTGTGACAGCCCCAGGGGCTTGCTGGTAAATATTGCCGTGAGCAGACGTAGCAGCACATCCTACGAAGGTCAGCATAAGTAATACCTCATCAATTGATAGATCACGCACCCCAAGTTCTTTCCTCATGCGACGATCCTCACCGAAACTGGTGTTCTCCAACTTCGCACCGAGGATAGCAGCGAACTCAACCAAACGAGGAAGTATCTGTCTGTGTGGAAATGGGTTGCTCAAAACATCACGCAAAAAGGTAGTACAGTCTGCCCAAATCTCATCGAGAACATCGTCATCAAGGGACCTGGCATAAGTAACTAAAAACCCCGCTAACTCGTTTTCTGTAAGAGTCGACGATTGAGTAGATTTACGACTGGGGTCTAAAGCAGACGGGTTCGTCCTGGTATAGATGGCGTTAAATATAGCCGGGATTGCGATTTTTGGTCGAGACCCATCCAGAGTATGAAGCAGGCTGAAAATAAGAGACGAGGTATTACTGTCCGTCTTTGTCCACATCTCTACTAATGTCTCAAGGCATTCAAGGGCCTCTGCTGTAAACAGATGCTCGAGGATCCGGCGGGAGCGGTTCCTCATGCGCAAAGACGTATATTGGAAGGATGCCAGAGACTCAGCATCTTGCGGAAGAGTACTCTTCTCCACGGCTCCCCAAGCCCAGATAGAAAAGCACAGACGCACAGCATCTTGGAAGCACAGTAAGACAGTAAGTCTATTATTCGCAGCCGTTGAACGACCGTGACTGGCGTCTGACGCAAACACGCCTGATACCATATTTCCAAAGAACCCTTGGGGTTGGTCTGGGCTCTTAGAGGCGGGGACATTTGCTTCGTCCACAAGAAGGCGCTCATGAGCGGTTGCAATGCAGGTTTCAAGACCGGTGAGTAGAGCTATGGTGGCATGTTCGGACCTATCCTCGGGCCAACCTTTTGTGTGCTTGAATGAAAGTTGCAGATTTGTGTACGCAAGTTGGATCTCCTTACAGAAGCAATCCACTAGCATCAGAATGATCTGGAATATAGATCCTGAGTATAGTGGAAGCACTTCACAGAGTAACATCGTCCATCTTTCCACGCTGCCCCTCGAGTTTGGAGAGCTGATACCCTTGAGAAGACATTCTAGGAGCTGCTGTGGAGGTTGTGGCATGGTAGGGATTGGGGGCACTTTTTCGGCCTTGTCGCTCGTAAATGACAGAATAGAGGGACTTGTCAAGCGCTCACGTGAGCTGGCTCTCTGATGTTTTGGTCTAGGAGGAGGCTGTGGTAAGTACGCCTGAGCAAACCGAACCTTCAGTGCTGCAAGGAGAGTGTCAATGAGAGCCCCTTGGACAGTAACGCTACCACCATCATCTAGAATAGCAGAAAGTCGGTCAACAAGCAGGGAGTCAATTCCAGACTCAGCCACCTCTTCAGCTCCTGGGCCTAGCAGGAGTTGACGCATGACAAGCAGGGATGTTTGTTGCAATTTAACTTCGTCGAAGTTTGTCTGTGGTGTAATCTTCGGTCCACTAACAATTCTTAGGATGGCGTGGAATATGGTCGAGTGTAAAGTTTGCGTCCCGGTGTTATCTGCTGGTATGGTGAGTCTCAAAATTTTAAACTGAGGTCATGAAGCTCACCTTCTGAAGCAGAGACATCATGGTGTCGGTCACCTTGAGCCGATGCCTGGGTCAGTAAAGTAACCCACCCATTGTGGGGGATGACTGATATGATATTATGAATCGTCTCCAATAGATAGCTACATTCCTTGAAATCATCGGGGGATATGGAAAGGCTTGTTGGATTTGCCCCAGAGGGATCAGCTTGGGTGAAAAGACTATCCAGTCGTGAAACAACTATGTGGAAGACCCTATTTCATCATTGAGTAATTATATCAAAGGCAAGGGCGTACCTGAAGAGTTGGGGAGCTTACTTGTGTACGGAGGGCAGGTCCTGGAGCCAACGCTGGACCACCTCGGAGGTCTCATTAGGGGCTTGAGAGAGCGAGTCTAACACAATAAAAAGCGGACGTTCAAGCAGGGAGGATTGGTAAGAAACCTGGATCAGCGCCGAATCCTGTGCGTGCTTCGGCGGAAGTTCATAGGTACCATGGTGGCTGTGATTCCACAATACAAAGTATCTTCCAACCTGTTCCTCCGATAACATGTGTCGTGACGTGTTGGAAGAGTTGACCATCAGTGATGTTATGGACGCCTCAACAAGGTGATCATGCCATGAGACTGAATGCAAATGCCACAGGCAGCGAACCGCTTCCACATGAAACTTTGGGCTCAATGGTGAAAGATATTGCCAAATCTGTTTAACAAGTGACGGGATAAGATCGGAAATATCTTCATAGCTGATATAAAACCCGGGACTTTGAATAGAATATAAATTGGTGACACCAGTGGCAATTGATGAGACAGCCGAGAAAGTGGCAGTAGACTGCTCGGCATGATTCGCACTGACGTGGTTACAGATGGCAAGATAAAGCCGTCTGTCGCGCGTTATGCGTGACCTGGGAAGCTTCTTCAGCAGTACAATGAGAAGATTTACGTTCTCCTGTATAGATGCGATGCCGTTATCACCCGCAAGTGCTGATAACACGAGTTCGTATGCTTTGTCAATTATCAGCTCCGCAAGTTGTTTAGAAGCGAAGGGTAATGGAGGGGGGTCAAGGCTGCTGGTGCTTTGCTTATAGAAGCCATGGATCTTCTCTAGAACTTCGGGCATATTGAGGTCACCAGTCTGATAGCTTTTGATTATCTTTTCAGAGGCTAACTTCTTGGAGAAAGCCCTTTCTGTAAGTAGGCCCGTCAGTGAGTTCATCACTTTGAAGAGTCCATGCGACACAAGTCTTAGTTGATCATGTGCAACTTTGGGATGCTTTTTCGGAGAGAGCTCATTCATCTTAATAAGGACCGAGAGGGTCAGCAGTGGGATATGGTTCAAAATCATGTCCTCCTCTCGCACGTTGAAATTTTCCACAATGAATTGAGCGAGTTTAAGGTTATCCATTACCTGACCATTTTCGCGATCAAGGCTCTCCGGTACCCAATCTACCAGCTTGAGCAGTTCCGAGAAAATTACTCCGCTCTCCACACCGTCAAAAAAGGCGCTGGCACTGCGAAAAACCTCATCAAAGTGGCTTTTGGAGGCTACTTTCTCGAAAGCTTGAACGTTTCGGATAATGGGGAGAAAGACTGCAGTGACTATGTGCCCACCAACTTCCCATCGGTCCATCAAGGACAGCGATATCCTGAAGGGCCTTGTCTTCTCGGAGGGCACTGCGGTTTTCTGTCCGATCATCTCTAGGAGACCTCTCACCAGTGGTTCCAGTCCAAACTGGCGGAAGTATTCGGACTGTGAAAGTTCTTGATCACTAGTGGTGGATGCATCTGCATTTTCTGATATCGAGTTCCGAGCTTCGAAAGAGGTTCGGTCATTCACAGGGTCGGGCCCTAAAAGCCAAGCCCATAATCTCCGATTCAAACTCATATCTCTTCGAGCCACAACACCCACAGCTGCAATGAGTAACCTTTGGAGGTCATCGTCCGTGATCCTAGATTGCAAAATAGGCGAGCTGAGTGGCAGATGCGTCACAAGCAAATCGAGAAAGTTTCGCTGGACAAGGACTTGCTCGTCGGTCAACCCGGATGCAAAACAACGAATAAGTAAACCAGGCTCCGGGGAGACAACTGAATTTGCTGCCATCTGCATCCCAAGTGGCATATCGTTGGAATCGTTGCTGCTGCTTTTGCTTGGTCTTCGATCCGTAACACCTAGCTTTGGGAGATAGCGATTCAGATAAGCCAGCACTCCTGAACGCCTACTCGGACTAGTGATTGACGCGAGGAAGAGGCATTGCCAAAAGTATTGACCGCTTGCGTTGGCATCTTCGCCTTGCCTTTGTATATCCATCTGACTAGCGATATCGCGAAACTTATTGATAAGCCGGAGAGTTGGGTCAAAGTCATCGCTGGTTTCTTCTTCAAGTCCGGGTAGAAGGGCTAGGATGATCGCCTTCAAGGCGGGTCTGATAGCCCATGGCTCCAGGCCACAAATATATGTCTCTACTAAGTTTAAAAATAAAGGGCGGACGGTAAGTGAAGCGAATGCTAAGGTAGGCGCAATGCCGGGCAGATACAACGGCAGATCGTGCGATAGTCCTTCTAGCTAAGACGGAAGTGAAACATTAACAGACGCTCCTCGAGATAACCCAAGTCACCGCACCCACCTTGATCAAACCAAAGACATATGTATATACTTCAAGTGCCTTCTGATGGACACCAGACGGCAACGAAGGATTTAGGCATTGCGCGAGACGTTTCGAGACGAGAACCTTGTGAGGGACGATCGGTAGGTCAGGAGGGTGGGACTGAAGGGCCTGACATAGAGAATCATTAGCGACTTAGGCGTAGTTGTCTTTCGGGGAATATTAACCCACCTTCAGAAGCCGGCTTAGGAAAGAGATATAGTCCGCCCATTCCTGCAACGCCGTGTCGAATAAAGAGAGGGCTCGTTCGACGCTCGACGCATAACGACGGTAATTCTTATCCTTCTTTAGGTGCTCTACACGATTCCATAGACATTAGACTGCAGGTCCTCCTCGAAACCTAGATTTTAGCCGTGGGATGCCGGGTGAGCGCAGACCTTCTTTGCCTCGTAAGCGGGATCGCGCAAGAGAGCTATCGGAGCTTGCGGGGGAGTTCGATCTCGGAAACGAGCTCGGATCAAGGCTCATGATGCACACGTCGAGTATTCAATCATAAAGTATCCGTCGGAAAATCGCACCTCTTCATATTTCGCGCATTGAACTAGAATGCGACCGGAGTTGGAGCGGTTGTTGCTGCGTAAAGACACGGAAGCCACAACAAGCGCCAGGCGGACATGTTTTTGGTGCCTTAACCGTCCGCCTTTGCGAAGCTCCGAACGGGGAGATCAATCACCCTTTCTCCACTTAGTCTATTTAATCAAGCCGCCGAACCCACATAACGTTTCCTCACTTCAAGTGCCGGTCACGTCGCTACTGTACTAGGCAATCTATCGCTGATTCTCGATGGGGGTTTGTATGGCATCACCCCTGACAAGCATGTCTTATACCCCTTTGTTGAGTCGCGTATAATACATGAGGGTGCTGTTGCCGACTGGAGTAGTACATACATACCAGTCAATGCGCCCAGGTCAATTACCATGGACTCGGAGAATAAAAAACAGCCACAGGGCTCCGTTGATGGCAATGACGATAGCCAAGGTGAAATTACTTGCTCCTCAAAGTCATCTCCTACAATGGCAGCATCTAGTGTCAGAGAACGCAGCACCAGTCCCGAAGGGCCACCGCCACCTTTACCCCCGCGTCCGAATACTTTAAGTTTGTTGGATGAAGGGGCATCATCTACTCGGACTGTACGACAATCAAATCAAACCGCCTTGCAGTCTAGGGCTACTACAGCAGTGTCCCTGACTGACATTGCTTCCCATGATGGCGGGAAAGAGAGCTACCCTGCTCGCAGTCTACCCGGAACTCTGAGGGTCAAGGCAAGTCTTAGTCACCTGACCAGTCCAAGAGGCAGCGATACTGCTGATTCTGCAAGTATCAGAAGCTCTGTACCGCAGACGGAGCTTGGTGAGGTAGAGAATGTCTTCAGTGACTTCGTCGTGACAGAGTCTGGACCTATGCAACAAGATAGCACAGGTCTGCTTCAGTTCCCGGAGTTCCAAGCAGACGATGTAGATGATGATTTCGCAGAAGAGTTCGAACCTGTTGGGGACGTTGGAGACGAAGGAGAGCATGAGGGTGCGTAGCTTCCGTAAAGCCACAGATCTGTTGAGGTGCTAATCCACGACTCGACACCAGAACTAGTCCTTGAGAACTGGAAGTCTAAGCGGAAACATTATCTTATCCTATCTGCTGCTGGAAAGCCTATATGGACGCGACATGGCGATGGTGGTCTGATATCCACGTATGTTGGTGTCATCCAGACCATCATATCCTTTTATGAAGATTCGCAAGATCGTCTGAATAGTTTTACCGCTGGAGATACGAAGTTCGTCATTGTAGCTAAAGGACCGCTTTACTTAGTGGCGATAAGTCGGATTCTCGAAAGTGAAACTCAACTTAAGCTTCAACTAGAAGCTTTGTATATGCAGATCTTATCGACCTTAACCCTCCCTTCTCTAACACATCTTTTCTCGGTGCGACCCTCTACCGATCTCAAGAGACCGTTACAAGGCTCAGAGACTCTACTATCGACATTGGCGGACAGCTTCACGAAAGGTTCACCATCTACCCTTCTTTCGGCATTGGAGTGCCTCAAAATCCGCAAGGCGCACCGCCAGACAATCAACAATGCCCTCCTTAAAACTAGAACCAACGGCCTCCTCTACGGTCTAGTTGTTGCAGGCGGTCGGCTAGTTAGTGTTGTACGGCCAAGGAAACATTCACTTCATCCTGGTGATTTACAACTGATTTTCAACATGGTCTTTGAAGCAGAAGCTGTTAAGGCTGGGGGTGGCGAGAGTTGGATTCCTGTTTGTTTACCCGGATTCAACAGCAGTGGCTATCTCTACATGTATGTCAGTTTCGTTGATCTAAGAGAAGATGCTAGCAACGTTGCGGATGACACGGCGACGAAGGAAGAGTCCGTTGCGGTCATCTTAATCAGTGCAGATAAAGAACGGTTTTTCGAGTTACAAGAGATGCGGAACTCCTTTATTGAGGTAAGACAATGCAATCGGCTTTCATGATGTGAAATACAAATTGGCTGGTGTTGACTAACCATCACTATCCCAGCAATTGGAAAAAGACGGCAGCCTCAAGATCATGAAAGAAGCCATTGACAAGGGCCGACCAAAGACCACCGACATTGTGCCAGGGACAGTCTTACATCATTTCTTGTACAAGTCGCGAGGAAACGTGCAGTTCACTATGTCCTCATATGAACCTGATTTCTCGTCTGTTTCTCGACGTCGAAGGTCTGTTTAGCATAACTAGTTCCGTACGGGGGATCCTAATGATACCATCATAGATGGCTGACGTTAACTTTATAGGCTAATGTCAACATACAATAACCTCCATGCTAGCATCCATGCCAAGCATGCCCACGTTCGAGTCCACCATTGTGTCTCACAAACCTCAACCTCTCTCGCATGGGTAACTCCGGTTTTCCAACTCTACTGCGTCGCTGGTCCGAATGCCAATCGGAATGCCCTCGCTCACAGTGCGAGCAAAATTATCCAGTGGGTTCAGCAAGAGGAGGAGAGACTATTCATTGTCGGCGGTGCGGTATGTTATCCCGCGTTAGTTCTTATTCTTGGTCTTATAGAACTAACTCCTGCGAAAAGGTCTTTTGAGATATGTCATGCTTGATATTTGATGATATATGACGATATATGACGCCTATCACAAGGTGCCACGAACTATCCTGTACATACTGAACCCAGGTTCTGGATTAGAACTATAGACGCGCCATGATTACAGCCCAAAACCTATGTTCTAGAAATAACCTATATGACATGACAGTGAATGAACGCCACCCACTAATCGATTGTGTCGTCCCTCAAGGCAAAAAGCTGCTGCATAACCTCATCCGACTTAGCTCGGAGAGCATTATGATACATGGTGTTCGTAATGAACTGTTTGATGCCCTTGATCTTTGAAGCCGTATTTGAGGCATGACTGAAATGCACGTACATGTCATCTATGTACGTAGCAGCGTAGACAGGAACTTCATTCTTCGCCAGCTGGGCCTCGTCATAGAGCGCGGGCCAGTCCTTTGTAGTTGCGAGGATGTCGGCCGCCTCTTTAATCTCATTGAGCTCGTCGTACGAGTCGAACATGTCCTTGTAAACCTACATCGCGTCTGTTAGTCAATGTGGCACCATCCAGAGCTTCCGATTGAATCTCACCATTTCGCCTGTAAACCAAATCTCCGGTTGATTGGCGTCAATGCTGAAGTTCGAATTGGCTGAACGAAGTCTATCGGCAGACCAATTTGATGCTTGCCTGTTTATTATTAGTACGATAAGGTCATCAAAAACGGAAAGGGCTTAGGTAATTCTCACCCTTGGCAATAGATAGCTTCGTGAAGAATGGCATAAATAACAGCACTGTCAAATCCACCTGCAGCATCGATTGAAGCGCGCGTGGGATGAGTCAGGAAGCCGAAGATCTCGAGATCATTCCACGAGCGCAGGACAAGCTCTAACGAGTGTTAGCCCAAAATGTTGCACGTACTCTAAGGCTTGATCAGATATTACCGTGGATACTATCAAGGCCACCTATAGACGTCAGTACTGCATTCATGTAATTACAGGTTAGATTCCCTACCGTGCATGCCGAATATGAGACCCAATTGTTGAAATCTCGCCGGTGTCAATTTCCCAGACGGGACAGAAACATCGTTCTCCTTAAGATACTGTAGGATTCTCTTGACTCGCTCAACGTCTTCAGGGAACTTCGAGTAGTAGGCCTTGTTTCTCTCTTCCAGTTTTTCTTCATTTCATTAGGTTAGCTGAGGGATTTAGGAAGTGAAGACTTCAAGAATGCATACCGTATGTCCGTGCATACACTGAGTCAGGCTCATTGACAAGAGGGGGCAATCCGCCACAGATAAACGCCTCCGCTAGGCCCTCTGGACTTTGGCGTGTCAGGGCTCGTCAGCACCAGCATTCATCCTCTCACAATTCAATCTAGCAGTTCAACTCACAACATAGAAAGATACGTCACAGCGCAAAAACCACCGAAACTTTGGCCGATAACGCTCCATTTGCGTTTATCTTCGGGATAATCTACGGTAAGGCATCGGCGAACGGCTTCACAGTCCCTGACAATGTTATCAGCTCGGAAGTTCTTCAAGTACTCCGCCTGTTTGATCGCATTGCCTTTCAAGGCAAGGGTGCCAGCGGTGATCGTGGAGCTGAGGCCGGTGCCACGTTGATCTAAAAACAAAACCTATACACGATGAGCATATGAACCTTGCATGGTGAGGGAGCAAAGGAGAATTCGAAATGACTATCACCCACCTGGTATCCCTTATCAAGGGCGGTGCTAATCCAGCCATTTTCCTGAGGTGGTCGACATCCAAAACCGGGTCCCCCCTGTAAGTATACAAGCCAAGGCAGCTGCTTGTCCTCCTTTGAAGCCTCAAATGGAGTCGTCGATCGACGAACACTACGGGCAAAAAGCCTCAACGTGCCGTCATTTGGCCGGTTGTAGTTCACTGGAACGTCAAAGAGCAGTTCCGCTACACGGAGCTTCCCTAATTCCCCGCAGTATCAGCTTCTATATTACACCCACAGCTCCTCAAGAGACGCACCCGGGACGTTGTGAAGCTTCTTGTCTACTAGTTTGGCAGCCATTGCTTTTCGTGCCTTGGATGTAATTTTATGGTTGTGTTTGGAGTAGCAGAACCTGTTAATGGCGTTGCCTGGAAGACAAGAGCTGATTGTTGATGCGTAGTGGATAATTGTGGAGACGTTAGAATGCTACCTTGGGCAGACCCGTCTGTGCGCGCTAGCCAGTTGGCTAGTCCCTGGAAGTCCAGTCCACCCGACGGAACCCCGAGTTTAAAGCTGTCGTAAGCAAACCACTTTACGAACTAGGGGCCATACGGCACGGTGTTTGCTTACGGTGACTCACGGGGTTTGCCTATGGGTCAATATATGTCGGGAAGAAAACCCATGCCAGATATATAACCTTTCACTTTCGACATAAGATAATACACCCCTGGTTACCGGTAGCGGGCCTTGTCGACATATTCAACCAGTACCATCTTTGTCTAGAGCAACTGTTCTCCCTACAACAGCCATGAGTGACAAGAGCGCCAGAACATCTATGGAGCTAGAAGACATCACGGCCACATCAGAAACGCAGGCTAGTCTTCAACAGCAATTATGGGAGATCGCTCAAACTCCCTGGAAATCCGGTATCCTTCCCAGTGCCAATCATCTGGCTCGGGCAAGAGAAAGTTTACCGTCTTGTCTTGCGAATGAAGGAGTGGGGTTTGAAAGTGCAAAGCAACATATCCTGAACGATATCGTCCCAGCTTTTAATGCAAGCAGTATAAGTCCCAATTACTATGGCTTTGTCACCGGAGGGGTAACACCTGCTGCCTTATTTGCGGATAACATAGTATCTGCGTACGATCAAAATGTTCAGGTTCATCTTCCTGACCATACTATTGCCACAGATGTTGAATCCAACGCTCTGGGTCTACTTGTCGACCTTCTACACCTGGGGCGAGCTGAGTGGCATAACGGCATTTTCACCACTGGGGGATCGGCGAGTAACATCCTCGGCTTAGCCTGTGGGAGGGAATACGTATTAAACGTCGCTGCATGCAAGGCAGGAGTCCCCACACAAAGCGTTGGAGAGCACGGTTTGTATGAAGTCATGCAGGCATCCGGATTGTCAGGAATTCAGGTTTTGTCAACGCTACCGCATTCATCCCTAGTCAAGGCAGCTGGGATTCTGGGAATCGGCCGAGCAAATGTTAAAAGCATCTGCCAAGAAAACAATCCACTCCTCTTTGATATGAAAAAGCTTGAGATTGAACTAGCAAGACCTGACAAGGCAAGTATAGTCGCAGTATCCTGCGGAGAAGTCAACACTGGACGTTTCGCGACGACCAGCATCGATGATATGCGAGAACTACGGAGATTGTGTGACAAGTACGGTGCCTGGCTACACGTTGACGGTGCTTTTGGAATTTTCAATCGCGTTTTAGATGATAGCCCAGAGTTTGCTACCATTAAAAAGGGGGTTGAGGGCATAGAACTGGCCGATTGTATTGCAGGCGATGGGCACAAATTCCTCAACGTACCGTACGATTGTGGCTTCTTCCTCTGTCGCCATCCTAATGAAGCGTTCCGTGTGTTTCAAAATGCGAATGCGGCCTATCTAACAGGAAATAGCAACGGCCCTCCCTCAATTCCCTCGCCGTTGAACATCGGGATAGAGAACTCTAGGCGCTTCAGGGCGCTCCCTGTCTATACTTCACTTGTCGCTTATGGCAGAACTGGGTATCAGTCTATGCTCAAAAAACAAATTCGATTGGCCAGGATGATTGCCGGATGGTTATTTGACCATTCGGAGTACAATGTTTTGCCGGAGGCTACTACCAAGGAGGAATTATTGGACCAAACTTTCATGGTTGTCCTGCTTAGCGCAAAGCAGGATGACTTGAATAAAATCCTTACAGCCAAGATAAACGAGACATCTAAGATGTTTGTTTCTGGGACCTCCTGGCAAGGGCGACCGGCTTGTCGAATTGCCATCTCCAATTGGAGAGTTGATGAAGACAAGGATTTCGAAATTGTGACAAATGTGCTGAAGAGTGTTGTTGAAGGGGGAGCAACCAATTGAGCATACTTGTGTATGCATTCTGAAAGGCGGGTGAATACAGATACATCAGTACCACTTATACAGACAATATCGGGGCTAGCCGATCTAATGAAACAATGTACTTTAATGTGAATAGTTATGGGATATGTTTGTTCCATCACCGACGCCGGCCAGCACCGCCAGCATTTTCCCTCTCAGCAAGGCTGACAACCTCACCGATTCCAGCCTCCTCCTGTTCATCTTCGAGAGCCATGACTTCTTCTCTGCTATCCCACCACTTCTCTTCTGCGATGTTGAATGCATCCTTGCGCAGTTCCTTGATATTCTTCTCCGGTTCTAAGCCCTTTGTTTTCAACGTTTCAAGCAAAATCTTCTGCCATTCTTCAGAAGTACGGTTGAAGAAATCACGCAAGCTCTCAAAAGGTCGGGGAAGAGGCCTACTATCCTGTACAGAGGGTTCTCCCTCTGGCTCCTCTACCTCGAGTTGTTCCATTTCTTGCGTCACGGACGGCACCGTTGTCTCTGTAGGAGCAGGGGAGGCAGTGTCCAGTGACATTGCATCTTCCTCTTCATCTCCCTCCTCCTCATCACTATCTTCTTCATCGTCCATTTCATCATCGCTCTCTTCCTCCTCGTTAAGGAGATTCCAGTTCTCTGGTTCGTTATAGAAGATCTCCTTGACACCATCAAGTTTGACGAGATCGATAGAGTACATGTCATTGAATGTGAATTCTCGATCACCTTTCTCAAAGGTACCGCCAAATATGAACAAAGTATCATCCTGCACAGTTAGCTGTGCGTTGAACCGCATATGAGGCATTTCGAAGCGAACAATCGTAGGCTTCTCGGGCTTATCAGATTCCTCTTCATCTTTAGGAGTACTGAGTTCCATCTCATCGTCGTCATCCAGACTGCGAATGCCTTTCTTCGCCTCCAAAGCTTTAAGGTTCTGTAGCAGCTCTTCCTCATCAGCTTTAGTCCGGTCGCGAGACTTAACCTGATTTGCCTGTTTTTTGCCCTGTGCCCTTGGGCGTCGGAGACTCAATGGGAAGAAGCGGTTCCTGTCGGTATTCCAGGCGTACAATGTATTGAAAAATTCACTGTCAATCCCCTCCTCGCTGAGCTCAACATCATGGACACCACCAAACATGATGCCACGACCCTTGTGATACGCCATAGTAGCACCTGCGCGGGGCGGGTTCGGGGCATTCGCAGGCTTCTTTCTGCGTTCCCAACGGATTGTGGGGGTTGCAGATGCAGGGGCATCGGCAGCAGGTGGTGTGATCCGAAGGAGCCAGGTGTCCTGGTGAACCATAGGCTTCATGGTCATACGCTGAGCACCACCCTTCATCTGTTTCCCTCCTACACTAGTGGTGGCCTTCACACGGGAATACCCACCTAGGAGGACTGCACCCGCTTCGTGAGGAAGAAAAGAGAAAGAAGAGCGAGAATCAGGTTTCTGCGATGCAGGGGGCAGTATAGGATTATACCAGGTATACTTTGAGCAGTCGTAAATCCACAAGTCTTGAAGGTATTTAGTTTGCTGCGAGGTGTCTTGGAAACCACCGAACAGGATAATGTAGTTCTTGACTCAGTCAGCCTCAAAAGACTCATCATTGGGGGAAATACATAATCTCTAATGTGCGAACCTTGTAGTAAGTCATTCTATGGCCACTTCTGGCCGGAGGACCCTTGCCTTTAGTCTCAAGACGGGCCCATTCTTTCGTCGATGGGTCAAGATACCAAAAATCATTGTAATGATAGAAGGTACCTTGCTTTGGAGATGAGAACTCGCCTAAATGGTTCAAAAGTCAGTAAGATGTTCAAATGCCAAGGATCCAGGTCGCATGCCTCCAAAAAGATATACGCCGCCAGTATTTCCACCACGGCACCAAGCATGACCACTCCGAGGGAGAGGAGTATTGGGACTAGTGACCTCTTTCCATTCGCCTTTGTCAATATTGTACACAAAGAGATTGTTGAAAAAGGTAGCAAGAGTGCCATCGAAGTACTCTCCACCGAAGACGAACAATTCATTCCGATTTGAGGGGGATGCCAGCACAGTTGCGGATGACCGAGGAGAAGGTGGTCCCGAAGCAACTTCAGTGACCTTGAGGAACTTAGCCTGTTCTTCGGCGTATTGCGCTAAGATGGCATCCAGATCCGCATCTTCTACATCGCTGTCTGCATCCCGTCCCTTCTTGCCCTTAGATCTCTTTTCTTTCTGGGCAGCTTTCTTGTTCTGTTTCGCCGCAACACGTTCTTTGTGTTCAGCGGACTTCTTATTTTTCTTGCCCATGTTATGGGATCGCTTAGTTGTCCTGTATGTATTTTTGGAAGGCGATACCCTATATGTATATAGATTGCCAATCCAATGGCCTTCTTATTGCGTGGGGTTGATAACATTCTATAGCGCGGGGTTCAGAAAAAAAAATTAATTCCCCTCGTTTGGTTACGCGTAAAACGGATACCATATCAAGTCACTAACAAGTAATAATGAGAGGAGGTGAACCATTACAGACACAATACAGACGGCAATATATCTGATAGATTACTTCACATAGCTTGCCAATAGTCGCTTGGGTATAGATATGATCATTTGTTTTTTATTGTGACTGGGAAGTAGCGCATTGTCATCATGACTGAGTAGTGAGTTATGAGTACTATGTGGAGGAGCTACTTGTATGATATATATTCTAGATGGACCAATAAGATCTGATAATGCGGTCGTAAATTTGGTATATCATAAACCACAACATATAAAATAATACTGCAAATGAAACCAAGGACACAGATATGGTACTATACCAATACTTTGCAGCTCGTGTCTATTCTAAACATAGATAAATAGCTCAAGTATTATACTAATTCGGTGCCTATCCTCTTAACCATGCTATGTATGAGTGGTACGGGGCTATACCTAAAAGATAAGGTACTCACCGCCCATGTGATCACGCGCCCGGGACGCGTCCCTTTGTCTGTTCGCTATGGAATTCAGTGACATTTAGACGAAGAATATCGCAAATGCATTGCTGGAGAATAAGAGCAGAATCATGAAAGCGAAAATACGACCCTATGACTAGGCACAACTTGGAAGTTCATCTCAAATGGCTGTTGCAACAAGGCCCTGCGATTTACCCCTCTTTATCGCCATCCGCACGCGAGAATCGCAATTCTACTCGAGAGAATCACACTCAATATCAGCCGACTCCAGCGCTGAATGCAACGGGTAACCAAGTTCCAGAAATTGCAATTGGGGACTCCCAACCCCTGCAGAATAATTCTGTCGACAATGCGGACAAAGGACCCGAGGTAGAATCGGACGAAGACATGGCACGATTGTTATTGGCTCCGCAATCTGCGAGCAAACCTCGACTATTCAGTCGTTCTACAGGTGCTGTTACGGGATCACCGTCGAAACCGAATGGTCGTCCGCCTGCCCAATCGCCTACGCGACAACGGGAGGTGCTGAAGAGTCCGGCAATCAAAAGTATGAATATTTATTTACTGAAGTCTTTTCGGACGACTAATGATTAATGGAAAGGTACCCAAGGCGATACGCTCTCTTTATTCGACAGTGCTACCAAGACGACAGTGACACCATCCCGGACGAGACATAAGTTTGACGTCGAATCTTCCACATTCGACATTGATACTATTGATTTGACGGGCGATTTTGATAAAATCACGGCATCATCAGGCACAGCAGATGAGGTTGGGGAATCGCACCGGCTATGGAACGAAGATGCGCCCAATCGCAAAGATTCTACGGATAAGCGAGGCAAGAAGCGCAAAAGCGAGGAGTACATTTCTGATCTGGTATCTCCAAGAAAGAATGCTCCCAAGGTGCGCTCGCCTTTGCGCAACGGTGAGACTACAGATCCTGTCCAGTCGGGTTTGACGCGCTCGACTAAAACCTACATTACATCTTCCCCGACAAGAAGCTTCATTCGTGAAGCGTCACACTCTCGCTCTGGTGTCTTGAACCATATCATAGCCGATTCCGACGAAGACGGTAATGAAACTCTATTCGATGATTTGATGATTGACGATGGTGCGCCCGTGATGGATAACAGTAAATCTTTATATCCTGTTCTTCCTCAACACATATCTCCGGAGAATAGTAAAAGAGGAAGGGTGGCAAAGAATGCAATGCACCGGTCTCCACCGACATCAGAAATTGATCTCACTCCATCTGTTTGCGATACGTCTGCCAGCAAGACACTTACGAACCTTGGTGATTCAGGCTTTGCTTGTGCTCTCGGGCCACTAGGGTCGCAGCCAAAGAACAGCGGTGTCACGAAGTTCTTAACTCTATCCGCTGAGACTCTGGATCAACGAATCTCGGGTTTCGAGGATACTCTAAGGAAGAATTCAGAAATCGTTTTTGAACAAGCCATGAAGGGCGAGCCAGCCCCTGGATTAATTGCTGAGAATAAGAGTATTACAGCTCGGATAGAAGCAATTAAATCCTTAAAGAGCAAAAAGGCTGCCTATCACGCCTGCGAATCAACAAGAGAGCAGCTGAAGAAAACACTCATGCAAGTCATATCTCAAGGTGGTAGCCCGAATACAATGCCGGAGGAGCTCGAACAAAGCCGAAGAGCTACATTGCAGCTAGAGCAGATTGAGTCTGATATAGAACGCCTGCTTGTGCAAGCTGATATTCTACCGGTCTCATTCTCTTCAAGTAAAGGGCCGTCTCAGCAGGGCTTAGAGCGTTTGCACTCGCCCCCTCGATCAGTTAGAAACACTAACCCTAAGAAAACAGTCCACCCTCACGATCCCGAAACCATTGAGACTGCATTTTCTAGACCTCTCTCAGGGCCGACCTCTCGTGTCTCTCAAGCCGACATACCATCACGGACAACAAACTCATCGTTCAGGAGCGCCGGCTCTTGGCCTAAAGCCTTTGACTATGATGAACCAATGATCAGTGATAATGACCATACTTTTACTCGTACCATGGGATCTCCGCCTCCGGCAGAACATATTGATGAATTTGACTTGGACGCTGATGATGAGGAAATGCTCGAAGCTGCGGGTTTTCTTGACGATGGCTACTCAGTTTCAACAGCTAGTAATAGTCTCCAAACACGCAAGGTGTTTGCTGAAACCTCCGGAAACGTTGCCCGCACCCCTACCACACAGAAGTCGCAGACCCACAATGGCCTATGGCATCATCACCAGTGGTCAAAGGATGTTAAAAGTGTTTTGAAGGATCGTTTCCATCTTCGAGGGTTCCGCCTTAACCAACTCGAAGCCATCGATGCCACTCTGAGTGGGAAGGATACGTTTGTTCTAATGCCGACAGGTGGAGGGAAGTCATTGTGTTACCAGCTACCCTCTATCGTCAAAAGTGGAACGACCAGAGGAGTCACAATAGTCATTTCGCCATTGTTAAGTTTAATGCAAGATCAAGTTTATCATTTGCGCCAGCTCGAGATAAAGGCGTATCTGCTGAACGGTGAGACGCAGAAGACGGAACGGCAATGGATAATGAGCACACTATCGAGCTCAGCTGCGGAAGATCACATCGAGTTGTTGTATATCACGCCCGAGATGATCAACAAGAATCAAACCCTCATCCGTAACTTGGAAAGACTCAATAATAGCCGTCGACTTGCACGCATCGTGATAGACGAAGCTCACTGCGTGAGTCAATGGGGCCATGATTTCCGTCCTGATTATAAGGAACTTGGAGGGCTCAGGGCTCAGCTGCCTGGTGTTCCAATGATGGCTCTAACAGCTACTGCCACAGAGAACGTGAAGGTAGACGTTATCCACAACCTTAAAATGGAAGGTTGCGATATCTTTACCCAGAGCTTTAACAGACCAAACTTGACATACGAAGTGAGGCAGAAGAAGAAGGGTAACGAGCTTCTGGCTAGCATAGCCGATACGATTAAATCGTCTTATAACAACAAATCCGGCATTGTTTATTGCCTTTCGCGTGATACATGCCAGAAGGTCGCCAAGAGTCTTCGGGACGATTACCGCATTAAAGCAGAACATTATCATGCTGGTATGAAACCGGACGAGCGAGCCGAAGTTCAACAACGCTGGCAGACTGGTAGGAGCCATGTCATTGTGGCGACGATCGCCTTCGGTATGGGTATTGATAAGCCGGACGTACGCTTCGTGATCCACCACAGCCTCCCCAAGAGTTTAGAAGGCTATTACCAAGAAACTGGCCGAGCTGGCCGAGACGGAAAACGTTCAGGTTGCTATATGTATTACTGTTACAGGGACACGATGACCATTAATCGCATGATTGACAGCAGCGATGGCAGTAAGCAACAGAAGAACCGACAGCGACAAATGCTACGCAATGTTGTACAGTTTTGTGAAAACAAAAGTGACTGCCGAAGAGTCCAAATTCTTGCATATTTCAATGAGTATTTTCGCCGAGAGGACTGCAATTCTTCCTGTGATAATTGCAAGTCAGACTCTGTTTTCGAGCTCCGTGACTTTACTCAACACGCGGCCTCCGTAATCAAGGTTGTTCGATACTTCGAGGAGTCAAAGGAGAATGTGACATTGTCGTACTGTGTGAACATTTTCCGAGGAAGTGCAAAGAAATTCAGGTCTCCTCAGCACAGACAGGCCCCGGGGTACGGAGAGGGTTCTTCGTTAGAAATGGGAGAGGCGGAAAGACTTTTCTATCACCTTCTTAGCGAGGGAGCTCTGTTTGAAGAAAATGTGGTCAACGGCAGTAGATTTGCTGTGCAGTACATCAAGCTTGGACGTCGTGCCCCTGATTTTGAGAGTGGCCGGCGTCGATTACAGCTTCATGTTAGAGTTTCACCAAACAAAAAAGCTCAACCCCCTCGGAATGGATCTCGGAAGGACTATCATCCTCAATCCACGAACGTCTCATCGCCTGTTCAAGCAGCGAACCATCGTCGCTTAGCCCGTTATCGATACGAAGAAAGCTCTGATAGTGATAGAGATAGTGATGGCTTCGAGAGAGTTCGTATAGCTGGCAAGCCGAGGCGTGAGAAACCGTTTACCCCAGGCCCACCCATTACCCAGGATTCCAGGTTTGACCGTCTTGACCCTCTCCATAAAGCTGTAGCGGAGGATTTCATGGTTTATGCAAAGAATTACTGCCAAGATGTGAGGCTTGCTCTTCAGCTTCCTGAGTTAGATATACATTGCTGACTTGCTTTAACAGCTTGTACTCAAGAAAGGCCTTCGCAATCAACCATTCACAGACGGGGCGCTGCGGGAGATGGTCATAGCCTTCCCCAAAGGTGAGTATCACCGCCAGCCATTGGTAAGACGATGCAATACTGATGTCAGAGCAGACCTGTCAGAGCTTTCCAGAATTCCCGGAATAGATAAAGACAAGGTGAATCGGTACGGCACTCAGATACTCAAGCTCGTACGAGATACGCAACGCCGTTATGCAGAGTTGAAAAAGGATCGTGATGACGCCGATGGTGTTGTTCCGGACCCCAACCATCACAATGTCATCAATCTCACCAGCGACAGTGAAGAGTATGATGATGGTGATATTCTGGACGATGCCTCAAACTTCGATATAGATAACAATGTCATCTCTAGTCGATATTTCACCACCGAACCAATTCCAGAAGATGACTCGTCTGATGGCCCTGGGGGAGCTAGCAGCTCCAAACCTCGGAAGCGTCAAGCCACCAAGCGAACTCGTCGAAAGAGTGGTGGCGAATTTAAAGCCCGGAGCAAAACCCCAAGACCTAGAAAGAAAACAGCCAACCGCACTGATAGCCGTCCTACCCGGAAAGGGTCAAAAGCAAAAGAACCTATGTCCCGGATAGGAATGATGCCTATCTAGCATCTTTATATATCAGTTTTCATGTTCTTTACGATGATGTTGATGGTATATTGAAGAACGTGAGGGCATAATTTCACTAATGGGTCTGCTGCATCTGGTGCATCCACCGGCGTTGAATTGGAATTCTGACTACCCTCTTTAATATCATGAAGACTTGACGAAGCGATAATGTGAATATGTACTCGTACTGAGCGCATGTGACTGGACTTTTTGCACGTTCTTCCATACATTCTTTCTCTTAACTCTTTGCAACTATAACCGTATATAGTCTTAATTCGTATATGTCCCACAAGGATATTGGTTGGTAATTCCTGGAGTCTGGTAAAGTCGGACTGTGCATTAAAATAAACTATTGAGAGCAGCCATTCAATCGTTCAACGAACGCCCGAAATCAATCAACCTCAAGCGTCTGGCATCGCGTGGATGGAATTGAGCTACCTTGGCTCTTACAAGGAATCGGGAGGCGGCAGACTCTCGGGGAAGATCAATGTAGGAGGTACCTGCATCGAGTAACGAGGCGAGCAGCTCATGCATATCAGTAGCTGCTGTCTCGCGTCGATTGGCCCGGTTCTGTTCTTGATTATCTCCTTGAGATGTTTGGCCCCTGACGAGTTCATCTATGCGACGCTGGCTGCTATCATGGCTCGTTACCGAAGCTTTCGGTTTTTTGGGCTTACCATGGCTTGTATAGCCTCTCTCCAATGTCTCATCAGAAACGCTCATTTCATCTCCCACAGTTGGACCACCGAGATCTTCTGCAGCGAGCATGGGCGCCAAAGTTTCATCAATAAAGTTATGGAGAGAGGCGTTTAGCTCTTCCGTCGCCTTGTCAAGCTCTTCCTTTTTTTCTTGTTGCTGATCGACAAGATCATGTGCTAGTTGGGATGGCGACTTCTGCTCTTTCTGGGCTTGTTGTTCATGGATACTAGCTATCCGTTTTTGCAGTCCATCATTGATGGCTTGGGCATCACGCAAATTTGCCTCTTCAACTTTCAAACGCTGGCGGCTGGTCGAAAGCTTGTTTGCTGTCATCCTGACAGATAACTTGCTCTCATTGACCAGCCGAGATATCTCCTCGACCGCAAGTAAGGATGGCAGAGGAGACCCAGAGCTTGGGAGCTTTGTTTCGGATCGCAGGAGGGAGTCATATGCTTTCTTGGCTCTTCTAACTTGCGAAACGCGAGACCACGGGTCCACGCCGATCTTCGAAAAATCAACCGCGTTGACCGAGCGGAGCTGTTGCGCGCATCAGTATCGCGTCTGTGTTTTATATGTTTTTCGGCTTACATACCTTGCGCAAGTCATCTTCTTGGCGTTTAACTCGGTCTTGAAGATTTTTCAGGGTATCATCCAGCTTCTTATTATACGCCTGGAGAGTGGCCGGGCTGATTTGTTGATCATAACTCTCTTCGGCTTTCTCCCGTTTCACTGCGAAACGCTGGATCTTATCAATAGTCTCCTGAGGTACATCCATTGGGATAGAGTGATGGTGCAGCACGATATATATGAAACACGGGTTGGGTGTTGACACTTGAGAATATCCACACCAGCAAGGCCACAGGAGCCTGGTCAAATCCTGCTTCTTTGAATCACAGTAATGTGAAAGGAGATATTTGGGTATTCATGTATTGCATGGGGTTGTTTTCTATGCCCTCACACGTGATAATGATAGGTAGACTATGCCCAAGGTAGGCTAGCGTGATCCCGTGCCGACGTTTCGCCTCAATCACACCTTAACCTCATCTCTTCACCGCGACATCGCGACTTCCTCCCCTCCATCCATCATCGTCACCTTCTTCTCTTTGCTTGGCATCTTCAACTCTGTCGCAGCGGTGGAGTCGACTGCCTGTCTTTGTTACTTGGCTCTTATCCGCTGTTTTAGCGTTTGTTCAAGCCCCTTTTAGCCCGGCGCGTGGCAGACTATCTCTGTGTTCTTACGCCCTGCGACGATCAGAGACATTGTGTTTTCTTTGGAGGAAAAGGGATAGTACAGATTTAGCAACTTGACTTTGCTCTCATATTTTCCCTTGCCCACGCTGTCAGCCTGGCAGCTCCCATTCACGTTCGGACCCTGAATCCTCACCACCACCACTATCACCGTCTACATCTCTCCGTTTTATCGTGCCCGATCCGATCATCTCTTCTCTTCTTCTCTCTTTCCTAGCATAGCTTTGCACACGTGAAGCTTTCTGCTCAAATCCAAGGCCCGTGATTCCCAGCATCTTCACTCTTCCATCGGCCATCCTTCCTCAACATCACTTTGTTCATCACTGTGCACGATTACCACCAGCATTCCTAGTCATTTCAAGCACCAGATTCCCTCTCCCGACCGCCAGCACCAGCAAGTCTTATTGGGAACTCCTGGTGTACATAGTCGATCAAATAAAGCAGAAAGAAAGAAAAAGAAAAAGCTATTTTGATACTTCGACTTCCTGCGTAAGTGAAGCAAGACTACACAGTTGAGAAGCAATATGTCTGCCTCTCCATCCGCTTTGCAATCCACCAAGCGTCCCTTGGAGGACCCTTCCTCGCCATCAGGTCCCAATGATCAACCGGAGGCCAAGCGTCCTGCTTTGGACAAAGTAGTAAAGGGCGATGAGTCCGAGGCGTATGCGGAAGTGAAGACCGAGTCCTCAGGCGTGCCCAGTGCCAATGCCGATGGCCAAGGCGACACGGTTGTGCCTGATGCTCCTAATGCGAAGGGCACTCACCCTGAGACCCAGCCTATCCAGTCCACTGCGTCCCATGCCGAAACTGGCGCTCAATCAGAACAGCAGCGCCCCCAAGACGAGTCAAGCTGGATCCATATTCGGGCTGTAATTTCTAGCCAGGAGGCTGCTACCGTTATTGGTAAAGGTGGGGAGAATGTATCACAGATCCGTCGTCTCTCCGGCGCCAAGTGCACTGTTAGCGATTACTCTCGTGGAGCAGTGGAACGTATCTTGACTGTCAGTGGTCCACAGGACGCTGTTGCTAAGGTTGGTTATATGCATCCTTGTTGCTTAGCTGAAGTCTAATTGGACTTGCTGACCGGGCTTTAGGCTTTTGGTTTGATCATTCGTACCCTAAACAATGAACCCCTTGATGCGCCTTCCACTGCCCAATCCAAGACATACCCCTTGCGTTTGTTGATCCCCCATATCCTTATTGGCTCCATCATTGGCAAGGGCGGTGGTCGTATTCGCGAGATCCAAGAGGCCTCTGGCGCTCGTCTCAACGCTTCAGATGCTTGCCTTCCCCTGTCCACTGAGCGGTCCCTTGTAATTCTGGGTGTTGCGGATGCGGTTCACATTGCCACCTACTATGTTGCTGTGACATTGGTTGAGCAGCTCACGGAACGATTTGGCGGGCCAGCGGCTTCTGCTTATGCCACTCGCAGTGGTGGGCCTGCTGGAGCTGTGCCCGGTGGTATGCAGGTTGTCCCTTATGTCCCTCAGCCCGCTGGCGGTCAATATGGTCACCCTGATACCTTCAAGCGCCACCACCCTCACCCCAACCGGGCTGCTGCTGGTGCTTATGGCGTTCCTTATCTTCATGGACAGCCCGCTCCCGCCCCTGTAGCTCAGCCTGCCATGCACTATGGTGGTGCACCTCAGCCGTATGCTGGCGCAGGCCCTCACCAGCCTGCCCCTTACGGTGCTCCCCAGGCTGCTCCCGCACGCGGTGGTCCGACCCCAGTCGCCCCTGTTGGCGGAGCTATGCCCGGTCAACCACTGACTCAGCAGATCTATATCCCCAACGACATGGTTGGTGCCATCATTGGCAAGGGTGGTGCTAAGATCAACGAGATCCGTCACCTTAGTGGCAGTGTGATCAAGATCAATGAGCCACAGGAGAACAGCAATGAGCGTCTGGTGACTATCACAGGTACTCAAGAGTGTAACCAGATGGCTCTGTATATGCTTTACTCCCGACTTGGTTAGTTTTGACTCCCGGATTCTTTCAAATATTTTGTTACTAACTAGCAATCCAGAAAGTGAAAAGCACCGTATCTAAGCGGGGGAATGAGTCTACGAGCTTGCTTAATCTATTTTCTTTCTTCCAGGAGCATGTGGGGATTTCCTTTTTTTTTCTTTCCTTTTTGCGTTGCTCAAAAGTCGTCTGTTTATGGTGACTTTAATGATTCGTTTCGGGTATATGCCTTCCAAGTTGTAATTTATGGAAAAGCGCTGTCCGTCAACATTCGTTGTACACATTATCACCAATCTAACGTAATTCATTCCACACCCCATCCACAACCACTTCAAACTTTCTTGAAAGAAACATGCTTCATCCCCAAAGGCGGCACAGAAGGAATCGCCTTCTCCCTAATAGGCGCAATCGTCCTCTTAAACTCCTCCGTCTCCCTTGCAGCCTTATGCATATCCACCGACTCCCACCCCACAACCAAAAGATGCAATACCGCCTGTCCAGACGGACTCTTCTCATGCTCCAACGTACCAGGCCTCTCCACCTGCGCCATAGCCCACGACTTCGGCCTCTCACCCTCGGGTAATTTCTCTGTCAGCGCAGCGCGGAACTCAATAAGATCGGCATTGAGCTTCTTTTGCTCCTCAGGCGTCAGGGAATTGGGGAAGGTGAGTGCGACCAGCTCCGTGACGGGGTTGGTGGTTAGGGACTTAGTTTCGGTGATTGACGGCGTGAGCGTGGTGAAGATGACGCTCACTTGAGTGTTGGGTTCGAGGTATGGGGCTAGGATTTGTGGTTGGATTCCTCCGTGCGCGTCGGCCCAGTCTGCGATATGTGTTCAGTATACCTTGATTTTTTCATTTTGCATCTTCCATTTTCGGGAGGAAAGACAGGGTGGAACTTACTAACCACCCATACTATGATATTCTCGTCCTCTATTGTTCTGCCCCATGCTGAGCTTTTATATCCGCTTTGGTGCTTGGCTGTTTGGAAGAGTTGGAGTAGTGCTTGGCCTTCATCGTTTGAGGGGTCTTCGGGCTTTACTGAGGACTTGAGCTGGAAATGTATGAATTCGCTGACTTGGAGAGCCATGCTGGGTGCGCTGAGATGGCGGGGTTGTTGGAGCTTTGTATGATTTGGGGGTTCCAGTTTAAGACCAAACCAATTCTGCTCAGTGGACTCGAAAAGTCTCTCTATATCCCGGAGGGCTATTAAGAATTGACCCAGGCTGGAAGGAAAATAGCAAGTATGAAGGAAAACAGTTGGATTGATTGATAAACTGTTGTCACCTTGCGGGCGATGATGTCAGAGTCAGGCGCCTCAGTCATCAAGGCCGCAATTCCCCACCCTAATTAAAAGATGTCAATAGTGATAGTATGAGGTTATTATAAAGACATCACATCATTAATGAAACATCATTAGCGGGTCAATATCCAGACCGATATGCCAATCAAACAGCGACTAATGCTATGTACAGAGAAAATAGCCAATTGCTCCCCACGCCCATATCCCGCTATTTTTTTTAGGATTGTCCATATTCTGAATCAGAGACTAAGTAGAATTCAAACATGCACTTCTACAGGTCATCAACACTCCTAACCTTCGATTTCTTCTCACTAATTGCCTTCTTCAGATTCCCAACAATACGTTGCCGGCGTTGCACCTTGGCCTTCCATTGCGCACTCTCTTTACTGACAAGATCGCCAACGCCTTCCACGCTTCGAAGGCGGCTAGCACGAGCTGACCCGTTGATGCTGGAGCGGAAGCGAGCAGCAGAGTCTGGTGTGTGGTATGCACTGACGGGACCATCAATGGAGCCCCGGGACCCTGGCGTCGTTGGGAGTCTTCCCGCAGACTTTTTAGGAGTTGTAAATGGCGACCCCTCACGGCTTGCTGGCGACGTAGTCGTGTCAATACCCAGCTTCTTCAGCTGTACTTCCAGGAAATCAATATCGCTGCTTTTGCTTTCAGCCATGTTCATCATAGTAGAGATGGTTGATGTGACCGCTTCGACTGTTGGCCGTTTAACAGACTGGCGTGAAGTACTGTCAGAGCGTGGGGCCTCAGCGATCTTCGCCCGTAGGAGAGAAACGGCGGACTCGAGATCTGCTAGCCTTGCCTGAATATCAGTAGATGTTGTCCGAAGGTCCTGCTGAAGGTTTGCTTGTTCAGATGACAGTGGTGCGGAAACGATTGCAGCGGAGTCTGTGTGGGCATCCAGTGCCTTCCGAATACTAGCACATTGACCTCGCAGTGTGAGTATATCTTTGCTCAATAGTTCTCGACAGTCCTCGAGCTTCTTCTCCACTCCTTGGACTCGTTGTTTCTCAAGCTCGCCGGCAAGCATGACTAGGGCATCATCAAGCTGCTCGATTTCAGAAAGACGTAGCTTCTCGTCCAGAAGATCAGTTGGATTATCACCTTGCAACGTATTGACCCAGTCCGAATTACTAGATGATTGCTGGTACATAAGGAAAGCGGACAAGGACCGTGCGTTGATACCTAGTGTATCTACCATAGAGTTGATATCGCGATAGAGCCTTTCAATTTGGCCGGGGATACCTGGTTTACTAGTCTGGCCAGTGTAGTCTTGATGAGGGAGGAAAGGATCGAGGGTAGGCACAGGCTCTATGGGCCGAGCAAGGTCGGCACGGAGCCTTTCATCTTCGTCATCGTCAGAAAGCGACAGTGTCTCCTCCTGTTGTCGCCGCGCTTCGAGTTTCTGTTGAGCTTGTGCTTCCTCGATAGCCTGTGCCGAAGGCTGTCGAAGTTGAATTTCACGTTTCGCTAAATCACTGAGAGAAGCTTTACGTGCAGCGAGAGTGCTGCCAGGAGCTTGCGGTTTGAACAAACTCCTCGGGGCGCCATTTCGTACTGGACTAGGCGACCTGGGGAACTCGCGGTTTGCCGAAGGCGCTGGGGGTAGAAAAGGTTTCCGAACTTCTCCAAATAATTGCCGTGACGGTTGATTCGAAGCCTGACTAGGTTGGGATACTCCCGCAAATAACCCACCGGCTGAAGCTTTGCTAGAAAACCCAGCCCCAAAAGAACTTTCTGGCGATATCTCCGGAGTTTCCACCTCAGATTCTTCTTCCTGTTGCTCAGCATCTGCGACATCCTCGCCACTGTCACCGAAATCAGACTCGTCTTCCACATCGCTCAATTCCTTCTCAGATTCATCTCCTTCTGCTTCTGAGTCATCAGGGATAGGGGCTGGAATATCAGCAGGAGCGGGCGACGGCTTTACTGCGGTGAAATCAGGAGGAAGTGGTGCCTCTTCGGGTTTAGCATCCTCGAGCTCCTCTTTCTTGGATTTTAATGTAAAGTCAGGAGGCAGCGGGGGTTCTCCTCCGTTATCTTGTGGAGTGGACTTCGGTTGTGTAGTGAAGTCAGGAGGAAGAGGTGCGTCGTCGATGGAGCTCTGAGAAACGTGGGAGGAAGCGGAGGTGTCACCAGGTCCATAGGAGGCCTTGCTTGTTGGATCAGGAGGCAGTGGTGGCTCTTCCGATGCATCAGGAGTCTTCTGATCATCAGCAAGATCCTCCTTTTTCAAGGGTGGACTAGCGACGGGAGTCTTGTCTGATGGCGGAGACAGAGGGATCGATGCTTGCTTTTCAGAATTGCCGAGGATTGAGAAGGGAGATTTGTTCGTCTGGGCTGCACCAAAAGGCTGCTGAGGTTTGTTGGGAGTACCAAAGAGCGACGAAGGTGCAGGTGTGTTAAATTTGGTCGGCGCCCCAAACAATGAGGGCGCTGGCTTGTTGGCCTCCGGTTTCTCCTGCTGGCTGGAGGTAGGTTCATCTTCCATGTCGTCCATGGACTCTGTGGGCGGGCTAGCTTTAGTGGGCGTAGAAACCATCTCATCGAAAGACCCGAATAGTCCGCTGGAAGGTTTCTCCGGTTTGGGGCCATCATTGACAGCAGTACCGTCGCCCTTAAACGAGGGTTCTAATTTGAACCCATCAGCTGGAAGACCGAACGGGTTCTTTGCTGGTTCTGCCTTTTGGGAACCAAAAGTAGTGCTTGTATTAGCCTGGCTACCAAACACCGACGGTCCCGGAGGTTTCGAGAAGGGGCTTTCTCCAGTCGTCTTCGCGAAAGGCGATTCCCCAGCTGGCTTAGATGCCGCAAGCCCAGCAAAACCACCCGAGCTAGCAAATGAACCGAAGCCACCACCAGAGGTAGCACCCGGAGTTCCGACCGAGAAGGAACCAAATCCCTTCCCAGGTGTCGAAGGTTGTCCAAAGGCTGATGGTGTGCCCATCGATCCGAAACTGGATTTACCAAACTGGGAGGCCCCACGGTTTATTGTGCTCGGAGTGCCGAAGGAAGGACTCGCCTGGGATCCTATCTGAGACGGGGCTCCAAATGAAGGTGCCCCAAATGTAGGTTGTGAGCGGCTTCCTAATGTCGAAGTGCTACCAAATGCCGGCGTGGCAGAGGGTTTTCCAAACGGAGAAGGTGCCCCCAGTGCAGATGGGCTGCCGAAACCGGACTGTCCAAACGCAGGCTGTTTGGGGGGCTGCGGTTGCGCCTGCTGCTGGGGCTGGGACTGGGCTACCGAGGCCAAGCCATGATAGGGAAGTTTCTGACGAATAGACTCAGAGTATATGAACCACCATGAGCAGAGGATACCTTCATTGTTGAGAAGCAAGAGGTTCGGCAAGGGAGTTGAGCTTTCAGAAATATCTTCGCCCGCAATCGGGGAGACAACAATTTCTGTGCTGCTCAGGTCGATTCCCAGACCAATCACTGAAGTCTCCTCGCCGGAGTCTGTAAGTGGAGGAGAGGCCCGTTTTGTGTCGTCATTGAGTTCAGTCGTGGTGAACAAATTAATGGTGGCCTTGGCTGCATCGTCACTTGCCAATGGTTGCTCTGACCTCGTCACAAGACCAACATCGGTGGACGCGGTAGAAGAAACAATTAAAACATCCTTCAGGTGTGGCTTATAGTCTCTCAGACGTGCAATGAACTGGTATGCCGGGGCGCGTTTGACTCCAAAAGGTATGCACAACTCAGGTAGCTTTTGAATCAGAAACGGTGCCTGTTTCCTTCTTGTGATAACGTAATAAGAAGATGACGGCGTTTGACCGGATTCATCCTCGGCATCATTCGGCGTATACACCATCAAAAAGATGTCGTTCTCTAGCCAAGCAATAGACGACACTAGATTCAGTTAGCTAATTGAAAAACCTATGAGACGTAGCATTGGTCGTTACCA